AAATGGAAGGAGAGATTACAGAGGTTTAGATACTCTACGGTTGATCAAGAAATAAAGTAGGGAGTATGATAATCAAAAATGATAGCAAGCAAAACATTACAGTCTAAATTTAGTCTCCAGTTTCAACCTGACTTTCAGGTATTCACCATGAGCTCTATTCTGTCCTTTCAACAACTACTACAAACTCATCTGACTACTCCTATTGAGCTTCAATGTCCACTTCAAGAACTGTGCTCTGCATGCTGGATTCCTGAAAGCTTGAAGTGGAAGGTTGAGAATGTTGAGAAGATTGTGAAGATATCTGGAAATGAATGGTAGACACTGGTGAACTTTCATCATGTTCTTCAGTTGGGTGTGTGTGTCCTGCCACTGCTCTGCCAACAAGGAGCATGGGTGCAACTCCCTACACAAGGTGTTCCATAAATGATGAGAGAGTCCAAGATAGTGAACACACTTTCACAATACCAGCTGTTTTATCAAGATAGTAAAAAAATCCAAAATCATCACAAATATAGAAAACCAAGGATAGGATCAAAATTATTGAATAGAGAGCAGAGGATTCCACTAGCACTTCAATAAAATGGTGATAAACACTCAGTCAGCCACCTGCTCCATGTCTAACCCCAGTAACAGTCAAAATGCAGAAAATGATGAGCAGTGTGCACTATAATGTCATTGCCAGGATGAAGGATGTGTAGAGTATAGGGAATACTCCATATGATGCACTGAAGTACACATGATATATATCAATGATTCTTGACACTACACATAAAATTGGATATATGAAAAGAGTAGATGAGATTGGACAACTTTACCAGTTGCAGAAATTAGGAAAGGATTAGAAGTAGGACAATAAGCCAGCACTGTCCCCAAGCCATCCAACAGCACCAAATCTAGAGTGAAAAAGATGGTAAACTGACATGGATAATCACCAGCAAAGTAGCATATACAATATATGAGTCTACAAGCATGGTGCTCATTAAGGCTGGAATACCTGCATCCAAAGAGACTGCTTGGTTCACATTGTCAAGCTTTGAGAATACAGTCCAAAAACTTTGCCCATTTTCAATGAATCCAGAGTATATAGATGACAAATTGGCAGCAAAATTGATGGTAATCAGAGCATAGAGGAGAATGATAATGATGACCAAGGCTTGTCAGATTGGCCAGCATTTATTGATAACTGTATTAGTCAAGTTAGCTTGGATGCCATAGTAGTAGAGATGCTCCTGGCTCACATATATTTCATAATGTAACAGATAGAATTCCAGTGTATATGCCTGTCATCAGTCAACACATACAGGCCAAGGTACTAAACATTGTTGCCCACCATGCAATAGTGCATAGAGAATTTGGGAGTTCAGCATAGCATCAAGAAATTGAAGCATAGAAGCTTTGTCATCTTCAGTAAGATTGAGTGGAATATCTGCCTGAGCCACCATGAGGTGAAGCAAGATAAATGGAGTAGTGGGTTATGAGGATAACACATACTGACTCTACCTTTATAAACAGAGCAACTTATGGCCATGTTCATTGGCTGCCACAAAAATGATCATCAGTATCAAGTCAAACCAAGATCCTGACATACCAAACATGTTCGGCAACTTAATGAACCATTGTGTATATTGTCATTTTTAACTTGTAAGTGTGATATTGCTGGAGAAAAGCCTCTGTCATAGGAAAAACACTTATATGAACTGCAAGCTTCTCAGATATGTATTCTGTTGAATTAGGGCATCCGAGAAGAGAATCAAGATAACCATTGAAGCAAGGCACCTACCAAGATGAGCTTGTTCTGTCATGATGTGAATCTTAATCAGATCTTGCTCCAAAGTTTATGAAGATTTTGATGCCATTTCTGATTATTGCTATGCTGAAGGATCTGGAACATTTGAGACCTGGTAAAGATCTTTGTAGGATAGCAGCTTTTGCAAATCATATAGAGATGAACCTGCAGTACAGTCATATAAGATGGGAGAAATTTACCCTAGAAATGAGGCATCTATCAGAAAAGTGGGGGAAGAAAATACAACACATACTCTTTGATGAGCTCAATGATCCCAGATCTCTTTCTTCAAGAGGCAGTTTCTCTTTCCAGGACTTGGAGAGTCTTTGCAGGGTTGTTGCACAACACATTTGAGTTGATCTGTCTTTGTTTGTATAATTGGTTCTTTACTAATCATCACTTAGATGCTCAGTATGCAAAAGTAGTGGTGGTGATGCAGATGAATATTGACAGCTGAGGAGGTTAGACTGGTGGGCATAAAAGTAGACATGAAAATCAAAGCCATTGTCAACATGGCATGACCTTATCTGGCAGGTAGCAGTCAAATCAGGTTACACAGAAGCTTCAAAGATAGGTTAAGATCGTGACAAAGAGGAGATGCTTGCTCGATGGGCAGTGACAAAGATAGGACTTCATGGATTGGCTTACTATTCTGACAACCATAAACCCTGGTAGGCTGCCCATACCACAATGTGCACTAGAGCAGGTAGACAACATCATAGAGGTGATGGTGCAACCCATGACACATTTATTGGTCCAGATGATATTGACAGCCCATAGAGACTATCTGTATATTGGGTTATAAAGATGATCACATATGGTACTTGTAAGACTTACATATATCGACCTCATCAGGCACCTCTCTGCTTTGATGATACTAATTTCATCATGGTTTGATTGTCGACACTACTAGGAAGGTCCAAGGATGTTTCATCACACCCAACCACATAGATAACATCTCTTCCCATTCAAATTTTTTGGCAATAATAGATATGGTGGAATTAAGGAGGCAGAAGTAGAAGTATGAGTGTTGTAGGAGAAGGATAGCTAGAAAGTCCCAAAATTGGCTGTTTGTAACTTTCAGGGCTCCAGGAGGGGTGGTTGATAAATGATATGCCGTTGACTGAGGCTGAAAGTAACACAAGCTGAGAAATGTGATGATCATTAGCTTGAATGTTGTTTGCTCTCAGAGATGGCCGATAAACCCAGAGAATGAGGGCATGCTGCCTGCATAGGCACTATCGCTGCAAAAGAAATCCATTCATAATGCCTGGCATATCGCCATCGATCATAGTTTAATTTTGAGAATTGAGGCTGTAACATAGCTGGGCCACACATTGGAGAAGAAGGATTTGAACAACATGTCATCTTCATAATTTGTGATGGATCTATATGCTACCCCCATAAAGCATTCACAGGTGCATTACTTAATGAAAGATACTGAGATAAAATTCTATCTGGATGTCAGTCAGGTCTGGCTGTTGGTACCAAGGCTTAAGGACACACCTGAGCACACAGTGAACTCTATGCTCCCTTCTATTCAGTCAAAAAAGCTGAGACAGCAGGCTTTTTCTTGATGATTTACAACAGATAGTATCCACATACTCCCATATGTATCCTGCATCAAATCAAATGATCTGAAGGTTGATGCCCTGACTAAAGTTCGAATTCGGTGAGAGGACCTGGAAGCACATATGAATCACTGGAATTTTTGTGGAATGGAAATGCATACAACACATCAAGATACTTTCATGCCATGCTGCTCCCTTTACCCTCTCCAAAATATATAGTCTTCATACTGCCACATTCTTGCTCCACCAATATCTTCTTCTGTGGAGTTTTAGGCCAGGTTGATTAGAAAACAGGCATATTATCATCATTTGTGGCATGGAATGCAGTTTGAAGTTGGCCAAAGGAGGAACATCGATTCAAAGCATGAGAGTTTGAGATGAGGCTGACTGGGTGAATCCAAAAACCACTCATCTCTACTTTTCACTTAGGAAGAACTTACCAAGCTTTCCCTTCATTGGTCAAAAAATTGGGCTTTCCCCTTCCTTTCACTTACATGTCCCTTTTGTGTTTGGCTTGGCCTTGCTTTCTCTCAAATTTATGACTTCTCCTTTCTGCTTCATGGCTATTGGACAATAAAACTCATATAATACTGGTATCCAGCTTCAAGGTGCATACTGAGACTATCCATATGATTGGTTTACAGATGACTGGCTCTAGGATATTCTGCATGGTATACCCAATCCTGGTGACAGGGACAACGAAAGACCAATCAATGGCTGGCACAGGCATAAAGACCAATGAACTTGAGTGGATCGATGAACTCAAAATGGATCACTCTGGTTGATATCCAAAAGGCCACACTCAATGGAACATCATCACTATCATTGAGGATGACTGGTGGATCAGAGGGCATAACGGTTGCAGGGTTCTCTTCTCTATGATTGAAAGCAAGACCCAGGTCAGAATGGGGAAAAGAGTGAGTCTGGAAAGTAACAGTGCATTAGATCTGAATTCTTTTTTGTGTAGCATTTTCTGATGTATTATCTAGACAGCCCATTCTGCTGTGGGAGGTGTAAGGTTCAGTGCTACTGGTGAAAGCCTTGCTAGGGTGATATTCTGATTAAGCAGAGAACAGGTATCTATTCATGATGCATCATTATCTATGGAATATACTATGCTCTCATTTAACAAGGACTTGTTGTTCCATCAGAATCAATTCCATTAGAACGTAAGGAACTCATTGCCTTGATACTTTCATTCCCAATTGTGAGCCCTCAATTCAAACCAACATACATTTGAACAAAACAAAATCCTCATGAATGTAAGATCCATGACAGCAGGTGGTGACACATGGCTTGATCTCAACAGCATACCTCCCTGCCACTTATTGCTGATGCTCACTTCTAACCCTTTGTTCATCCTTGCTGCCCTTGCACCGCCCCCACCTGACTGTGCAATCAACACTGTATGGAAAGAATACTGTAGGAACAAATGCTCCTTCCAAGGAATGGATCAACCAACATCTGCTTTGGATATGAGTCTGTTGCACCATCGAAGCAGATCATCATCTCATCCAAACTATATGAAAGGTGTTTCCTTCCTTGCCTAACAACAATCCCCATGCACAGAGAGAGCCTGAGGAGGTTTTTCTTTGTAGCCAAGATAATTCCTTTACAGGAATCATATGGACGTGCACAGCCCATTAAGATGCATCCTGAAAAGATGGTCAAGGCAACACAAAAATTCTATTAGGATGGAGTAATGAGAAGATGGACTGAAACATACTCCTGTCATCTCAGCTACTGGCTGGAGATGGTAGTGCATCCACTGGATGCAAGCAACAAACATGATATAGAGGATCACACTGACAGAGTCACAGTAGAGGATGATGGATTCAATGAACAGCCCAACAGTGCGATGGTATAATGACAGCCCATCCTCCAAACCGTCTTTCTCTTGAGAGGACACAATAAGACAGTTGAGCATGGTGCAACAAAGGGCTGCAATGGCAGAGGATATGTAGATCATGCACCAAGGCATGTGAGCAAACTCATTGTGTAATTCGCTTTGGGTTTCTGTGATTTTGAATACTGTTTAAAAGTTAGGTTCAGATTTGAACTTGAGATGGCTTAGACATACCAATGGTGCATACAAGAAACCATGCTGGGTGGCACAACTGTCACCCAGTGTTCATGGTTTGAAATGTTCCCATCACTCTCTCCAATTACACATAGCCTCCATTCTGCCAAGTCCTTGCTCTGCTGCATATTCTTCTGTGGAGTGTTGGGCTAAGTGGATGGGAATACAAGCATCCTGTGTGGTTTGGAGTTAACATGTTGACCACTAGAAGAACTTCATAGAGCTGACTGGCCAGATGAATCCAAAAACCACATGTCTACAAAATTGGAAATCACCACTAAAGGTGAGTTACATGTTGAAGAGCTACTTTGGTTGATCAATGTGACAAAGGTGAAAGGGCTATTTTATAGAGGTGTGTATGTGCTGTATAAGGGATCCAAAACACTCAGACAAAGTGAAGAAGGATAATCAAAAAGGGTATGACAAAAAACAGACATCCATAAGCTCTCTAAACCACAATGCTCAGTTGTTCATCATGACCATTATTGTGCATCTGAAAAATGACATGAGAATCAGATTGCCAAGAAGTACAGACATCAGTCTCACCCTCAAGCAAAGTTCATTGGAGTCATTGCTTGCAGTAGTGGAGGACTCTTGCCGATCGTACTTCTCAAGGGACAACCATTCTGAACTGCAGATGAAAGCTGTGTCAATAAGAGTCTAGCAGGATGATGATGGCAGGCATACCCAAGAGTTGTATAGCCAGGAGAGCTGCTCAAAACATGCTTGACAATGGCAATTTTCAGAATGTATTCCAACAAATATATCTGCATGGCATTGCATGCTGTCATGTTCATTCCTCAGTAAGTTGCACACCATCCCACACCTTTCTCATCCCATCATTCACCTCTCTCCTCCCACCATGACCCCTGCTTGCTTGCTCAAAGGTGGGGAGTGTGTGTCATGACTGATCCATGCCAAGCTCATTGTCTCTCCTGCTGCCTGCTTGAACCTCTCTCACAGCTGCTCTACTTGCAGGAAGCTGATATACAGTGTTGGGCCTGTATGGAACCCAGATGAACATCATGAGAGGTCATTGGACTTGGGAAAATGTAGCTGAACAGAGTAGGAGTTGATGAGGGGTGGATGATGTGGGTGATAGGAACACAGAGATACAAGAAGAGTTTTTTCCCTACCCCACTTGCCAATCCTTGCATCTCCTCACCTTGCATGTGACCCTGTGCTCTTCATTCCTCCTTCACTCAAACATGTCTGCTCATGTAGCACAAGATGTGTTTGGTGGAGAAATTTGTGAATCTGAGAGGTTGGGGGAATATTACAGGAAATGTCAAATAAAAGTGGATCAGTGGATCATGGCAGGTCACAGAGTCAGTGTAAGCTATGAAATAGAGTTAGATGTCTAACGCACTAAAAGACTGAGATTGGAAGTACTTGCATTGCACTCCAATGTTAAGATCTAAACATAACACAAGACACTGCTCAGTGCAGGGCATCAATCTAGTAGAAGGATATCTGATGTGCAAAATTGCTCTGAAATCAAAGCAAAGATGAGTAAAATCAAAAGTAAATATTTTAAACCTACCAATCAACAGAATATGCTAGCATAGCATCTAATAAATGACAGGATGTGTGACAAGGTGCAGCACCAGGATTTAGATGGAGATAATGATTGGAGACATGTGAACTTGACCATGGGAGCACAGAGTGAGCACAGCAAGCTAGCTTGACAAGCCATATATACTCAGCTTTCCTCCTCCCATGGTAACCTTCTTATCACACAGTTATCAATGAATGCTGGCCCACCTGATGAGCCTTGGTCATTGTTATCAGTATTCTCCATGCTCTGACTACCATAAATTTTGCTGTTACCTGGTCATCTATCTGCTCTGTATTTATCAAAAATAGACAAAGCTTCTGGACTGTCTATCTTGGCTTTGTTGCTGAGGACTGGATAGTATGTTGGGTGATGAGTATTGTCTGCCCCATTAATTGGTACGATTCTGCTGGGAACTATCTATATTGCTTATCATTGTTTTGACCATAGATTTGATGCTGTTGGATAGTTTGGGGATAGTGCTGGCTCATCATTCTGCTTCCAATCATATCTCTAATTTTCATCACTAGTAAAGTCTATTTCAAATCCTGTCTTGATTTGAGAGTCTGCCTAGGAAAGACTACTAGTAAGGTGTCTGATCCGATTTATTATTTTTATATTAATATGCAACCTTTTGTGTAGCATCAAAAATCCTGGCAGTGTATCATCAACACATCAATGGGACTTCCAAAGATTTTCTTACACCCTATAACACTCTCATTTTGGTGATGACATCATGGCATGCACCCAACTCATTATTTACTGCATTTTGACTGTTGCCAGGACTGGCCATGGAGCAGAGGGTCAACTGAGATTTTATCACTGTTTTATCAAAGTACTTGTTCAATCCTCAACTGTCTACTTGATATCTCTGATCCTATATCTAGCTTTCACCACCTGCAACAATTTTGGACAATACTACCTTAATGCTATAGCTGACATTGTGAAGATATGTTCATGATCTTAGATACCTTGTCATTTATTCAACACCATGTGTAGGAGATCACTTCAATGCTGCTCATAGGACATGTCATGGCTGGACACCATGCTCACTCTGATGGTTTCTGGCAGGGAAGCATAATGGCATCAGTCTTGATTATGTCAGAGTTAGATGACCTTCTAGAAAGACAACTGGACAAGGTCGATGCTTAATAATGACTTAGAACCTCAGTGAGATGTCCCTCCTAGGGTGAACTGATTTGCTTCTCTGCTCCATCCCAAACTCAGAGATTTTCACTTCCTAGGAACCTTCTCCAATGCTGCACTCTGCCTCTGTTATGGCCAACCATACTAGCCCAATCACTGATGTTTCTCCAGAGAACAGGATGTCTTCACCTCATCTCAGGAATCACTCACACCTTCATGACAGTTTATCCTCTTCTGAGGATACTGTCCTTGGTTCTACTGTAGTAGATGAGACAGTAGCTCTGAGTTGATAAAGATGTAGCTTTGAGACTTCTGATGGTGCTGTATACAACACAGTCTTACTTCTTCAAGTTATTTTCATACACAGTAGTTATCAGGTTTTGTATATGCAATAGCCTATCTACTCTTATTCTAGCCCCAACATTTTACCATATATTTGTAGGTTGTTTCTATATATGACTGTCTCAGAGTCTCAGACACTCTTGTGTTACTATATTTTTTTATGTCACATTATAATTTAATAATAGACTAATAAACATGAGCACACTCTATACTATGGAGTAGATCCTCAGTGCTCAGCCTCAGCTTCAATTCATTTAGTGCAATTGCTTCACAGTCAAAACTGAATTAAAGTATACTCGTCAAATGACTTATGCACAACTCAAAGGGTATCTGTCCAAATTTTGCTTTGTTATGGAAGCAAACTTTGTTGGCAGTTTTCTAGGATGATAATGTGAGACAAGTGATGTAGAAGTTATTTGATTTCCATGTCCTGCAGCAGGTTCATTAACTTTCTGCGACCTCAATGACCAACTCTGAGGGATATTCCAAACTCTGCTTACAATAAAAAGTAGCTGAAGGGGCCTACCAACAGGTGATGCACAAAAAAGCAGTATATTGTTTGTATGAAGAGTCAACATGATCAAGTGTATAACAACAAATAAATTGATTTAACCTCAAGTCTTTGTGAGCAGAGATGTTCAAGGAATCATTTTGGCAAGACCTGGTAGACTTCCTATTGCAAACATACAACTGTACCTATGGCTCACGATGATCTGTCACTACTCCTGTGGACTGCCCTTCATGGTGAATGCAGGGTGAGGAAAGTCATGCAAGATCTATGACGAAGGGCAACAGAGAGACAGAGGAGGACTCAGAGGAGAACAGATATCTCTGGCCTTTTGTCCATCCCTTACAGGATATCCATTTCTTCTCCTTTCTGAAAGATAGTAACTATGCTAAGGAATGCAAAGTGCTAAACACACACACACCCTAACACACTCAACAATTGTGGTTCAAAGGGGTAAGTTACACCTGGTCAACACTTGTACTGTGAATACTAGTTCTGGGTTGACAATGAATATAATTTATTTGATTACAATATTCTGAAGTGACACAAATCTGAACTTCCTGTGTTACTGAACACAATCTGATACCAACAGACTGCCTGGTGCAGTTTTCTGAATGCATACTAACTGCCTGGTGCAGTGTCTGAACTGATACTGTCTGCCTGGTTGCATTTTTACTGGTACTAACACAGATTCTGGACTGTACTTCTGACTTTCTGTCTGTATCTTTCTGAACTGACTGCTTTTTGAACTGTCCTTGCACACAAAACATGACCAGGTCACTAAATACTATTCCAGATGAGTCTAGGACTCGAAGCTCTTAACCAAAACCTGTACTAATTTGCTTGGTAGCATTTTAGGGGCCAGAAACCTGACCTCCCACTCATACATGCATTGTATTTATACTATACTACTCTACCTATATTTTCAATCCTCTAGGTATTACTAAGCTACTTGCTGATGCAGCCAGGCAGGTATGAGCTCATATCCCACCTACCAGATAGACTTGATCATGACCTTTTGCCACAGCCTGGCAACCTGGTTCATGATTTCCAGTTACCCTCTGGGCCAGGGCAAAGCCCCTGGTTCCATAATCCAGTTTTCATACTTACCTGGCAAATCACTCACTAATCCAATAGACTAGAGAGGCTACCTGGTAAGTAACACCATATGTGATCTTTCTTGTCTTGCATTTGGACTAGTGCCATCAAATGACCATTATTGCTGGGATGCTGGTTTGGCTGGAGCCATGTGCTTTTGACCTGCCTGGACCTTCAGTCACTCGGGCTGAGTCATCGGGTCACCAGTCTGTTGCCCAAGCCCTTAGGCTTTTCATGGCTAAGTCCTTACTGATGCAGTAAGGTTTAACACTTCTTTCTGTGTACCTTACATGCTCTTTCTTATGTGTACAGCTACAAACATAGTTTGTATGATAATAAAATTGGATTTTCTACACGTTTTTCAAGGGTAGATGCCCAGCAGGCATATCACTTCCATCCTGTGCTCCCAACATTTCCATGGAAACAAAAGTGAAATCACTCACTGGCAGGAGCATTTGTTAGCCTTGGAGCGAGACAGGTATTAGAGGCAATAATATGGTGGCTGAGTGAAGGAACTGGCTTATCGATGTCTCCTAGTATCATGAAACAAGGGTCCTTAAATTCTACATCCATATCATTCATTAACAAGTCTTGATAGTTCTGCAACTAGCAATGCTGTCTTTGCACAAGAGGAAAGCCGCTAACAAGGAAATCCTGGGGGATGTGCTAGTAAATGCCAAATGTCCATCATTGATGCTACAAATCATTAGAGTGAACCAAAGGAAGGACATTGAACATACCTTCAATCTAGGCTCAATTGCTCAGGAAGAGAAAGATAGAAGGATATTATTTATGCATGTTTGAAACTGAGATTCAGCTCCTTGTTGTCTTTGCAATGATTGGACTCGAAATCTTTCCTCTCAATTCTGCTACAATGCTAACATATTGCTCTCATATAATCCTTGATTTCTGTTGCCATGATCAACAGCCTTGGCAGTTGCATTGAAGTCTCTCTTGGAGTCATGCTGGTACCTGTTCATCTTTATTTCATGATATTGTAGATGTTGAATGCAGTGCTCCAACTACACTTATACTCACAATACACACAATCTTAGTTGTGGCACTGGCAGGTTGCCACTGACATTGGGCTTTATACTGATATGAAGTTGCAGAACACTTGGACAATGAGGGGTTCAAGGGAACTTTTCTGACTTTGATGTTATAACAAAAATCAAGAATGATAGTGATCATCTTTTCCAACCACAACAGACTTCTGGTATCCTCAATATAATAGGATGTTTGGGATGTTATTCTCATAAACACACGACCCCATGCTTCTGTTTTCCTTGATGGCAATTCAGGCAGATATTCCACCAGATCTTACCAACAATGACAAAGCTTTCTTGTTTCAATTTCTCAACACTGCTCTGAACTCTGGAATCCTCTATGCACTATTGCATGGTGGGCAATAACATTCAGTGCCTTCACACATAGGTGTTGACTGAACAGGCATATACACTGGCATTCTTACTGTTACATTGTGGAATATATGTGAGTCAGGACCATCTCCCTTATGATATCCAAGCTGAAGTGAATGGTACAGTCATCAATAAATCATGGCCAATCCGACGAGCCATGGTTGTCATTATTATTCTCCTCTATGCTCTGATCACCATCAATTTTACTATCAAATGGTCAACTATATGCTCCGCATTTATCAAAAATGGGAGAAGCTTCTTCACCATTTATTTGAAGCTTGAAAATGGAGCCCAAGTTGCCTATTGGGAGATGGGTATCACAGCATTCATGAGTACCATTCTTGCAGACTTATATATGGTGGGTATGATTCTGCTGTGATTATTCATGTCAGCTGATGGTCCTTTTGACTCCAGATTTGGTACTGCTGGATGGTTTGGGGACGACGCTGGTTTGTTGTTCTGCTTCCAGTACTCTTTCTAATTTCCACAACAGGTAGAGTGTCTGATCGCATCTGATTCTACTTTCTCATACATCTGACCTTCTATGTAGTGTTGAAAATTATTGATATATATTGTGAGTACATTGGTGCAACCAGCAAAATATTCCCTACACTCTACATATCCTTCGTTCTGATGATGACATTATGGTGCACCTTGTTCATTATACACCGCATTTTGACTGTCGCTGGGGTTAGATGTGGCAGAGATGGTCGTCTGAGAGTTTATCACCATTTCATTGAAGTGCTGGTAGAATCCTCAGCTTTATATTCAATATCTCTGATCCTATTTTTGGCTTTCACCATTCATGACGGTTGGGGAGTGTACTACCTTGATATCATAGCTAGCATCGTGAAGGTGTGTTCAAGTTCTTGGACTCCTGTTATCATTTTCCAAATAACTTATGCAGGGAATTGCTCCGACGCTTCTTGTAGGACGTATCACATCTGGACATCGGGCCCGCCCAGATGATTCCTGGCAGGGAACAGTGGTCGCATCAACTTCAATTCAATCTCAGTCACAAAATCTTAATCAAACAAGCTCCCAGGAGGACAGACCAACAAGTGCCCTTGACCATGATCTCGAAGCTCAGCGTGAGATTTCGATCAGGGTAAACCAGTTTGCTTCTATTACTCATGCGTCTTGAACTGAAACGAGATTATTACTTCATAGGAACTTGCTGTTGCACTTCGCTCTGTTTTGACTGAGAGTCATACCCACCTAAACAATGATATTGCTCTGAAGAGCATGACGTCCTCGCCCCACCTCGGGAATCAATCACTCCTTCAAGATAGTTTACCCCCTTCTGAGGATGCCATCTGCAGTTCTACCCTTGCAGACGAGGCGGCAGTTCCAAGTCGATGAAGATCTCGCCTTAAAAAGAACATAGTACGCAATATCCCATCTATTTTATTGTAGCCCTGACATCCTACCATATATATGTAGGCCATTTCTACATACGACTGACTTAGAGTCTCGAAACTCATTGCGTTTGAAAATAAGCTGTACAATTTATAATAGACTAATATGTATGTGCTTATGGTCTACACAACGGAGCAGGTTCTCAGCCTCAGCCTCGAACATCTGCACGTAATACTATCAAGATGCTTCATAATTGAAGTCAGAATATACCAGTCGAACGACCTATGAGCAACTCGAACGTCATCAGAAAGTCTTGCTCCATTACAGATGCATCTCTGTCGACACTAGACAGTCGTCTTACGGTCCGATGGTGGACTGAAGGATGGTGTAACAATAGCTGTTCGTCTATTTCCACATCCTGTTTTTGTTCGACGTGCTCTGGCGGTGCTCGTCATTTCTGCCATCGCATCTACTGTGAAGAACGAAGGGAAGATATATGGGGTATTAACACCGTTTCTGGAAGGCAGGAAGAACACTCATGAGTAAGAAACACATCTCCTCTGGTTTTCCATGCTCAATTTCTCTTTGCAGTCACCTTCTTTTCGGGCCTATTCGATGATCTGTTTTGGGACAATTGTCCAGTAAGCTTCCCATGTGGAGATTCGACTGCAATATGGAACGAGGGTCTCTATGACTTCGAGTCCCTGATGGAAGAGCCTTTACCATGAAACACGGCGTCACAGTTACTTCAATGAAAGAGCAGGAAGCCACCATTCGAGCAGTTGTCTGTGACATCGAAAAGACTGGTGGGGTGTAGAATCAAACATCGATATCAAGGACGAGGTTGGAAAGATCAGACAAGATGGAGACCGAGTTGAGATGTCTTCTTGTCAAGTGATGAAGAAGATGGGGTATCACAGATGGATTTATTATTCCAACGACCCTAATCCATGAAAAGCCGTACATGTACCACCAACATCCTCGAGATGACACTTCAACTCACGACACCTTCGATACCAATAATCCCCTAGAAGCCAGCTATATATGGCGTCAAAATGGTGATTACGGACATTTTTTAATACTCACCTATCATTTCACCATCTTGGACGCCTTGCGAGTTCCATAGCACTTATTTCTTCAGCAAGTCCAGAAAAAAACTGGCTGTTCCTAATCACAAGGGCTCTATGAGCAGGCTTATGTAGAAACAGGCATGTGGGACAGTCCCAGGCTGACTATCCGCCAGAATCGGAGCAGGAGCAGGAGCACAAATAAGACATGCGTGTATGGTGTAACTGAGCTAATTTGGTCTGGCGGAGCCTGAGGAGGTTTCTCTTTTGCAGTTAGGATGCTTCCTTTCCAGGAACCGTACGGACGTGCAAAGCCCTCAAGATGTGTCCCAAGAAGAGGATAGGCGCCACTGCCTAAAGCCAAAATTCCGTTAGGATAAAGTAATGGGGAGATGGAGACCGAATCGTACTCCTGTAATCTCGGCCATTGGCTCAAAGTAGCAGTGCGTTCACTCAGTACGAGCGACAAACATGGCATAGATGATAGATCAAGCTGACAAAGTAGAGAATGGTAGATTCGATGAAGAGCTCGACAGTGCGATGATACAACAACCGCACGTCCTCCGAACTGCCTTTCTCCTGAAAGGACGTGATGAGACGGCATGTAATGAACTAGAGAGCTATGGTCATAGCGAAGGATATGGAGATCGTGAGCCAGGGCGCGTGAGCAAAATCGTCGTGTAATTTGCTTGGGTTTGATTTTAAGTACTAGTCAAAATTTAGATGGGAAGTTAAGTATGGGAAGGCTTAGACGTACTAATGGTGCAGACCAGAAGGATGCTAGGCGGCACGACCATTGCCCAGTGTTCATTGTTTGAAATGATCATGTCACACTGCTCCCATTACTCTCTCCAACTATGCGTGGCCTCCATTCGGCCAAGTCCTTGCTCTATTGATACTTTCTTCCGCGGAGTGTTGGGGATGGAAATATGAACGCCCTGCCGCCGTAGAGTGTGGTTTGATGATGAGTGGAAGAACAAGGAGCTGACCGGTCGGGTGAATCCGAAATGCGCACGCCTCCAAAATTGGGAATCACCGCCAAAGGTGTTGAAGAGCTATATGGCTACTTTACGGTAACTAACGCGCCAAAGGTTAAAGTGATATTATATAGAGATACGTATGTACTATATACATAAGCAATCGAAAAATAGACGAGGCGAAGAAAGATAATCCAAAAAAGTACGGCAAAAAACAGACATGGCGCAGCCAGTCGATACCGCGTGACGGGGTGAGAGGGGAGGGCAGAGTGCATGCCCTCGAAACACGGCATTGGCGATGAGTGTGGGCCATGAATGACTTTCGATCAATGGCGGGGAGTGTGTGTGTGTGATGGATTATCCACGCCGAGTTTGTCGTCTCTCTCACTGCCTGCTTGAGCCTCTCTCGCAGCTGCTCGACTTGTTGGAAAGTGATATACCATGGTCGGGCTTGTATGATTCTTAGATGAACGCTGTGAGAGATCGTTGGACCTAGGCAAGTGCAACTGAGCAGGGCAGGAGTTGATGAGGGGTGGGCGGTGTAGGTGACGAGAGCACAAAGATGCGGGAAGAGTTTTTTCTCTACCCCACTTGCCGACCCTTGCCTCTCCTCTCCTCTCCTCTCCTCTCCTCGCACGCGACCCTGTGTCCTTCATCCCTCCTTCACTCAGACGTGTCCGCTCACGTGTAGCATAACTTGGTGCAGCATAAGGCGTGCTTGGTGGAAAGATTTGCGAATCTGGGAGGTTGTGGCAACGTTACAGGATATGTCGAATAGAAGTGGAGCATGGAACGTGTGCAGAGAGCCTCTTGAGAAGGGAGAATCAGAGCATCACAGGACAGAATCAATGTAAGCTATGAAATAGAGTTGGATGCTTGACGCACGAAAAGATCGGAATTCGAAGAACTTCCATTGCACCCCAACGTCGAGATCTAAACATGACCCAAGACACTGCTCAGAATCAAAGCCAAGATGAGTAAAATCAAAAGTGAACATCTTAAAAAACCCACCAATCGACGGAATATGCTAGCGTAGCATCCAATAAACGAGAGAGTGTGCGACAAGGTGCAGCATCAGGATTTAGAGGGAGATAAAGAATGGAGACACGTGGACTTGATCGCGGGAGCATGGCCCTTTGATTCCGTACAATGCGTGCGTGCATCTCTTCTGCTCGACCACGATCACGACCATTTTTTATACTATTCTCCTCAAATCATCAATAATCACGTTTTTCATATCGCTCGGGGATGGCGCCCAGTTTCGTTCTAGGAGGGTCTCAGTACATGGAACCCCGACCAGTCGGCGGATGCTGTGACGCTGAAGGAAACGAGACATCAATATCAATCCGCATCGTTTCTGGCGACTTCGGACATTCCATTAGGCAGATTGAGTATCGATATCACCCTGGAGTGGACCGATAACCCGTCGCAGTGCCGGTGAGTACGTTCAGGTTCTAATTGCTTGCCACTGCATTGCTGATATTCCTCGTAGTCCGGAGGTCTATAAAAACCATCCAACTTTGTTTCGTTGTGGGACCTTTTGCGTCTCTGCTTGAGGTGTCTTGGGAGGATAGCTCGGGAAGTATGCTCTATGAGCGGAGGGACGGTATGGTATGTCCACCATTCCGTCGATGCGTTCTATTCCGCTCATTACTGCTGCATTCAGACGTCCTCGGTGAAGAAATGTATATCCCTTCCAAAATCCGAATACCAAGCTAAACAGAGCCATCTTTTACTTAACTGGTGCGCTCTCCTGTACCAAATACGACCCTTTTCCCTGGCACGCGGAATCAGCTCAACGGAATGAGGCTCCGGATGAAGCGGTGCCCATCTACCTAAGCTCAAAGAACGTGGATGAACTCAAGGACTCTTAGCTTCATCGCCCGAGTACACCTCCCACCCCATCTTTTCCTTCCCCTCCCGCATCCAAAATACGCTTCTTCTGGCTTCTTCAACCTGGACTGGTCAGTAGGAGAACGAAAGACCGCGGTACCTCTTCCTGGTCCTTAGCACCAACAAGAGGGGAGGATGTTTTTGTGCAGATCTTTGAATAGCATTTTTCCTACCAGCGCGCGCATGTTTCCGGGAAGCAAGTTTGAGTGCGTTACGCTGTCCTTCTATCAGGCTCTTGCTGTTTTCTCATGTGATGTCCAGATCGCCCGGTGCAGGAGGTTTCGAGGGTGCTTTTTTGAAGGGATCTATATTACATTACCAAGTCCGGAGAACGACAGTGTATTTACTAGGACATCCTCATGCATTTCCTCCAATATCGAACTCGAGTCTAACTGCTGAAATTCCGGCCGATCCCCCTATTTCCATATGTTATCTTCGATGACGAGCATGCTATTGCGGCTCTCAAACATAGTGCCTTCAAAGCGCAAGGTCCATCGTTCAAAAGTGCTCAACCACCCAAAAATCATTAGCTATTAGACTTGTCGCCAGGTATATTAGCGCGACAAAGTCTTCGGTGTGACTTTGCTCCTTCAAGTGCCCTTTTTTCACTGCCCCCAATTCCAGCCCTACCTAAATGTCCGACTCAGAGCCTTTGTTCACTTTCACCGTCCTCGAGTCATCCCCGTCCGGCTACGCGACCAACACCTTACAGAGAGCCTATCGCACAATCTTTGAAAGAAACTCTCCTCCCGACGGGTGGGACGACCAAATCCTACTTTGGATACACACCTGTTCTGCCGTCGGGGTGGATCATCACCTCGTCAGAACGATAAAAAGGTTCTTTCCTGCCTTGCCTGATCCCAGCCAGTTGAACGTTGTTGCTGGTCATCTTCTTGACCTTCCATTGGCTTTGCAAAAAGTGAGTACGCTCTCCGAGTCTGGAGAGGTTTTCTGTTAATCCCTTTTACAGAACGTTACAGTCTTCAAAGCGATTGATGCCCTCGACTTTATGAATCGGCTTCAGGGCTCAGCCGAACTTTTTGGGCCAGAGCCGAGCACAGGAGATCATAAGTCGATGTTGCACCGACGTGAACAGCACGTAACCGCCATATGCCATACCCTACTATCATTCGTCGGGTTCGAGCTTGCGTCTAGACACAAGACCCCGACGACGAACAAACTCGCGCTTTCAAAAGAGACATCAGACCCACCAGGATTGTCTCCTATTCCATCGACTCATCATGGTGGTTCGCCTTCGCCGTGCAGATTACTGAATCTGTAGACCCAGATGTCCCTAACGTCCTCGTATCGATGGGGTGGAAACGTGGTGTCTAGAGTCGAGGGAGCCAAGCCCGAAACTGTATGTTCATTTAGTGAAGATTCTGTTTCTTCTTACTAAATCTCGAGTAGGTCTCATGGGCCTTTAATTCCGCTGATTTCCTCCGAGTCGATGAGTTCCTTCCCTCAAGCCAGTTCAACAAGGTTGAGGATACGGGGTTCGAGAGCTCAGCGAGCTACATGGAGCTTGTACGGATGATGCAGGAGAGTCTTGTTGGGGCCTTTGTGGGAGAATATTCGGGTGGATGGAAGGAATGCCGACTGGTCTGTGATCAATGACTCACAGGCAATTTATACAGGAAAAGGTTCAGGATGTGGATCTCCCTGCTGAACACAACTCGCACGAACAATCTACCCTACATGACGTAGAAGAGGAGCAAACCAGTGCATTGCAAGAGAGGGACATCGGCTTCACGACGCGCCCGTCTGGCACGGGAAGTGTGGTTCTGCGCCGACGGAACCACGCATCGAGGAAGAACAATGGCAGAGACGGTTTACCAGACAACATAAGTACAAGAACAAGCAGGGGGGTGTTCACATTTTTGGTACAGCTTCTGTATGGACAATTAAATACATCCTGCCTACGCATACCACCATTCCATTGACTATGAGAAAAACGAAATATTCTTATTAACTTGTTCTTGACTACTTCTGCGTTGATGAGCTAATCACGTAACATAAAGGTGATAATTCCGCGCAATACTTATAGCCTCTTCATCCTGCACACGTATTTCCTCCTCGGTGAATCTCATATGTCCCCAGGGTAACAAGAAAACACTAGCACCACGTCACCCCCAATCAGCAAAATCTCCAGACCCCAATTGAACATTCAGCTTACCTCGTCTTCAGCTTCTGGAACCCACTTTCTTCCTCCTGAGTCCTCCCACGTCCCATCCCGATTCGACAAGAGCGCTCTGCCTTCCTCGATCAAGCCGACCCTTGCCTCTCACGTGATAGCAGCACCGTTCGCATCTCCTCTACCTTCTGAATCCACTTCTCCCTCACAGCCCCGAGCTTCCTTGCTGTATCGCGAAACACACCGTCCTCCTCTTCCTTCACCCACTCCAAGTACAAAAGACGACGTGGGCGCGCAAGCCTGCATATGTGAAAGAGCCTGCGGGAGTGTGTGCGAGGATGCTGGGGAGGAAGTTTTCGAGGGCATAGCTGGTTAGGAAGGGCTGGGTCCCAGGACTAGGAGAGGGGCGAAAGACTGACTGGGGCGAAGGGAAGGGAGGCTTACAGTGAGACCATTGATGATGCGTTGGATGACAGACTTGGAGTACTCGAGTGTGGGGATATCATTGTATACGGTCCTAGTCAGGTTCGTGAACCGGTAGTAATCCTGCAAGTTAACAAACATACCGTTATCAATGGAAACAAATGTCAAGTTGATGAAGTCGGTGAAGGAATGTGCTGGGTATGCTGAGGAAATTATCGAAGATGCCGTTTGAGGGAATGGGGGACGTCATAGAACATTCAAGTGGTGATAAAGACCTATTATATTGAGAACTCAGTACTCAATAGCGGGAGAGGAATCTGAATGGCATACCTGACCGCTGGACATACTCTTTATGTATATGATGGGTAGTGATACTGCGGGTTTGGGATTGGTGGCTTCTGAACAGAACTTGACGAAGATGGATCCCTGGAGAAGCCAGTCAGTCGTCTCTACTGATACTCCGAGAGTGGGCGTACCCAAATGGTACCCTGCGGGAACGTCCTTAAGGTAAACAGAGTGACGATGCCGTAGTTGTTGCCGCTGCCCTTTTAAAATAATTAAAAAACGGATATCTAAGAGACGGGCACGTACCTGAAAAGAAAAGCTCCATATCGGTCTCTTCCTTCACAGTCACCACAGTCCCATTCGGCGCCACCAGCTCGTACGCGACCACATTATCGATAGAGAGCCCGTACTGGTTTCTCAGATACAAATACCCTTCAGAAAAGCGCTCAGTTAGGACTTTGATCATCACAGGCATACGCACCACCACCGAGAGTGAACCGTTTTACTCTCTCCCCGAATAGTTCACACCCTGAGCATCCAGCACTGCATAGATGTCATCCCAAATACTACCAGCACCAATCACCGCCGTCTGTGTTGCAGTGTCATACGTGACCTCGTAGAAGCGTGTCATAGCAATCTGGACGCCGGAGGTTGAGGAAAATCCCTGATTCGTGGCGCGTCCGTTGCCTTTGATCTGCAGGGATTGGTTACTATTGACCTGACTTGGCGTCTTCGTCTCACCTAGGATGCTCGGACGTCACGCATGAGCAAACGAGCAAAGGCGATACTCACGATGATGCCGACATCTTCAGCAGACCTGGGTTCGACGGTGCATTTGGAGGGTTGCGAGCTTGATGGGGAGTAGTGCTTGTTGTCTGCGACGTAGGACCAGGATAGTAGACGCCTGTTGTGGACGAGACTGAACCATTCAAGGCGACTCCAACTGTTTAAAATGACAGGCCAGCCATCTCTACCTCGAGATTAGTAGCGCCCAACAATCTTCGCTTGATGTGACCCTTCCAATTCGGCTGGAAAGACGAAATGTTGTGGTCGGAAGTGATGCGCCAAGGGAAACTAGAATCCGCTACCCCGCCTTTCTTGTCCCATCGGAAGATGTTCCTGTCATTATTTCGAGTTCTGAGGGGCGGCCCTTGCAAACTTTTGAGTCCCCAGATGGCAGGGTGAAACGCAGGGCAGGGTCTTGAACAAAAGCAAGAAACAAGTTGGCTTCGGCTAATCCCGATACCTCGCTTCTCGCGCATTACTCAGGGACAGCGCGTTCAGCTGGGCGCAATCATCTTGTATAGCTTAACTATGCTTCCTCTACGATGCTACGCAAAATCTGGCGCATCCTCGAAGCAAGCAGACACAGCAAAATATGTCTGAATCAGGCGACGATAGAGAACACAGTATGGCCTAGGTTATGAGTGTACGTTCTCTGCAGTTAATGTACTCACAAACACGTAGGGATAACAACGCTCCTTAGGACTGTCCTACATGCTCATACACAAATGCATAAAGGTCCAAAGGGAAGGAGCGACTACTCACAGAGGTTTAGAGTCAGATTTAGATACTTGCTAGCTATAGTTGATCGAAAAATAAAGCAGATAGTACGATAGTAAAAAAGGATAGCATGACAAAAAATTACAATCGAAATTGAGTCTCCGGTCTCAACCCGACTTTCAGGTGTTCGCCATGAGCTCTACTGCGTCCTCTTAACACCTACCATGAGCTCATCTGACCGCTCCCGTTGAGCTTCGATGTCCATTTCAAGGACTGGGCTCTGCCTGGTGGATTCCTGAAAGCTTGTCATGGAAGGTTGCGAAGGTTGAGAAGATTGGGAAGCCATTTGGAAACGAAGGGTCGACACCGTCGAACTTTCATCATATTCTTCGGTTGGCTGTGTGTGTCCTGCGGCTGCTCTACCAACAAGGAGTGTGGGTGCAACTCCCTACACAAGGTGTTTGATAAATGACGAGGGAGTCTACTAGGATAGTGAACACACCTTCATAATGGCAGCTATGGTATCAGGGTAATATGATCCATAATCATTGTGAATGTAGAAAGCCAAGTCTAGGATCAGAGCTATTGAATAGAGAGCGGAGGATTCCACTAGCACTCCAATAAAACGGTGGTAAACTCTCAGTCGGCTGCCTGCTCCATATCTAACCCCAGTAACAGTCAAAATACGGAAAATGATAAGCAGCGTGCACCATAGTGTCATTGCCAGGATGAAGGTCATGTAGAGCGTCAGGAATACTGTGTCCGATGGAAAGTACTCATGATATATCTCAATGATTCTTGACACTAGACATAAAGTTGGATATATGAAAAGGGTAGATGAGATTGGACACTTTACCAGTTGCGGAAATTAGGCAAAGGATCGGAAGCAGAACAATAAGCCAGCACCATCCCCAGACCATCCAACAGCACCAAATCTAAGATTGAAATAATGATAAGCTGACATGGGTCTTCACCAGCAAAGTAGCACACACAATATATGAGTCTGCAAGAATGGTACTCAAAGAGGCTGCAATACCTATCTCCAAATAGGCTGCTTGATTCACTGCACCGCTAAGCTTCGAGAATACAGTCCAAAAGCTTTGCGTGTTTTCGATGAATCCGGAGCATAGGAATGACCAAGTGGTAGCAATATTGATAGTAATCAGAGTATAGAGGAGAATAATAACAATGACCAAGGCTCGTCGCATTGGCCAACATTTGTTGATGACTGCCACTCACATCAGCTTGGATGTCATAGTAGAGATGCTCCTGGCTCACATATATTCCACAGCGTAACAGCAAGAATTCCGGTGTATATGCCTGTCATCAGTCAACACGTACATGTCAAGGTGCTAAACATCGTTGCCCACCATGCAATAGCATATAGAGAATTGTGGAGTTCAGGGCAGCATCAAGAAATAGAAACATGAGAGCTTTGTCAGCATCAGTAAGATCAGGTGGAATATCTGCATGAATTGCCATGAGGAAAAGCAAAAGAAACGGGGTAGTGGGTTATGAGAATAACAGGTACTGACCCTACCGTTTTAAATAGTGCGGCTCACAGTGGCCCTGCTCATTGGCTGCTGCAAAGATGATCATCAGTATCAAGTCAAACCAAGATCTTTACATACCATACCTCTTCAGCGATTTAATGAACCATTGGAGATCTTGACATTTTCAACTCGCAAGTGCGATGTGACTCGAAGTGCGATATTGCCGGAGAAAGCCCTCTATCACGAACTGCAAGCTTCTCAGATATATGTTCTGTTGGATTAGGATCAGGGGATCCACATCTAGGAAGAAAACAAAGATAACCAGTGAGATGGGATCTCAGTGCCTACCAATGCGAGCTTGTTCTGTCATGGCATGAGCCCTGATCAGGTCTTGCTCCAGAATCAACAGGAAAAGGGCAGGGAATTTTTGATGTGAGTTGCGATTGTTGCTACGCTGGCACATCCTAGATACTTGGGTACCGGTAAAAGTCTTCGGAGGCACACCAGCTTTTGTAAGTCGTATAGAGACAAGAACCAGCTGCACAGTCATATAAGATGAAAGAAAGTTGCCCCTGGAAATAAGGCATGTATTAGAAAAGTGAGGGAAGACAAACTACAACACATAGCCCATAACTCCAATCTCTTCTACAGGCAGTTTTCTTTTCCGATACTTGGTATATCTTTGAAGGCTGGGCATTGCGCAACACATCTGAGTCGACCCATCCTTGTTTGCGTCATTGGTTCTTCATTCAAGGGGGTTGCGCATTTTTAAAAAATGATATCGGGTCGATATTATTTTTAAGGCCTCCTTTGGGCGACCGACCGACCACTGTGGGAATAACATACCAGATATGGTATGTTATTTCAGGGTCCTACCGGTTATAGACACCACAGCCACCGGCAACATGCTGGTTACCGAGCCGAGAAATTTAGTCATCATTGCCGAGAACACTTGCTGCTACCTCACTGACCTCTGTCGGGCCTGCTAAGCATCTAAACCATGGAGTGTGAAGTACTACAGAAGTATCCTGTGACTATAAATGCCAAGGGCTACCTCTATCCCTCATATTGAAGGGGTGTCCAAAATATTTTTAAGGGCTCCTGGAGCCGACCGACCGACCGACCGACCGGATGTGCCGGAACAACGGCCCGCAACCCCCTTGTCTTCATTACCCAGGAGTAGTTTACTTCTATTTACCTGAGCTGTATTAGCGGAGATGGCCAATCAATCCAGTTTTCCAGTTTTCCATTACTTAGACTCTGAGATCGACAAAGGTGGTGACGCAGTCTGATACTGAGAGCTGAGAGAACAGACTGGCGGGTTGTAGAACAAAACATCGATATCAAGGCCGATATTGGAAAGATTTGACAAGATGGCGACCGAGGGGAGATGTCTGCTCGTCAAGCGAAGAAAAATATGAGGTATCACAGATGGACTTATTATTCCAGCTACCCTAATCCACGAAAAGCCGTACATGTATCACCAATATCCTGGAGGTGATACTTCAACTCACAACACTGTCGACACCAATCAGAAGCCAGCTAGATAACGCGTCAAGATGGCGATTACGGGCAATTTTTTAATACCCACCTATCCTTTCACCTTCTTGAACGCCTTGCGAGTTCTATGGCATTCATTTCGTCAGCAAAAAAAACTGGCTGTACCTAATCACAAAGCTCTACCGGCAGGCTTATGTGGAAACAGGTGCACGGGACAGTCCCAGGCTGACTGTCAGCCGGAATTGGAGCAGGAGCAGGAGCGTGAATTTTGTCAGCGAATAAGATGGTGCGTATACGGTGTAACAGAGCTGATTTGGTCCGGCGGAGTCTGAGGAAGGTTCTCTTTTGCAATTGGGGCGCTTCCTTTCCGGGAATTGTACGGACGTGCAAAGCCCGTCAAGATGCGTCCCAAGAGGAAGGTCGGAGCTAAATTCCATTGGGATGGGGCCACAAGATGGCCCGAAATGTACTCCTGCAATCTCGGCTATCGGCTCGAGGTAGTAGTGTGTCCACTCGGGGCAAGCGACGAAGACCGTGCAGAGGATCAAGTTGATAGAGTAGACTTAGTAGAGAATGGCGTATTAGCTTGACGGAAGTGATAATGCGGTACATGATGAGCACGGTACACCACAGGGCCATGACCATGGCAAAGGACACTTATATGATGAGCCAAGGCGTGTGAGCCAACTTGTCGTGTAATTATGCTCGGATTTCCATTATTTTGGATCTAGTTGATATATTGTTTAGAGTAAGATTTGAATAAGTATGCGATAATTTGGACACACCAATTGTAGACCAGAAGAATTCTGGGAGCCACATCTGTCATCCAGCGTTCGTGGGTTGAAATGCATACGACACCTCAAGACATCCACATACCGTACTTCTCTCGTCACTCTCTCCAGCTATGCGTCTTCACTATGCCAAGTCCGTGCTCTAGCGATACATTCTTCTGCGGAGTTTTGGGCCAGGTTCATAGGAAGTCGAGCGTCCTGCCGCCACCTATGTCATAGAATACGGTTTGAAGTTGACGAAATGGAAGAACTGAGGGCGAATCCGAAAACCGTATGTATCCAAAATTGGAAATCGCCGTCAAAGCAGAGATGCGTGTTGAAGAGTTATATGCATACAATAGGCGACTAATAAGACAAAATTTAAAGTGATAATATATAGAGAGGTATGTATGCACTATATAAGCGATCGAAAAATAGACGAGGTGAAGCAGGATAATTAAAAAGAATACAACAACAAAAGACAGACTGTGACAGTCCATAAGTCTCTGAAGCCCGACATTCAGACGTTCGCCATGAGCTCTATTGTGCCCTTTCAACAACTACTACAAGCTCGTCTAACCGCTCCAGCTGGGCTTCAATGTCCATTTCAAGGACTGCGCTATGCCTGGTGGATTCCTGAAAGCTTGAAGCGAATGATTGTGGAGGTTGAGATGGTTGAGAAGACATCTGGAAACGAATGGCAGACACCAGCGAAGTTTTGTCATGTTCTTCATTTGGGCATGTGTGTCCTGCTGCTGCTCTGCCGATGAGGAGTGTGGGTGCAACTCCCTGCACAAGGTGCTTAATAAATAACGAGTTTAAGATCGTGAACGCACCTTCGCGATACCGGCTATGACACCAAAGTAATACAGTCTAGAATCATTGCGAATGTAGGATGCCAAAGATAGGATCAAAGATATCGAATAGAGAGCGGAGGATTCGACTAGCACTCCAATAAAACGGTGAAAACCTCCCAGTCGGCCGCCTACTCCGCGTCTAACCCCGGTAACAGTCAGAATGCGGAAAATTATGAGCAGTGTGCACCATAGTGTCGTTGCCAGGATGCAGGACAAGTAGAGCATAGGGAATATTCCGTACGGTTCACTGAAGTATACAAGATATATTTGAAAGATTTTCGACACTACGCAGAAGTTGGATACATGGAAAAAATAGATGAGATCGAGCACTTACCAGTTGCAGAGATTAGGGTAAGGATTGGAAGTAGAACAATAGGCCAGCGCCGTCCCCAAACCATCCAGCAGCACCAAATCTAGAGCCGAACAATGGTAATGTGGATAATCCACAGTGGAGTCACACGCACCATATATAAGTCCGCGAGAATGGTGCTCGCGGACGATGTGATACCGGTCTCCAAAGCGGTTGCTGGGGCTACACTCAGCTTCAAATATTCGGTCCAAAAACTTTGCCCGTTCTCGATGAATGCGTATTGTATATATGACCAACTGAAAGCAAAATTGATAGTAGTCAGAGCATGGAGGAGAATAATAACGACGACCAAGGCTCGTCGGATCAACCAGCGTTTATTAATGACTGTACCATTCACGTCAACTTGGATGCCATAGTAGAGATGCTCCTGGCTCACATATGTTCCACAACGTTACAGCAAGAATTCCGGTGTATATGCCTGTCATCAGTCAACCCTTAGACGCCAAGGCACTAAACGTCATTGCCCACCATGCAATAGTGCGTAGAGAATTACGGAGTTCAGGTTCCCGTCGCGATATTGAAACGAGTGAGCCTTGCGGTCGTCGGTAAGATCTGGTGGAATATATACTTGAGCCGCCATGAGGGAAGGTCAGAGCAACACGGTAGTGGGTTACGAGAACAACACGTAGCAACCCTCTCATTTATAACAGTGCAGCTCACGGCACGCTCATTGGCTGCTGCAACTATGCTGCAAAGATGGTCATCGGTACCAAGCCGGAACGGGATCCTTATGTACCGACTGTATTCTGCGATTCAATGAGCCGTCGTGTGCATTGATAGTTTCAAGAAAACTCACAATAGAGCAAGGAAGTCATCCCGGTGAGATTTCAGCGCTAGATTGAGTTTGTTCCATCATAGTGGGGTGGCTAGCTCCACAGCGTAAAATTTGGCTGCAAGATTGACAGAAGAAAGGTGGGTTCAGTTTCGATATCATGTACAATAGTGACACTGACGGCTCCTAAATTCTGGGAAAGGAATTAGGCAAGAGTATTGACGTCTGCAAGTTATACCCTGACATGGCCATACACGTCAAACGAAAGTTTACCCTGGAAAAGATTCATCTATCAGAAGAGTGGGGCAAGATAGAACAACACGTAACCCATAGTGAACTCGATGAACCGAATCTCTTCAAGAGGTAATTTCCCTTTCCAGTACTCTGTACATCTCCGGAGGCAGGGCGTTGCTATCCGAGTTTAAGTCGACCCATCTTGGTTTCTATCTTCATTGGCCATCACTTGGAAGACAAAGGCGGTGACAGGTCAACACTGAGAGCTGAGAGAATTGACGGGTGGGCCGTAGAAACGACATGACGCGATGCCATTGGGGGGCAGTTTAAACCAAGTTACACAGAAGAATGAACGGGTACCTAGCAAAAAACGAGGGGATACCTGCTCGTCGAGCGATAGAAGACAGGGCTTCACAGATAGGCTCATTATTCCGGCGACTGTAAGCCATGGAAGGCAGTGTATGTAGTACCACCACGATCTAGCAGGTGACGCTGCAACTCATGAATGCATTAACTGTGATCGCCTCAGAGTGTTTCAGGAGATACTAATGATACTAGATAACGCGTTAAAATGGCAGTTATGGTCCAGCCCAATGGCACTCTACAAAAATACTCACCTTTCATTTCTCCCTCCTTGCGCACCTCATCCATTAGCAAATCAAGGCACTAACCACCAAGGCTCTAGGTAGTCGTGAGGGCGATAGATAGGTGCCACATATGCCGCCGAACGAATCCCCTAAAGTCGAGATGAAACTAGCAAATCAAGAACGGTACCAACACCGCCGTGGCTTGTCCTTGGCTCCTTGGTCATTACGAGATGTCCTAGGCGTTGATGATGACATGTAAAACTTTCCGCGAGGGGATGAATTTTGTTTTCGCCATACTACACTCCACCGAAACACACGGATGGAGAGATATGCAAGCAAGTTTTTAACAGAGCCAAGCTCGGTTCTTCGGTTCAAGTTGTCCGACGTGGCTGTGCGCCCTTCTTTGGGAAAAGGCCGGCAGAAACCTAGCGGGACGAAAGGCTTCATATCCAAAAACTGAGGTCCGAGTCGATATACCACAGATATTTACCAGGATTCTACGAACTGTGCCACGCCGTACGTCTCGAGTTCTCCAGACAATTTCTATAAATATAATTCTTTATTTGTATAAGACAGGTATAGAGATAGTCTAATTTGGAGTAACAGTAGCAGTAACGTCGAAAGCATTTCAGATGGTGGAAAGTGTACAAAGTACACAACACAATTACATGATTAATCTACACAAGTCACTAGACAGTAAAAGGGAAGGGAAGGGGACGAAAACACAATGCTTAGAACGTTCTTCACCCACTTTTCTCACTGACAACGGCCAGTACCGCAGGCGCGTTCTCAGTTTTCTCATTCTCCTTCTCATTCTCAGCCTCAGGCTGACTCTCAGCCGGTGCAGGAGTGGAAGCCGGAGCAGGGGCTGGAGCCGGAGCCGGAGCTGGAGCGCGAACTTCGTCAGCGAACAAGACGGTACGCGTAGCAGAGCTGATCTGGTTGGGCGGAGCCTGAGGAGGCTTCTCCTTCGTAGCCAGGGACGCTTCCCTTCCAGGAATCGTACGGACGCGCAAAGCCCGTTAAGATGCGTCCCAAAAGGAGGGTAGGCGCAACAGCCTATTCAGCAAAGTCAGAAAGCAAGTAAAAGGTTAAACGGGAAACGTACTCCTGTGATCTCGGCTACAGGCTCGAGGTAGTAGTGCGTCCACTCAGTGCGAGCGACGAACACAACATAGAGGATCAACCCAACAGGGTAGAGAACGCCGGATTCGACGAAAAGCTTCGACAGTGCGATGGTACAACGACGGTCCGTCCTCCGAACCGTCCTTCTCCAGGGGGGACGTGAGAAGAGAGTATCCAATGAACACGGTGCACCAAACGGCTGTGGCCATGGCGAAGGATACGTAGATCATGAGCCAATGCGTGTGTGCAAACTCATCGTGTAATCTTGCTTGGGTTTCCATAATTTTGAATACTGGTTGAAGGTTAGGTTGGGATTTAAGGTTGGGATGGCTTGGACGTACCAATGGTGCAGACCAGAAGAAGGCTAGGAGGCACGACCGCCGGCCAGCGCCGGCCGCAGAGTACATAGGAACGCCAAATCTAGAGTCAATAAAATATTAGTATGTCCAGAGTCACACCCTGACGTGCACTTACGAGGGTAGCATCCGCGAAAATGGTACCAATGCAGCTCGTAACAGTCATCCCCACCCGAGCCGTCACCAGCGATCTCGAATGATTGATGAGCGCCTCGTATACCGTCCAAAAGGTTTCGCCGTTTTTGATGAATGCATATCGTGTGAATGACCAACTGAATGCCAAGCTCATTGTTGCCATAACGTAAAGAATGCCGATGACGATGGACATGTTTCGCTTGGAACCCTGGTATTTACTGACAACTGCAGAGAGTCAGGTTACAGAGATAGCAAAAGAGACGTTGGACGTACGAATCTTCCATCCTGCGACGGAGATTATACATGTATACAAGCCTATCAATCGCGCTCAGAAGAGAGTACGCAACAGCGAAAGCACGCAGCCCACCATGCAAAAAAGCAAAAAGAATCGTCGGATTCAAATTAGAGTCGAAATTGCGGAATATGACCGCAACTTGAGAGTCGGTGAGATCGGGAATAGTGTCATTAACAGTCGCCATTGTCTGAAAGAGAGAGGAAAGATGAACAGCTGAGTAGTGGGGGGATCATGCTAACGGCTTACCATATATATATAAAGCATTGGACAGCATCAACCCACCCCTTCGTGAAACACGGAAGATGGTCCTTTGAAAGATAAGATCAACACCGTCCATCTGAGGTTATGTTGATCTTCCATCAGATTACCTCCGATGGCAGTTGCAATATCAAACCCACCGAAAAGACAGCCGTATCTGGAACACTGTTAAAGAGCGATCCCCACTCCATGTCGGTGAACAGTTGCAGTCAATCGAGACAGAATCTGTGCTTTCCCTCCCCAATATCAATCACGCCCACTGCTGTGTTCCCGGGTTGATGTGCACGCACAATAGATTCTGCCTCCGTGATTGACATTGCCGGGTTTCCGTAAATCAGTCGCCGAAAAGAGGCCGGTCGATGAACAGCCTCTCCTGCGTCAAGGGAGCTCTTCTTCCGAGACCCTCGATGGAACCTCCATATGCCTCTGACATCCAACAGATGGAGAAGAATGAGAGCGTTAATTCGCCAGTCTAAATCACAGGCGGAGTTTCGTGCTTTCATCAAGGGCATCAGGGTGTGCAAGTCTATTTTCGTTCCAGATACAATAGGAAGATGAAAAACGATAAGACGTACCTTTCTGAATTATCGAGCTCACCTCCAGTCATCAGATTTCGTCGCGGTGGTGGGGCATGATGGTAGTTCCACGGCAACGAGTTCCTCGCCATCGCAAGGTTCTTCAAGCATTTCGCAGAGCTGGTGGTCTTCAGAACGATGATGGTCGTCTAGTGTGCTGTAGCATTTTCATTGGTGTCGCCTCTTTGGATCTTTGGACGACATACCTCAACTGTTTACTTCGCTTCTTCGTAAGCGCAGGTGAGCCCATCACGAGGTCTCCATAGCAAAAAACAATAGCAACGAACGATCCAGAGGCAGATATGAAAAGGGAAGAATTATGGGCCTCAGCTGGTAGAGTGAGGGAAGGAGCAAAAGCCGAAAATGGTAATCACCGTTTCTCGATCCTAGCTAGCCGTCTGTATAGTAAAGCACGTTTTCAATTTATGGCAGATATTCCGCCCCTCGTAAGCTAGTATCTGTCGCTGTGTTTCATATCGCTTACAAAGGCAGCACAGGAAAAGACGGGTCCCACAATTCAGATACAATCTCCACCGCTTGATACACAAAACTTAAAAGAACTCTCGCGGTTGCGAACGAACATCAGATTGATGCAAGGCTGTATTGGCCTGAGACATCCCCTAGATATAAATAGACCAAGAATTTGTTTATGATTCTACGTCCCCGCCATTCCTACGACACCAACATGGTCTCTGATACGCGCGACCTCATTGGCAGTGAGGACAGTCTTGCCTGCGCGCAAAAAGTCCTCGAAAGCCTGTTGAGCATCCGAGTCTGTAGTGAACTCGGTCCTGCAAGACCTCAGTAAAACATGAATAGACGAACAACGACAGGCCTTACCTCAAGAATGAATACAGCCGGTCCCACATCTCTGGCTTGGCGAGCGCATTATGATACGTAGACGCAGAAGGTCGTGTTGGTGAAGGCAGGTCAGTGTCGAGGGAAAGAGAGATATCCAAAGGCTTGTCCGCCGATGGGGATGGCGAAGGTGAGAGAACCACGGATGGGATACGGGTGTGACGAGAGGGCGTAGCAGGAGTGGCAGTGGTAATCGGCGCAGGCTTCATCGGAGTGGGCGCAACAATGACAGGGGGATCAGGGGGCGGTACGTCTTTCAGAATGAGATTAACAATGTCTCCGTCGTGGACAGGGTACTCGAGCAGGAGCTTGTTATCAGCGAGAGCCTTGCCCTTGAGCAACAGACGAACAGCTGCCGGATTCGCTGGGGAAAGTTGTGATTTGATGGAAAGAACCGTATCAGAGGGCGATACTCTAAGGGTAGTCGAAGAGGCGGGTTTCAGCGATTTGAAGGTGAGAGTGATCGCTTTTATATGTTACTCAGACAAGGCTCCTAATAAAATAATGGCCCCTACTCACCTGATGATGACGATCCAGCCTCTTCTTGCTTCCGCTGAGGCGGTGCAGGCAGCGGCACCTATATTCAGCCTGCTCAGTACCAGAACAAATTGTTCCTGATGGTCATACCTGCAGCACAGGCACCTTCTTCAACGAGTTCTCAGGCGGTTGGTGGTAATCATCGGGATAGGTAACAGGCTGCGACATTATCGTGTTCAAAAAGGTGTTAACGAATGCGAGTTCAGCTTGCTCAGCCATCGTGGTAGGAAATCAGAAGGTAGGGTGGCTGTGCTGTATGCGGATCAGAGCAAGGTTTATGCGCATTCGTCCTTTGCTTCCCTTACTGCGCTCCAAATGCAGTGACTGTCAGGTTCTTCAGGCCGCAACGGATCTTGTCGCTCTCATCGTTACTCATTCATGTTCCTAACTATCTATCAACAATACAACTAAATACTTCATACATAACTACAACCATCTCGCTCATCCGCACCCCAATTTCACAAGTCCCCCACATTCTGCTTCCGTGACTTGGCCCACACCATACGACGGCCTTGCCCATATTGGATCCTATAGCTTCTCGAAGCGCGCAATACCAATTTGAAGAAGCGGATTGTAGGGGCCATATAAACGTCTTGCTCTGGCGAACTCCCAAGCAACTTTTCCCACTTGTCCATGGTTTTCCGGAGCGCCCGAAACCTAGCGTTCACGTTGACGAACAACGGATTCGTGGACCATTCAACCTCGCAACCCTCCTCTATCCAAGCTCTGGCTCCATGTTGGTGTTGGAAGATGGGAATGTCGCAGTAAGGATACTGGGTGATATAACGACGGAGCTCGGATTGACACATAAACGTCCACAGGAGTCGAGCAGTCTGCAGGTAGACCATCCATCTCGCAGGATCAACTGGAAGAGTTACGAGTTGAATGTCCATGATTACGTCGTCTATAAGCTCGAACAGCTTTGACGCTCGGACGACTGAAACCAGGACTGCTGTGTAACAGACGACCCGCTCATTGATAAAATGATCGTTGATGAGCTGTAGCAGAGCTCCTGCCGAAGACGGTATTCCTCCTGGAGCTTCCTCGGCCTCAACGTCCAGATCACTGAGAATGTTGAGAAGACCTCTCAGTCCAACTTTCTCACAGCAATTGAGGGCAGTGCCGAACCAAGCACACCCTGCCCGAGTCTCTTTGATCTCCTTTCCGCAGCCCTCACAATATGCGCGCAAGCAAACAGCACATACTGCTAAAACATATCTCAATGCTTTAGGAACAGATTGTGCTTCTCGTATGTATGGCGCTGAGGCTGACACAGGAAGACGACGGAGATCCGTCAGCGGTACGTGGTAGGAAGTACATTCGTGCACCTCAGTGAGCATCTCTGCAAGACTCGATTTCATGTCGGAATTTATCCAGCTGAGAATTAAAGCTGACAGAATTTATGGAGCGATTACTGCCAGAGCTCGATGTGGAATGTACTGATGCTGCTCCTCTGCTGACCGAACGCGTCCTAGGTGGAGAGGACGGAGGTGTCGTGTTGGAGGATGAAGACGCCAGTCTGGTAAGTAATAGTGATTCGTAGGTCGAAGACGTTGATGTCGTGTCTAAGGGAGAGCTTGGAAATGATTGGAAGGATACTAGGTTGTCTTGTTCTGGAAGCACCGATGAATGTTGATGCAGGACATGCGGAGAGGCGCTACTCGAAAAGGCGCGGTTCATTCGGCTCATGCCAGACGATTGAAATATCTGAGTAATGATATCTAGGAGTCTCAAAATCAGTACGAAATATTTTGATATATATCTCGTTTGTACCTTGTGATTCACGGACCTCTGAGTTTGTCAAGAGCTCGTCCTGAAGCGGCAGGGGATAAACATCATTGACATTGTGTTGCCTCTCGGCATCTTGAGACCTTGATTTCTGACTAGAAGCAATTGACGGAGTGTCCGGGGCTATTTGCGTGAATAAAATATGAGTAATAATAGATTAGATGGTGTAGCTGGACAGACCCTGAGCCGATGAGGACCTCTTGCTCGACTTGGATTGAATTCCTTTCTTGAATCGGTCAAGCACTAAAGTCATTAATTAGCATAGCAGTTCTTGATCACAGATAGCGAGCTAGACGCATACGGGGTGAAGAACGAGGGGCCATTTTCAAAGCGTTACTTAGATCGGCAAACGAAGTAAGTGTGCAGGGGAGGGTCGAGATTTCGAGGTCTCAGCCCACATGTTTTATAGCCAAGAGCACAATAAACGTCTCTTGGCCTGAGCCATCCAGTCCGAGGTGAAGCTTCAGGTTACTTGGTGATCATTTCCATTCTCAGTCCTAACAACAAGCAACGCATCGCCCAAGCATGGCCAAGTACAGCCAAGGAACGTAGTGCTAGCCCCGAAAAGAGACTGTCCAATCTTTCGAGTCGAAGCTGATTGATAGGGAACAACAAACGTCCAAAAGGGCGTTGACGGTCGTAGTAGGTCCGCGGGTTCCCAGCGCTTGAAAATACAACACCAAAGTCGAACACGAGACGCAGATATAAAACCTGTGTCCAAGAGGTACATGTGCGCTTCTGAAGAAGAAGAAACACCAAACCTAACGTAGCTTTAAGGGGGGTAACCAGGAATCGAGGGAGCAGTAGGGGGTCTCGAAGCGCAGGCGCCGGTGCCTTATACCTTGGCCGCATATATGAGTGCTACGGACAAGAGGTCTGTCAGAAAATATCCGACGCGTCCTCCGATCAGCGTTGAACATCCTAGTTCCACATCTTCGCACTGGTCCGTTCCTGGCACCAGTCAACAAAGCAGTAGTACACATTACAAGGCACAAAACAGCCTGGCGGTGTACAAGGTGTGAAAGCGTCCCTTAACTTGATCAGGTGTACAACAAAAATCACCACAAAACCAATGCCTCATGATCTGATAAGCGAAGGCTATATGCCTAGAAAAGTTTTAAGGATCAGAGCCGTGTAATCAAATCGTCTTTTTCACTGGCACGTACATTCGACAAGCGTCATGCCTTCTAGAACCCGCACCATGATCTCCTCAAGACGGAGCTAATGAAAGGATACAGGCCTCAAGCGCCAAGAGGAGGAAGCTGGCCGTGTGTGACAAAGTTGAGGTCGGAAACGCCAATGGTATGACCACATCATACTCCAAACTCCGCGAAAATGTCAATGATTCACCATCCACACGGTCAGGAGAGGCCAGTGCTTCCCTGCTATAATTTCCGCTGAAACTGGCCGTATATATGCACATTCGCGGAAACGTAGAGATTCTCCGCGACCCTGCACGGAAAAGAGTTTATCAGTCTTGTATTTGAGACAAGCACTGATTATATGACAATGCTCACAGTTGCAGCGATCCAGGATTCGAATCCTTCAGTGAGCATCCGAGACATTGGGTTTGCCCTCCGGAGAAACGGTGTCAGGATTAATGTCTGGTCATCGAATAGACGCGACGAATATTGTCGCTCGTCTGTGTCGCAGATAAGTATTATCGGTTCCTTGACGGATAATTAGAATAGGCTGAATGACCGAGTACTATCCCAAGTTCACTTGCTTCTTACACAACTTTGAAGGGAGAAGAGCGAGCTCCTCGAGGCCGGCTTTCTTCGTCAGAGGCTTGGGCCGTCGTATAGTACAATCCGTTGACTAGTCCTGACGCTGTTGCCAAAGTTTTGTTGGAATGCCGGATCTATACTATGGGCCATAGATCTGTGTTGACGTTGCCAACATGTAAGAATGTCGGAAATTCGAGTCACTCTTGGTCGCTGCTCCAGACGGCATCGGCAACGTCCGTCGAAACATATTACGGCATCTCGGCATTAACCTCAACAATCAACCAAGCGCTCAACTTCCTGCTATTCACGAAGGACTTCAGAGCGTGCCACGAACTCTTCGAGCTTTATGGCTTGCGGTTTTCCCAATTTCATGCCTGTCTAAACGAATGCAACTGGTTTCATCCTAGATTTCTGTACCAGGAAGTAACCGAAGTTGAAAAGTTCTTCGAGCTGGTCGCAGACTCGCGGTGCCTCAGGATCGTAGTCGATTTAACCTCACGTCTCACCTGCAGCGAATCCCTGTGGGACTGTACAGGAACTCAAACGTATTCAATCGAATTTCTCTGTATACATCGTCCCCAGGATGCGCTCTCGTCTTGCTAGGCCTCGGAACCCAGACCTTCCTCGGATTGGTTAGGTGACATTCATTAACATTTCGCGGCACTGAGTTATTGTTATTTGTAGATTTGGCGTTGCTGATTGGTCTGGGGACGGCGTTGGCCTGTTGTCCTACTCCCCATCCTAATGCTCATCTCTGGAATCGGTATGACGCTTAGGGTCTTTTTCTATCTCACGTTTACCTATAGTTCTTTCCAGTGTTCAAGATCATGAATACACACCAAGGGTACACCTCTGGCAATGACTACGTACTCGGCTTTGTTCTGTACTCATCCTTCGTCCTGGTGACGACAATATGGTGTACCGCTTTCATCATTTACCGCATTTTAACTGTTGGACAGGCAAGTGGTGAAGTTGGAGGCGGAGTCAGCTTCTATCGCCATGTTATCGAAGTCTTGATCGAATCCTCCGCATTATATTCTGTATCCTTAATCCTATTAGTGGTCTTTGAGGTTCGCGAAGTTCAAGCACGATATTATGTTGATGTCATGACGGGGATTGCGAGGGTGCGTTAATGTCCCTTCTTTCCCTTGGCGGCTAACAACAAATGTTCGTCTCTCAGGGAGTAGCTCCAACGCTGCTTGTTGGGCGTGTCGCTGCAGGACACGCACGTTCAGACGACTCATGGCAGGGCAGCGTAATGTCGTCACTACATTTCGGGACAACGCATTCGCGGAATAATGACCAACCAAGCCTCGAGGAGGAGACATTGCAGAGCATCGTGCTAGAGGAAGATTTACATATTAACAGCTGTTGATGCTCAAATTCGCAAATTCAGGTTCTTAATGGCCGCATCACTGACAAGATCAAATACCAATATATTATCACGCGGACGTCTCGCCCGAGCCAGCTTCTCACAGTAAATGTACGGGAATTGAGATGCATATAATGGAATTTTCTGTTTCCGCCATCACTGAAATGCGCTCTGATTCATCTCGTCTTGCTAAGCCGCTTGTCGGGGTCCTTACGTCCATTGGCTCTGCTGCTATTTATCTGGCTTGGATATATCGTGTGGTAGGTGAGATGTTTTATTCGGAACCATAGACGTCCACGATGTTACTGACGCTTTTCTAGAATCGTTTTGTTTGCCGAGCTTGAAGCTCATACGCCGGTCGTCCCACTCTACATGATGGTGACTGTCTTCAATCAATGGGGCTTGATCAAATTATCTGATGATTGGCCGCTATAATTGAAAGACATCGGAGGGACCGAACGATAACGAATCTGAATGACAATTCTAGTCGATTTAAGTTTTAAATGGTAGCTGTTTTCAGGTCACCGCCGTTCACACTTACGCTGTGCATGTTACCCAGATGCTCGTATCATTGCTTTGGTTGATGGCTCGCGGCACCAGTATACAGTGCTTACTTTCGATGCTGACAATTCTTATGATCCCTGTGACTATGGTGATGTTGCGACGACATGTAGTAATTGAAAGCGCATCAACTTGGATTGACGGAACTGATCATCTTCCCGAGTCTCGAAGCAGTTTGATGCTTTGCCGAACAAGTTAGCCATCGTGAACTTACTGTCGATGATTTCATTGGAGAGACATGACTGCTGCGCACTTTCTGATGGGCCACTATATAACAAAGTATGAGGATGGAGTACGTGTTCGGACCTCCTTGTGTAGTACTCTACCCTATCTTTTTCTCTACCTATTCGTGATGACCTACCAACTCGATATCCCGCCAAATCTTAGTGGCAGTGACATAACTGCCATGTACCAATATCTAGACGCTCAATTGAACACGGAGATTCTCTATGCTCACTTATACGGTTTGTATTGTCGCTTGAGTTTTTAATGCATCTATCTAATTTGTCACTATACCTAGGCATCTATACCGGCATTGTCGCCGTCACCCTATGGAATATCTGTGAGTGTAATATATCCTCTGTGTGATCATCTACTAAAGCTCAATTGAATAACCAGTCACCCGTAAATCCTGGCCCGTTGGACGACAAGTCATGGTCATAGCTATCATCCTCCTCTTCATCGTCACTACCATCAATGTCGGTCTCAATTGGTCTTATATCGGCTCTGGCTTTATCGACAACAGGCCAAAGTTTCTACTCAAATTATTCGGTGCTTGTATTTTCTAAAAACACAATGTTCTTGGGGATGGGTATCACAGGCGCCATCAGCACTATCATTGCAGATTCACTATAGGTGAGTGTACTGAATTCATTTGGAAATTTTCACAGTCCTCACTTATTGTGTAATATAGATTTGGCGTTGCTGGATGGTCTGGGGACGGCGCTGGCCTATTGTCCTTCTTCCCATCATGCTGCTTATCTCTGGAATTGGTGCGATGCTCAGATTTTTTTCTGTCTCACATTTTCTCATAGCCCGCACTAGTGCTCAAGTTCATTGATACTTACCAAGAATATACGACTGGCTACGACGACGTAATTTTCTTCGTTCTGTACCTATCCTTCGTTCTGGCGACGACAATATTGTGTACCACTCTCATCATTTACCGCATTTTGACTGTTGGACGGGCAAGTGATGGAATTGGAGGTGGAGTCGGCGTCTATCGCCATGTTATCGAAGTCTTGATCGAATCGTCTGCACTATATTCTGTATTCTTGATCTTATTAGTGGCCTTTGAGGTTCACGGAGATTGGGCAGGATATTACTTTGATGCTATATCCGGGATTGTGAGGGTGCGTGCATGTATCCTTTCCTTCCCTTGGCAACTAACAACAAATGTCCGCCTCTCAGGGAATAGCTCCAACGCTGCTTGTTGGGCGTGTCGCCGCAGGACACGCACGTTCGGACGACTCATGGCAGGGCAGTGTAATGTCGTCACTACATTTTGGAACAGCGCATTCGCAGAATAATGGCCAATCAAGCCTCGAGGAGGAGACATTGCAGACCATCGTGCTAGACGAAGATGTAGAGGCTCAACAGGGGAAGACGGGTAGGCACGAGCACATCCAAACTGGATCCCAGGAATATCTGGACCTACCAAACAGCGTCGTGCTCCGAGATGACTTGAAAGCTCGGCCAGAGAGTATAGGGGATAGCCACGGAAGACAGGCTATTGGACATACGGATTAATGTCCCTCATGAGTATCATTTCCCTTTGCTCATACCCATTTGATTGAATACCGGCCTCCATCATAATGTACTTCACAAGCGTAATCAAGGAGCCAGGAGTGTCACAGCGGCACATCCTCGTCGTACTTTTCACTGAATTTGACTGCATATATGCACATTCGCGGGAAAGTAGAGATTCTCTGTGACCCTGCATGGAAAAACAATTTGTCAGTCTTGTACAATGTATTTGAGACGTACCACCACTGGATGTATGCTCACAATTTCAGCGGTCGGGTCTTCGATCCTTCAGTGCTTCAGCATCCGAGTGGTTTGCTTTGCCCTCTGGAGACACGGCGTAGCGCGCTAGAATGGGCACTATCACGAGTCGTCTGCGCTGTATAGATAGTCACTATCAGTTCTCTGATGAGCAAAATGGGCACCTGAATTACTGAGCATAAATTTGACCCATCAACCTAAATCGTACTTGGAACTTCTTGTACAGTGTTTCGGAAGTGAGAAGAATGAACTCCAAGATCTCGATTCCCCTAGAGGCTGCCACAGGTATACCACCTTACCTCGTCCCGACGCTGTTGTAAAGCTTGTTATGAGAATATTGATATCTAAACAGTCGTCCTCGAGGAGCTACTGTGAGAATGTATTCATGGTAATGTGGAACATTGAAAATCACTGGCTGACGAACAAGCGTGCCGACATTGGCAATCAGCCTGATACGGCATCCTCCGATTTCAATCAGCCAATCAGAATCAGAATCAGACCCCGAGCCGTCCACCAACTCCTCCGCTTTGCATTGCCGACGCTTGTTCATCTTTTGTTCCGAATGGGCAGGCAGTTTTCATGTGGCTTTTCCAATTCCCGGATTCTAAGTAAAAATATGCAGTAGGTTAAATTTTATGATTATCGGCCTTTCAGAGAAGTATTAACAACTGTTGACGCTCAGATTCACAAATCCAGGTTCTTAACAGCTGCATCACTGGCAGGATCGAATGTCAACATAACTTCTTAGGCACGTCTTGCCTGAGCCAGCTCCTCACAGCCAATGTACAGGAGATGAGGCACATTGTTTCGGATCTCTCGGCTTCCGCAATCGCTGAGCGCTCATTCCTTTCGTCTTGCTAAGCCGCCTGTTGCAATTGGAGTGCTTACGCGTCCATTGACCCTACTACTATTCGTCTGGTTTGGATAGGTCGTGCATGGTCGTGCAGTAATTAAGGTGTGTTATCCGTAATCATAGACGTTCACAGTGTTACCGAAGCATCTTTAGAATCGTTTTGTCTATTGATCTTGAAGCTTGTACTACACCTCAGTCGATGTGATGGATCATGGTGCCTGTCTTCAATCAACGATCATTTCAAGAGGGGCCTAATCGAAGTACTTGACGGCGACTGTCTATTATAATTGAAAGACCTCCGAGCGACTGAACGAGAACGAATGTCAATTCTAGCTGACTTAACTGGCGGCTGTTTTCAGGTATTGATGTTCATACCTGCGCTGCACATGTTGTCCCCAGACGCTCGTATCATTGCTCTGATCGACTTAAATTTCTGATGACCTACGGCGCCAGTATACACTGCTTACTCGATGCTGGGAATTTATATCATCCCTGTGACTGATATTGTGAAGAGTGACATACACTTATTGAAAGTGGATCTGCCTGAATGGACTGAGCCAGTGATTATCTTCTCGATCTCTAGGCACTTCGATGCTTCACTCGACAACAAATTACCCATCGTGAACTTACTGTCGACGGTTTCATTAGAGAGATGGCTACTGTGCCCTCGATGCGATACTTTGACTCCGCACTTTCTGATGGGCCACTATATAACGAAGTATGAGGTATGGATTTGTCCCAGGAATCGGACCTTCTTTGTATACTCTGCCCTTTCTTTATGTCTACGTATTCGTGATGACCTACCAACTCGATATCCCGCCAGACCTTACTGGTCCTGACATTACTTTCATATACCAAAATCTAGATGCCCAATTGAACACGGGGATCCTCTATGCTCTCTTACATGGTTTGTACCTTCGCTTAAGCGTTGTATTTGCCTATCTAATTCGACATCTACAACCAGGCATCTACACTGGCATAGTTGCCGTCAGCCTATGGAATATCTGTGAGTGCAATCTATCCTCTGTCTCATCATCTAAGCTCAATCGAATAACCAGTCACTTGTGAATCCCGACCTATTGGACGGCAGATCATGGTCGTGGCTATCATCCTCCTCTTCGTCGTCACTACCATCACTGTCGGTTTCAATTGGTCTTATATCAACTCTGCCTTCATCGACAACGGCCAAAGTTTCTGGTCAAGGTATTCGGTGCTCTTATTTTCCCCGAACATATTTTTGGGGATGGGTATCACAGGTGCCATCAGCAGTATGCTTGCAGACTTTGCTATGGTGCATGTTATCTATCCGAAATATTCGTGGCACTCGTCTACTGGTACTTATAGATTTGGCGGTGCTGGATGGTCTGGGGACAGCGCTGGCCTGTTGTCCTGCCTCCCATTCTAATGCTCATCTCTGGAATCGGTACGATGCCCAAGGCCTTTTTCTATCTCACTATTTTCCTATATTTGCTCCAGTGTTCAAGCTCATAAATACATACCAAGCGTACGCCACTGGCAACGACTACGTACTTGGCTTTGTCCTGTACTCATCCTTCGTTCTGGCGACGACAATATTGTGTACCGCTCTCATTATATACCGCATTCTGACCGTTGGACGGGCAAGCGACGGGATCGGCGGTGGAATCGGCTTCTATCGTCATGTCATCGAAGTCTTGATTGAATCCTCCGTGTTGTATTCTGTATTCTTGATCCTATTAGTAGGTCTTTGAGGTTCGTGGAGATTGGGCAGTATATTATGTTGATGCCATGTCCGGGATTGTGAGGGTGCGTGCATTTATTCTTTCCTTCCCTTAGCAGCTAACAACAAATGCTCATTTCAGGGAATAGCTCCGACGCTTCTTGTTGGGCGCGTTGCTGTAGGACTATGCACGTTCGGACGAGACATGGCAGACTAGCGTGATGTCGTCATTACACTTTGGAACATGGCGCTCGCGGAATAGTGGCCAGTCAAACCTCAGGGAGGAGACATTACAGAACATCATGCCAGAGCTAGAAGCTCAAAGGGGAGTCGGAGATGGACGGGCACAAGCACGCGAGCACTGGATTCCAGAAATAACCCCTGCCAAGCAACGTCACGCTCCAAAATGACTTGGAAGGTCAGCAAGAGAGTGTAAGAAATCACTACGGAAAACTTCTGCGAATTAATACCCCCTACGATAGCATTTCCTTTCATTGAGTCTGTTTGCTATTTATTAGACGTCGGAATCTCCACACTCGTTCCATTTTTCGTTATGGGTCTTTGACGATCTCTTCTATCCATTTGACGGCGCTTAAATATTTGGCTTCTCCGTACTTGACGTTCCTTTGATATACCACTTCGAATACCACTCTGATTGTTCAGAAACCGTTCCCCATTGAAGTTCAATGTTCAGACCTCTCCTCTTATTAATTCGCCAACGCTGCAATCGAAGGGGGCAAAATTCCTCGTACCTTCTTTGTATTCGGAAATTCTGCCCCTTGAAAGGGTGATCTGTGTAGCCTCCAAGTTAGAGCGTCGAGTTTCTTTGAAATGTGAACCGACCTAGCGTGTGAAAAATCCGCCACATAAATGCTACATTCGCCTTATCTGCAATCTTATGACACGTCTGGTCACCTAACGGTACATATGTTCGTCGGTCTGAATCCTGGACCCGGCACTGCCTCCATCCAATTATCGGGCGATAAGATGGGGAATGCCAACTCTGACATCGCTTTTGCAACTTCAGTGTTCCAACGCTTACGCCAAAAGAATCTTGCATTCATCAATGTTCGAAAGGCACTATTCGTATTGGGAAGCATATGTAGGATTCTGAAAGATCAAAGGGAAACAGACAAATCATAAGGAGCGGGAAATCACTGTCACTAATTACATTTCCTTCTATTCTGCTTGTATAGCTTTCAAAAATACCACTGTGACATGCTTATGAGGCGAATCCTTCGCTTCTCTCATGCTGCGTCCTTGATACTTCTGCAGAATCTTTTGAATGAGTGGTATTCTGCGTCGCAGGCTTACAAGTGTTGGTAACCCATGATCCCAATCCTCTTGAAGCCCATCTCTTATCCAGCACCTAGTTAGATCGGCATTGTGGTGAAAAATGTACGTGTCCATCTGGATGAGAAGCTTCAATTGTGAGTCGCAGGAGAATGTCCGCAGCAGCGTAACCATCTGTTCGTAAACCCGCCATGCATCACTGTCGAGAGGGATGTCGTCCAACATGAAAACATGGAACATCTCATCCATCAGCTTAAGCAGCTTAGAGCACTTGATGACGGGTCCTGTCAAAGAATGAATAGGCTGCCGGCTGTTGACAAAGGAGCTGTTGATAATCTGTAGAAGAGCGGCTATTCTCGGATGTGAGCCATCCGAGCAGTCAAGATCGCTCAGCACGTTGAGAAGTCCCTCCAGCCCGACATCCTTGCAACAGTCCATAGCAGCCCTGAACCAAGGACCGCCTCGGTCGGGTACGCCGATCCTCTCGCCACACCCTTCACAGTATGGTTGTAAGCAATGAGGACACACTAAGAGCACACTAATCGAGTCCACAAGGAGTGCTAGTCCGTAGTTCCTGCAAGTAAGGAGGCACAGCACTAGCGAAAGAAATGCTGCTCGGCTTGAGCAGGACCACATGACAACCTTGGCATCGATGGTCGTTAGTGAGCAGGCTGGTGAGTGGGCGCAAGTCATCTCGGAGCTGCGTCAACGCTGTTTTGTACCCGACTGAACCAAGGCTATTTTCGGATGATTGACTAGGTAAGGCTCAGAGCTGGAGACAAGGATAATGTTTGACTGTCTCTCGACGTGTGTACGTCATTTGTTACACCCTGCTCAAGAGACGGAGACGATGGCTGAGTAGCGGGACCAAGATGTAAAACGTCCATGGTATCGGTCAGTTCGTCGATTAGCCCCAGAGTATGTGGTGACCGCACGCGTGGAGAAACTGGTTGTAGGTCGGGTGACGAGTTGGACTTAGAACCAGATGTTGGAGCACCTGTAGATGCCAAGATTGGTAAATGCCATTCCTGCGTTTAACGCGAATAGTATGTACCTGCTTCAGATAGGACATTGCTTGTTGACTCTATGATTCTTTCAATCCAGTCGTCCGAAACGAAAGCTAAAAGAGATAGATGTGAGACGTGGACGCTTTATAGTTAGGATGTGATGTAAATACCTATTCTTTGAGCTGGGTTTGAGTAATGAGTCGCCGAGGCTCTGCGTTCACGATCAGCGGCATTAAGGTAAACTTGATAGTCGGCATCATCCAGTTCGAGAGGGCCGGTTAGATACACTGTCGGCGAGACAAAATATGTGGGATACTGGCTTCGAGATAGTTTCTGAGGTATCTGCTGGAAACCAAACTCCGTCGAAGGTGGAGAAGCTAACCCGCATTAGTTCGTTGCAACTGAATCCCAGGGAGTATTTACCTTGTAACGTAGCGTTCGAATGATTGGTGTGATCCGATGCATTTGGTGACCTTGACTGGGGTGTTCGTTTCGAGCCCTTTCTTTTCGAGAATGCTGGATCAGTCATAAGTTTTAACTTCTCGTCGATGATGCTCGGATGTACATACAACCCTTAGCGGAAGAAACCATTGCAGTGCGTCAGGACTACTAGGCACCTGAGTAGTTCTGGGAGCGTTAACGAAGGTTGAAGTTCTTTATAGATGGGAGTACAACCAATACCTTATTGGTCCGCTCCGGAAGCTCTAGGGCGGTTGCTAGACTCGCTGAATGAACACTTGAGTCGTCCTCGAAACCACCAGTGCATTGTCCTCTAGGGAGAAAACAAAGCAGGCACAATCAGAGAAACAGAATGTGTAGGCCCTAAACTGAATTACATTCCAATGTTCTGAGTCCGAGATGATTGATATAGAATAAGGACCACCTTCGGTTTTCCACGAATCAAGAATACGGGGGTTTCCTTGGTATCCTATTGTCCTGCTGGAAGTGCTCCATGTTGTATTGTGATACGAAAAGAAAGTTGCATAAGCTTGGAACCCCCAAGCTGAAAAGGAAGAATACGCGGCATGCCGCGATAGAACATGGCAACGCTTGCTTCGGCTGGATCGGTCCGACAAAGTTTGTATGTATGTTTGGGATGTTCGTGCACTTCCATTCTGTGGACAAAGTTCGAATTTACTCATTTGACGTTCCATACCCACCCCCTCCGGGAGTCATGATAACTATCCGATCCCCCTTCGCCATTGGGGCTGTGTTCTTACCACCGATAGACAGCGCCCTCTCCTTCCCTTGAGCATCCTTCGATATCCACAAATTGACTCCCAGTGCGCCCGGATCGCCTCCCATCAAACCATAAGGCTGGATAAACCCTCCGCTCACTCAAGATGCTGCACTGCACTGTGCGACGGAACTCGATATCTCGCACAACACCATCCCCACCATGATATCGACCTTTTCCACCTGAGCCAGGGCGCAAGGAGAATCGTCGAAGGATGACAGGGTATCGCCGCTCCATGATCTCAGGATCGGTGATACGTGTGTTCGTCATGTGTCTGGAGAAGGGTCAGATTTGGGCAATCATATCATGTCTTTGGACTTGACTAACGTATGAACACCAGAAGGTCCCATGCCATCCGGGTCCTGCACCACCGCCACCTGCTATGGTCTCATAGAATCCAAACGACTTCTTCTCTCCAGAAGCAGTAATTTCAGTGTCATATCCGAAAGGTGAGATTATTCATGCAGCCTTGTGACGCTGCACAGGCTTCGAAGGCCCGAAGTACGACGTCAGTCAGTCCTATGAAGAGTATCATTTCAGACAAAAACATTTGGGATAAATGAAAACGACCTACGTTGGCTGGTTAGTACATTTCCCGCACAAACCGCCGCATCTGCGCTTGGTTTCAAGAAGCATCCATCCGGTATGATCACATTGATTGGAGTCATGCACCCTACACCATTAACAAATCTCTCCAAAGAGCCCGAGTAACCACTCACCCTGATTCAACGGAATATCACTCGCCAACAAACATCGCAACGCGTAGATAATCGACGAGTTCACAATTGCTCTCGGTGCATTCCAATTGCCATACACTTCCGGACCGGTGCCTGTGAAGTCAAAAGTCGCAGAGCCGCTCTCCCTGTCGATGTCGATCCGCAGTGCTATCGGCGATCCATCATCCATGCGATCAAAAGCAACCAATGCTTTACCGCTATGCCTCTTGCTGAATTTTCGCAAGAGTTGTCGAACAGCCTCTTCAGCTGTCGACTGGATCGCATACATATACATCTGTACCACTGGTAGCGTATACTTCGACACAAGGTTCTTGACCAAACCGACACCCTTATACTGGACAACCAAGGTCAGATCTGCAATCCGAAAAGGATAGGTACGTGCTTACAGTTGCAGCAATCTGGGCATTTATATCACTCAGGTTGTCCTTTAACGCCCGTGTCCCTTTTCCGCCTGGGTGCTTCAATGGCTCTTCTACCAATAGCTTGTATAAGCTCATCTTCATTATACTTTCCCGCGCTGACGACCTTGAAAGTCAAAATCGACGCTCCCTCATCGTATATCGTCTTCGAGAACGGCGGCATAGAGCCTGGAGTCTGCCCTCCAACATCGGCATGGTGCCCTCGAGAGGCGACGTAGAAAATGATATCTCTTCCGCTATCGTCGAATACGGGAGTAACGATCGTAATATCAGGGAGATGGACTCCGCCACTGACAGCCGAGTTGCTAAGTATGACATCTCCATCGTGAAGTCGTCCCTTCCAATGTTCGTGCTGCCAACGAACAGCAAATTGCATGCTACCCAGCATAGCTCTGGAAATATCTGAATCATTATGCGGAATCAATTACGAAGTCAAGGACTCACGGTACATGAGGTGCATTAGCCACCAGCCTCCCATCAGGGTCAAAGAGTGCGCATGAGAAATCAAGTCTGCAAGAAGAAATGAAGGGACGCCGGCAGGCAGAAATCACGTACTCACCTCTCCTTGATATTCACGCTGACACTGGTCTTCTGCAACGTCCTTCCCATCTGCTCTGCTATTGACATAAACCGATGCCCAAACACCGATAAGCGAATAGGATCGACTGCAAGCGGATCATCCGTCTTGCCCTCCGAATCGACATTTTCAGGGTCGATATCCACCACAACGTGATCATCCAACACCATAGCGACCGCGCTTGGCGTGACGACAATCGTCTGCGTGGCGTCAAGGATTATCGCCGGCCCTTTGATGACCGAACCAGGCGTTAATTGACCTAGCTTATACACCCCTGCGTCTATCCAACCCGTCGATCCAAAGTACACCTTCCGACGTTTCAAACGGCGCTGGAGTGAGAGGTGCCAACTTCAGACGACTAATTTGCTCCGATAGTGCCTCGCGCGACGCGTCGCGACCGCCATCTTGGATGCCACTGACGCGTACCCGAAGATCATCGACCCAAACGCTCCGTCCCTCAAGAGAGAACCCAAATTCTTGATGATGCTTGGCTTTGAATACTTGGACAAAATCGTGGGACGATTCCACGGCGATCATCAGTGTGGCATCGGAACCATCATAGCGCTAATTCCAAGTTTAGTATACATAAACTCAATATACAAAAAAGCGCGAACCATATTCAAGTACGACATGGACGAAAGCTGAGATTTCGTGAACCCTTGCGCAATCAAGCGTCCTTCGGATCTGACTCGAAGGATAGCTAGGCGGGAGCGCAGAATGTCAAAACTCGAATCATCGGCGATAATAGAGAAGGATTCCTGACTCTCGTCCACCAACTCAGCTTTCGCCAGTCCGAACGCAGAAAGGATAGCTGACGACTTGTGGATGAGAATACGCGACATATCTAACGCCACAGCGACATCACAAGCAGATTGTCCTCCCGCACCGCCGAACACCGCCAGGTGATGGCTAGACGGATCATACCCTCTTGCTTCGCTGATAGCTCGGATAGGTAGACACATAGCTTCCGTTGCGACTGTCAGAAATCCAAGGGCGATCTCTTCTGGAGTCTTCTCCACTCCGGTATCCGTTGAAATCTGTTTGGCGAGGGCAGTGAACTTCTCTCGAACCACATCAGCATCAAGGGACTGATTTTCATCCGGTCCGAATATCCTGGGAAAATGTGCCGGAAGAAGTCGGCCTAAGAATACATTTGCATCCGTTGTGGTGAGTGGGCCACCCTTGCGATAACATGCGGGCCCGGGAGATGCACCGGCAGACTGGGGTCCTACTTTCAAAAGCCCGTTTTGCCAGAGAAGAAGTGACTAACAAGTAATAAGGTTTGGTAAGAGTGATGTCTTGAAACTGACAAATTACTCACTCCTCCACCGGCAGCAACAGTGTTGATATCGAGTTGTGGACTTTGAATGGTAACACCGGCCGTTGTTGACTCCATAAGATGCTCAAATCTCCCATCGAACCGTGACACGTCCGTGGATGTACCTACCATATGAGGTGTTAGTTGTATTAAAAATTAATGAATGAATGATCAATTTCGCTGACCACCCATGTCAAACCCAATCAACGGCACTTTTAGTTTCTCATCCCAGCAAGTCTTTGCGATACCAACAACCCCACCTGCAGGACCACTGAGAATTGCCCGTAGTCCAGAGAATGCTTCTGCGTTAACCACTAGGTAAGTGAATCAGTATCTGTCTTAGGAACACGTAAAGGGACACGTACATCCGCCGTCGCTCTGCATGAATTGAAGCATCCTAGGTCGAAGGTTCTTGAAACTCTTTTGAAAACTACAGAGAAGTCAGACGTGTTGAAGTTAAGGGTGGTCAGACGCGTACCCTTGAAGATATTTCTGGAGCTCCGGCGTAAGATAGGCGTCTGCCGTTGCCGAGTTCGCACGAGGAACAATGCGAATCATTGGTGAAAGCTGGGACGATAGGGATACATGTATAAACCCAACCTCTCGAGCGATGTCGGCGACCAGAATCTCGTGCTTAGGATACGTATAAGAATGAAGAAAAGAGATGGCCAGGGAGCGAAAGCCGTCGTCGTAAAGGCTCTGGAGGTGTTTACGGCATTCGCCGGCGTCTGTAAAAACGTCGGTCATCATTCAAGGCTGACGGATCAAAAAGCTCTACCGGGGACATGTTCAACCTGAATCCTTTCTCCGCTTGTGCCTAAAACGACAGGGAGTCCCTCCAATCGGTACACGTCTGCGAGTAAAACTCTCTCTTTGACCTCGATTACCCTCTCGTACAACACCCCAGGCCGTTTGGCTGAGAGGTCGAACAAATCTGGACGACTTTGATTGCCAATGTGCAGAAGGTCGCGGAAACCTTCGGAAACAAGGAAAGCAGTCTTCTCTCCCTTACGTTCGAGTAATGCTACGGTGAGATAATGAGCAATGAGGAGAGATAGATGGAGGTAGGGTACCGCTGAGCACGAATTAGTACAAATACGCTTTGAAAATGCGCATATACCCACTTTGTCGCGACCGTTGTCCCCATCCTGATGACTTCTATGCCCGACAAGTCAAGAAGCTCTCCTCTTGGTATGGCTGTATCATAACCTATCTCCAAGACACGTCGGATAGCTTCCGTAGGTGCATCAGGGTAAGCGGCGTCAATCGACAAAACCTTCAGGATAACGGGAGGGCGATGGGCGAACGTCGCGTAGACATCGCAGAAGGTGCCACCTACGAAGAATAAGTAAATTTCGGCACCTTATTTATTGACGTACCTCTGTCGATAGCAATACGAATGCCTGCAGCGCTACGAAGGGTATCCAGAGCGACTGGCATAGCTCTGGGAACGATAAGAAATGAAAGAAAGATGAAATCACCATCATATTCGTATTCGAAGGCTAGTAAAGTATCGGAAGGTGAACGGAAACAAGAGACACGTCCGGATTTGAATCGGAAGAGCCAAGCACGAAGCAGAACGGAATGGAGCGCGTTTCGACTCCGATTTCTCGGCATCACCCACCCCGTGGCAGAGCCGCGTTACTCCTACAGGGCTATGTCTTCATAAATCAGAACTCACGTAGTTCAGAATCCCGGAATTCCGGACTTGTCAAGATTGAAACGGTCCTCTGATTAATTTCTGCCTATCTCAAGTTTCAAGTTCAAGATAAGTAAAGCTCCCTTGATTGATTCATGCCGTTAGCGACTCGCTTTCGCATTAAACTGCGGGTAGAGCAGCGCCCAAGGAAGAATTTTAGTACTTTAACTTGGCCGGTAAAGACGTTTTGCCGACAACGTTCCTCTTTTCCATATACAACTTGCGCTCGATGATTATTCAGGTTCAAATGCGAAGGTACGTATGTAGTGGACTCAAGAATCGTGTACAGATCTTTAAAGGCTCGAAGCAGAAAGAAGAAATACATAGGACTATTTAAACCGAGACACAAACGTCCTCATCTTTTATATCCAGCATCAGCATGCGTCCAGGCGTGTGACCAACTACTTCCCCGGCGATGCCACTGTCCATAACGGACAACTGCGGAGTCACTCCGCATCCAAAGTAAACAGCTATTTCGCCATCCTTAATCACAGTGGGATCGCCAAAGTCGGGGTTCGTTCCATCGAGGTCAGTAATCCCTAGGGATTTGGCGCCTTCCGGTCCCCAGGCGACAGGTTCGCCGTGGGTTTTGACGAAAGGACGGGTAATATCACGGACACGCTCGAGATCAGCTAACCGATACGGCCTCATGGATACCACCATGTGTCCACTAAAAACTGGGATCGAAGTGTAAGTGTTAAATAAATATGTCGTAAGAGGGGGTCACCTCCTGCGGGACAGAGCCGGTAGCTCGTCCTGTACATAGGTACAGCACGACCTAGCTCCAAATGCCTGGGAGCAAGACCGTTCTTGGCGAGAGCCGCCTCAAAGGAATAAGAACAGCCGATAAAGAAGGTAACACTATCGTTGCGCCACTCTTGCTCAATGCTTTCCTTTTGCTCGGAAAATACGCCATCGCGATAGACGTTGTAGGAAGGGCAATCGGTCCGAACATCGCTATCTGCCGCAAGCGCTTCGGGGACTTGAGGGTCACCCGGCTTCGTCTCACCAAGGAGAGGGCATCTGACAGAAAATACAGTCAGCTCCAAACAAACGGGAGAAAATGCAGCTAACGAAACGGGATTTCGTGCAGAGCAACCGGAAGTCGGCAGCGAATTTATTGGGCAAGATTATAACGTTCGCCTGCGAATATCCAGGGCAGAGACCCGCAGTACTTGGCGCATTAAAGGCCTTATTCCTGCATAGAATACGGACATCATAAGGACTTCTGACTTGGGAGACAGACATAAGTAGAGGTGCCCTTGTAATGCGAAGCAGGCCCTTTCAAATTGGATTCCATGGTATATAAAGGGCCTGGCAGCGATTCAAAGACGTTTGACAAGGCACCCGATAGATCACGCCGGCGGTACGTTCCGATGATGGAATTCGCCGAATCCGGTAGCTTGGTGACATTAGCGATACGTGGTAATTCCGGGGAACTTTCACGATAAGAAGTCCTGAAATTCTCCGCGATGGGCCCTAGACGCCGGAGCTTTCCAATCAGACTCTTTAGCTCCTTTTATAAATGAACTTTCTGCACCCTGAGTTCGTCCAACTGACCTTGTTGTCGTTAACTTTCATCACTAATGGGCTCGGTTAGTGATACGTCAACTTGTCTCATCTTCTATGAAGTGATACTGACCTTGTTTAGCAGTATTCCGGTACAGAGAAGTCTGCAGAGAAGGATGTCGGTGTCGTGGTCGCTCTTGAAGGCGAAAAACATGGTTCGCCGATTGAACCCAAAACGGAAGCCAGACTCTTGAGAAAGGTTAGCTGCTCATGTTTCTTCCGTTTCGAAGTCAACTGACTAATGCTTCCCGAAGATTGACTCCTTCTTGATCCCAATGCTAGGCGCTTTGTACTTTGTCTGTTTTTTGGACCGTGGAAAGTAATTGCTTCTTTTCGCTGCCCGGTTCCCATGACGCTGATCGATCCACGCAACCAGTATCGGCAATGCCAAAGTTGCCGGTATGGCCATTGACCTTCATCTTGTAGGGAATGAATACGGTGCCGCAGTCTCGGTGGTAGTAAGTGACATTTCTTACGTTGCTACCGTGTCCTAATTCATCCGTCAGTACGCGTCAGGACTGTAGTTTTATTTTTTGCCTTCTTGAATTCACGACTCCATCTTAGGACATACGTTATATTCGAACCCTTCTGTAAGTCACCAAACTACTCTTCTGAAATACTGCTCATATCCCAATTTTATAGACGCAGTGCTCTTGAAGTTGTTAACACCCAGGATTGTTTTATCCGTCTCTACTGTCATTTTTGGCGCACTAACCATTGCCACGCCGTTCTCTGGCTCCTATGGACCCCTTATGGCGATTCGTGTATTGCTCGGATGGGCCGAAGCCGGTAAGGTTTGGCTTGGCTATGAAACTCTCTTAGCATTGACGCCGAGCTAGGAACGTTCCCATGTATCGTCACCTACCTTACAATGACATATCGCAGGGAGGAGCTAGGCATGCGTCTTGCGTACATGTTTACCTGCTCCGCTATTTCGGGTGCATTCGGTGAGTTCCATCCAAACGCGTGTAAAATTTCCAATATGATTTTTGTCCTCACTAGGTGGACTTTTGGCTTACGGATTAACACACATCGAAACATCCTCTGTAGCTGGATGGCAGTGGCTATATATCGTTGAAGGGCTCATTACGATGTGCTTGGGTCCCGTCGCTTACTTCTGGATTCCAAACCGTATTGATCAAGCTTGGTTCCTGTCCGAACACGAGAAGGACTTATGCGCCGTTCGCTATGAGAACAACAAGACCCACTATGACCCAGACGAGAAGTTTGATATCGAACAAGTCATGCTTGCCCCTTTGGACTGGAGGACTTGGGTCCACGGCACCATTCAATTTGGTGCCGATATCACTCTCTACGCCATTTCGACGTTCATGTGACTATTCTGGATTTACTGTTATGTTTCACTTTGTTGATTGTTTCTTTACCAGGCCTGTTCTTATTAGCGATATGGGTTACAGCTCTTACAAGGCTCAACTCCTTACTGTCCCCGTGTATGCTGTTGGCGCCTTGTCCTTTATTATTCAAGCAAAAATGTCCGACCGCACTTTATTACGTGGACCATTCATCATGGCGAATTTCTTGGTTCAGATAATCGGCTATATCATCCTCACGTCTACCAAGACCATCGGCACACGGTATTTTGGCGTTTTCGTTGTCGCGTTAGGTCTTTATGTACCTACCGCGTTGAATGTTGGATGGGTGCGTATACTGCATATTTATTCAAATCGCGTCTGAAGTTGTACCCAGACGCAAAATAACTACGGTCCCCATTACAAGCGTGCTGCGGGCGTCGGCTTGATGCAGTTCGTGGGAAAGTAAGTCCGGATTTTGCTTCCGTCCTCAGTCTTTTCATTCACAATCCCGTAGCTCTGCAGGAGCGGCTATCGGCGAAATATTTGATTCGCGCTTGGAACCGTATTACCACCGTTCATACTACATCTCCATCGGGCTAACGGCCTTGAGCATGATACTTACTGCTCTTATGGTATATCCTTTCTTTCTTCTTGGCACCTATTTCTAATATTATTCTCAGATGCTCTATCTTCATTTGGCCAACAAGAAGAAAGCCGCGGCTGTAGCCGCTGGCGCACCAAACGAACCTCACCTTGGCGACAAGAATCCTCATTTCACTTTCTTTTTGTAGTTAAAGCTACTCGGTTAGAATGTTCTACATTAAGACGTTGATGGCGTTGAAGAGCAATGATAATTAATTCATGTAATGTCCATTCTGGAGGTTCGCCGCCGCGACGTGCTTTGTGAACTGATCGGGCGATCATCTGAACCTGAGATCTTTCGATCGAAATATTTGTTTCCAGGTTTTATTCCGGACATCCTAGCAGTAAACTATCCTAAAGATTTCTATTCATTCCCAATCCTAACTATACTGGATAATGACCCTAAGAAATTCGAGGAAAAGGATCACGCGACATATATCGAACTATCCTCGAAATTCCGAGACAGAGCTTTATCCTTTCCGGTCAACTTCCGGTTATCAAAGTCAGGTCTAGCACAGCCTGGTAAAAGTAACTGCTCTAGTGATATGATCTCCTTCATAAGAAATCTTGGGTCCTGGATACCCAGAGGATACCCAAGGATATGTTCTATAACATTCGATTCTACAATGAATGGCAGGTTGATGGTAGGAATAGACATTTCAAATTGACTCGGCCAGGACGAGTGATCGAGTTAATCCTACGCCTCCTTGTCGAGAATCTCGTGCCTACGGCAAAGGTCCTTGCCAAATTTCCGGAAAGGTTCCTAACATCTGCGTCCTAAGTTAGGCATATGGAATCGTAATGGAATTGCGCGCTGTACCTTGGTCAGAACAGAAGAAAGACTTCTTGTCCTCGTCGTCCTGGACATACCTATTATGCCTTCACCTCCCCCATTTGGCCACTACGTTCCTACCGTCTGCTTTTTCGATGAAAATGAAGAGCTTGATGTATCCGCGATAAATCCCGCATTTTCAAGTAGCAAAGGTAAGCGTTGGTATATCTTCAGTTCAGCTGCACTCTGTTGAAATCTCATTTTCCAGGGTGGAGTTGCTGGCGTCATCGTCCAAGGCACAAACGACAAGGCTCAGCACCTTTCCCATGAGGAATGCAAGTAGACAATACGTCTTACTAGATAGACACTAGATGCAAACGGCTTCAAAGATGTCGTCATTCTCGCTGGGTGTGGAACCCAGTCGGCGCGAGAAGACGCAAAAGCTCTGCGTCGACGCGAAAGATGCGGGAGCTGACTACGCGCTGATTCTATCACCATCGACATTTCCATCGCAGATGTCTGTTCCAAGCGTTATTCGATTCCATCATGAGGTGATCATTCGTGACTCTTTGCTATGTATTTTCTCCATACTTCCCTAGTTTTCCAGGTTGCCGATGCCTCGCCCATTCCCACAATGATATACAATTTCCCCACCGTAACCGCCGGGTTAGATCGTGACTCTGACGCACTCGTTGCCCTGGCCAAGCACCCTAACATTGTCGGGGCCAAACTCACTTGCGGAAACATCGCCAAACTACACCGAATCATATCCTCTGTATCGGCTTCAAAAATTGCGGTCTTGGCAGGGAAAGCAGACTTCGTTCTTCCGGGTTTATTAGCCAGTAGCAGTGGATGCATCACCGCACTCTCCAACCTCACGCCCAAGCTTCACGGTAGGCTATTTTATTTGTGGAGGGCGGGCAAGGGGGAGGAAGCGATGAAACTGCAGGCGACCTTGGCCCATGCCGATTGGGCACTACACAAATTGGGTGGAATTGGAGGTGTGAAAAAAGTGGTGTCAAAGGCGTATGGATACGGAACTGGGAAGGTTCGGACACCGTTGAAGGAAGCTATGTATGAATCTTTGTTAGGAAACCAGCACTATGAGACACTGATGGACTTGATCCGCATGGAGGAGAGGTTGTATTCGAAACTGTAGTCGTATACTTGTACTGGACGTTAAACACGGGAATACTCCGTCCTTGACCCTTGTACCCAAGTTCCTCTCAAGGTCTGACCACGATGGTGTGCCTCAGCGCACGGAAATACAAATTCCGGACGGAACATCGTGCGAATTTTGAACAGGTCATAAACTTCCAGATGAGAGGGCAAAAGTTTCCCAACTTCCCTATCACATCAAAGGCGGACGCGCAAAAAATGGTTTCTGGAGAATTCTGGTATGGGATTCCAAACGTGGCAGAGGACGAAATGTTCGCGATGACGGCAACGTTCAAGAGAGATCCCTTTCCCGAGAAGGTTAATCTGGGTGCTGGAGCTTACAGAGACGAAGACGGAAAGCCATGGGTTTTGCCTGCAGTTAAAAAGGTTCGGCTCCAGTGCAGTTATATTTTTCTCCTGTGTTCATCCCTATGTGAATTGTAGGCTCATACGTTACTCATCGACTCTCCTACCTTGGACCATGAATATCTTCCTATCACTGGCCTCGCTGAGTTCACAACTTCCGCGGCCGAGTTGATGTTTGCGAAAGAGTCGGAGGTGATAAAGCAAGGAAGGGTAAGCCACTGAATATGAAAGTCATATGGGATGACTCAGAGTTCTCTAGGTTACGTCAATCCAAACAATCAGCACTACTGGGGCAAATCACTTGGGTACATTTTTCCTGTCGCGATTCTATCGGTTCAATGGCGAAAGGGAGGTCTACATGAGCCGACCTACATGGAGTGAGTTCATTGTGGTCTGTCTTTCCACTTCGTTCTCACCTCGGATTGAATCAAGTAAACCACTATGCAATTTTTACCAACGTCGGCATCACACCGATCGAGTATCCATACTACAATGCTGACACTCGAGCAATCGACTTCGACGAAATGCTTTTGACGATGAAGAACGCGCCCCCCGATCTATTTTCGTCTTGCACGCGTGTGCCCACAACCCCACAGGACTGGATCCGTCCCAGGAGCAATGGACTACCATCGCCGACATCATGCTTGCGAAGGGTCATTTCGCCTTCTTCGACACGGCGTATCAGGGATTCACCACCGGTGATTTAGACAACGACGCGTGGGCCATTCGAGAATTTTCTCGACGCGGCATAGCGATGCTCGTCTGCCAAAGCTTCGCCAAGAACGCGGGTCTGTATGGTGAACGGGTGGGAGCGCTGCATTTCGTGGCTAAAGATGATGCAGGACCGCACAAAACATCAAGAGCCAGTTGAGTGTACTCACTAGAGTAGAATGTCAGCACCCCGCCAGCATATGGAGCAAAATTGGTACAGTTGAAAATTTGGGAGCCTGAATAAATCAGCTTATAAAGCTTGACAGGTGTCCCTCATTCTTAACGACGCATCCTTGTACGAGGAATGGAAGAGAAACATCAGGACCATGGCCGGGCGTTTGATTGGAGTAAGGAAGGAGCTCTACCGGCTGCTGACGGAGGAGCCCAAGACTCCAGAGAACTGGGATCATGTCATCAACCAGATCGGAATATTCAGGTATTATCCCTTAGCGCAATTTGCTCCGTATGTATCTGAGACGCCGCTTGAAGCTTTACAGGGATATCGGAAGCACAGAGCAAGCGACTCGTAGACGAATTCCACGTATATATCGCGAAGAACGGGCGGATTTCCCTGGCTGGACTGAATGCAAAAAATATTAGGTACTTTGCGGAGAGTTTAGACACGGTCGTGAGAGGTTGACGGACATAGACGAATTAAATAATAGACATTGATAGAATATTTGGGATTTACTGGTTATCCAGGGAAAAATCAAACAAGTATTGACGACGAAGTATGAAGTAGTCGAGTTCGCTGCTGTGGATGAAAGCAGGATGAAACAGCAAAGTTGCCAAGCCAAGCCTCGTGGCCGCGAAGCCCTAAATATAGCTTATTCATCTACCACCATCAACCCCGACGCCCTCACTTCTACCCACGTTCCCTCATCTGTATGCAACGCTCAATTGCCTCGTTTCTTTCATTATCAACGTGGTCAGCATGGAGCAACCAGCAGAATCAGGCCTGGCATTTAGCTCACCTTCGTCGATTCTCCACTTCACGACCCCGGCATGATTTTCACTTTGACACCCACCATTTTGTTCAACGGCTCGAGCGGGAAGGACTCAACCGGGCGCAAGCAGAGGGTATCATGTCCGCTATAGCCGAAGTCATCGACGAGAGCATACGGAATATGACGAGCAACATGGTAACGAAAGCTGATCAGGAGAAAGTATTAATTCCCTGTCATTGATTTTATCTGACCTGATGATCCTGTAATAGCAACATTATACACAACAAGTCGACTTTGCTCAACTCAAATCCGAACTGCAGCTCATGGAGAAGAATGACCTTGCCATTATCAAAGCCGAGAACGACCGGATTGTTGAACGATATCGAGAAGCTCAAGCAGCGATTACGGGAAGAGATAACTCGAACCCAGGCTGGTGTCCGACTGGATCTGAACCTGGAGAAGGGCAGACTGAGAGAAGACAGCGCCGGCCAAGTGCTGAAGATCAGGGAGGTCGACACGCGGATAGAACAGGAGATCGCCAGTTTACGAACGGCGATACAGGCGTCCAAGGTACCTTATTGTTACCACATTTGCCCCTTGCTATAAATCTGAACTGTTTGACAAGGCTACGACTCTTCAATACATCGTAGGAGTTGGTGAGTTGTATGATTATCCCTTTCTGCATACCGTTTATTATCCTCTCAGTCACGACTTGTTCCGCACTTCTGATGGCCTACCTGAGGTTCCGGGCATGACGATATTCCAGCTTTGCCAAGCCCTCCTGGGATACCCTACAATATCGGTCGTAATCTACATTATAATTGACATCTGGCATAATTGGATCCTAAAGGAATGCGAAGCACGGCGATGATGAGCCTTCAAGAGATGAGCGATGGGGCGCAGAAGTCGGTCATGTTCGGTCAGTATCTCGTTGTTCGTCCAGCAGATTTCAAACTGACCTTCCACTCATAGCAAGCATGAAATAGCACACATTTAGAAGTACAATCCTATCTTTATGTTTTCGCAAGAGTCAATTATAGACTATCCCACCCTCAGTCAAGTCCCCTTCTTACAAGATCATGCATCATGACCAAGGTCTTCCTCTCGGAACCCGCATATAAATTATAATGAACTCTTGAAAGAAAGGGCTCGTTCCAGCGTCGCTGAAGGTGACCTGAAGAGAACGAACTTTTGATATTCACATCTACGGTCCAGGAGAACTGCTCAGTATGTTATACTTATGAAATCTGTTTCCAATGTGGCCGCGCAATGTTTTCGAAACTTCTTGTACGGGAAGAGTCAGTCAGAGTCGGGCGGTCGGGCCGACAGGGAGCTCAAAATAAGAACAAATAGCAGCCACATTTCGTTTAAAAGCGTCGTCAGGCCGACTCTTTCTTCCCCCTCACTCCTCCATGTCCGCGTTTTGCCCCAAGACCCTTCTTCCAGGCGAGGGCCACTTAGGATCTTTAGCAGCTTCAGTAATTATCCATCACTATCAGGGTGCTATCGGTTCCGCGGCGTCTCATCTGAGGACCCAGCGAAGGATCATTCTTCGTTGGCGACGGTTTACTCGACTATATATCAGCTTGATCTTTACGGCTACGAATTCTTGCAGGAGAGACTTGTCAAACAGGCCTCATCGCTGAAGTTACTTTGTGTTCCAATCGGATTGCACCAGGGTACTCCTGCGTTACGGTCGGTTTATTACCGTCCGTTGCGTAGAGGTGGCCCCAACTGTAGAGTCTTATCCCTCTGGTTACTACGTGATGCCGCGATAGTGACGGATGTAGTTGCTGTCCCGACATTTCGAGGACCAAGGACTAGCATATACCTATGTATTGTAGGTATCTTGAACAAATGTAGCTTGCCTCGACACGTATGACACGCGTGCGGAGTGAATACATTGTTTTCAAGCAACGCAGCAAGACACCTGTTTGAACGTTACTCAATGTGCATACACCTGTCGACTGATCTGCATGTGCTGAATGGGTTACGAGGCTAAATTAGCTATCGACCCTTGCGCGTTCTTCAGAACGCAAAGATTCCTGGGCCGGACGTATTCTGGCACGCTGGGGCCTTTTCAAGTCAACTTGAGCTAATATCAGCATGTGTGGCTATGTTCCTGTCGGTGTAGACGTGCTGTAGGTGTTGCGCTGTTACCCAACGAACATCTATACCACACACATGAGGCGACAGCCACTTTTCACGGACAAATATTGCCCTACTCCCGGTGTAAGTGTTGGTTAGGAGTTGAAGCATTACCGTTACGGTGGCGCTATCGCTCCTTGAGCGTCTCAGCGAGACGTGAAGGTGTCTGTATCAACGGATGCCTTTCAGTGAATGTCAACATGGACCATTGAGGATAGAGGGAGAGATGGTTGAGAGATCAGCTATTTTTTCCCGTTTCTTGAGCTGGTGGCGACATGCTCAGCCTCCAGTCGGAAGCGGCAATCCGACCGTCAAGTAAACAATGGTGAGAGAGAAGAAATCTCTCCCAAATATGCTCAAGATTCGTCACTTTCATACGCATGACCCCTCCGGTCGGCAGTATGGATGTCGATTGCTTTATGGCGAGAGATAGTTCATATCTCCTCATTCCTCGAAGCTGGACGGTGTACTGCACGTTTCCAACTGGAGACCGCAGGACTGACCGACGAGTAAGGCCTCGCTTGACCGTATGCGATAAGCAATATCTCCCCGTGTTGTGGACCTCCGTGTCACGGTTAGTGGACACTGTCGGCCTCGACTAGGGCTGAACGTTAGGTGTCGAGAGATCAACAATCTATCTTCTCTCAAAGATCGCGGAAGCCACAACGTTGGCATCTTCGACCAAGCACTTTTCAACGACGTCCTATGCGACATGCCTGACTATAGGCCGCCACTTAGCGGCCTGCAAGTGTTCAGTGTGAACGCAGAGGTAGTCAGTGCCTTTTCGTATTAACGATTGCTTGTCAGAGGACGTCGGAGGTTACTGGTAACCTCTACCATCGAGTCGTATCGGGAAGGCTGATTGGAATCTGAGACAATTCCCTGAATAGATGATGGATGGATGAGCGAGCTGTTCAACTGTCCCTGAGGACGGCGGACTGAGACCACAGATTTTCTTAGGCTGATACACTCTCGGAGTGAATGCCAAATTTTTCGCTTCTTTTACTCTCTTCGGAGAGTTTTTATCTCTTCCGGCGATGAATCGACGTGGGTGCGCTGGGTTTTCATCTCCTTCATAGTCGTAGCTCTCATTCTACAATCTGCAGCATAGTACGAAAGGGTTCCGAAATTTCAGGCTTGGAATATTGTTGCCTCTTATTTGCAAGGTTTGGCGTGGAGTCGTCTGCCTTTTCGTCAGCTAGTAACAACTGTAAGTCTTCAAGTTGCCTATCTTCCAGACGATGGTCCTCATACAAGGGCTCCGCAATGAATCATTAGTCCTACGTCCAACTGGCGTGTTCAAAGGTAAGCATAACAATCCTCTCTCAGCTTCTTAGGATGTCAAGATCGTACCCCAATAGTTCTCGCCCTTTCTCGTCGGAAAGATGCATTGCGATCGGACAAAGTATTTCCCGACAGTTTTCAGAGTCGAACTTAAACATATTGTTTGCAGATATCTTTTCCGTGCTGCTAAATAAACCATTTGCTCAGCAGTGGCAGGAAGATCTCTCAGACACCAAGTTGTTTGTAATGGTCGCAGGAGCATGTCATTCTCTTTTATTACAGTCCTACAATGTCGTATTATGCGTCCACCCTTCTATATCACATACATAAATGTGCAGAGCCAGACGTGGATCTGAAGATGCATAACCAAATTCTATAGTCCTCCAAGCGTCTCCCGTAGCAGTGGAACTGCGCAGCAAAGTGCTGGATCCCAACTGGCTCGTCGGATGGAGTAGGTGCGTCTATTGGTGAGATAATAGGGAGACAAAAGAGCCGTCAAGGCGCATGCAGTAGACCTCTGATGTGTTCCGGTATCAGCTCGGTGGGCAAGGTGGCGATACTATCAAGGGGAGCCCTCTTCGCCAAGGCCAATAGATTCATGCGAAGGTTCTTCATCTCTTCATCATCCACTGTCCGTTGCCCACCCGCGGCGGCCAGATCTTTCAACTTCCCTGCTACGTACTCGAGTACTTCACCAAGCTCTTCGGAAGTCTCGAGCACATGTTCCTTTTTCACAAACATCTTCCCTTGCCACACCTCCTCGCTCTCGAATAGTTCCTCTGGTCGCTGAATCAATGCTTCCATGTCAATCTTTTCCGATAAATGAGGACCTCCAATGATAGGATTCACGATATTTTCCTTCACCCACTCGGCTACCCATCCGGTTTGTCCTACAAACTCGGACAGACTTTTCACATATGCTAAGCCTTCTACACCTCCGTACACGATGTCTTGAATATATGACTCTTCTTCTGTCATGGCGTCTTCAAGCGTTTGTTTAAGCTCCTCGCCCGAATCCCACAATTCGCCTTCAACACATGCAAACGATCCCCAATCAACAGGATGGACCTCTCTAGGTCTTCCATCCTTCTCTTTGTTGACGTCGACCCCTTCTTCACGACCCTTTGCCCTGGCGGTAACACCTTTGACAAGGTTCCAATGTTTTCGCGTAGGAGGGTTGTCAACGACAAGCGGGGGTCGTGTGGGAGGAAGCATAACAGGTATAGGATACGACGGAAATTGTGGTTGTGGAGTTGCTGAATGTGCATGTGGTGGAGGTGTTCCAGTGGATAGAAATTGCGGTGTGCTTGCTGAGGTGGTGGTCGTAGAAGGTGCAGTAGAGTATATTGGGACTAGACCTAATCTCGCTGGCTTCCCTTCTGGAACGAGAACTGACAAAATCGAAAACGGGTCTTCCACTGGTGAAGGGAAGGTTAGATGCATGCGTGTACTCATGTTTACGCACTCACTCTCTGTATAATCCAGGCTACCATCCGGAGTATATGGAGGACCCTCTTTTTCAAATCGTAAACGCTCCTTTTTCGTCCGATAACGTTTGCCTGCAGATGAAGTCAACAAAAGCAGAATAGGTGTTTTGCTAGCACGCATACCCTTTACCTTCAACTCAAGCATCACTCTCGCCCAGTCTGACCCTGGGGGGAAATCACCTAACCCATCTTTGCTTCCAGGAAGACGTCCATCTTCGATGCTCTCCGAGACAGTTGTTTTCAGCGTGGCTGGAGTGGGTTTTTTATACGGGGCTCTGGTACTCCTCCTTCGCCCAAAATCCTCTTCGGTTACAGAAGCGGCAGCGGCAGGTTCCGGAATAGCTTCGTCCACATCCATCGCTTGGTTTGAGTCGAAGGCACCGTCAGATACGCCTTCCAATTCGTCGTCTCCGACGACATCGACAGTCCACTCTGTCTCATATTGAATCACGGTCCCTGCCGAACGGGCTATCAGATCAAGCCCTATTGCCTCTATGCGTTCCGCCTCCGTGTGGTATATCGAACCAGGTGGATTGAAAGATTTGGCGTTACCAGTAACAAGCTTAAGGTCCGACTGCATGCCAATTAGCGGCGAATGGATCAGCGTGAGGGTCACGAACCGTGAACTCTTCCAAGCTCCTGTACCGCCCTCTCTCCACTTTGCTTGTCATTGTGCCCAAGTCCATCGGATGCTTGACGACGTTCGTGTAGCCTGGCACTAAAGACACGTCTACAGGCGCAAGAAAAAAGGCATAGGCATCCTTCCTAGATGCATGTTAGTACAACCCCAACAGGAAAATGACAATGCTGACCTTTTTATTTGGGCAATTATCTTGCTTAGCACCTCTTTCAAAGGTTTCAGCTTCACCGGTCGAGGCACCTTTGATGATGGAGGCACGCCATACTCATGCCCTGAACTCTTTGTCCCTTTCTTTCTCTTGCCGACAGCAGCACCAGTATGGGACTTTCTTGGTTTGTGTTCGACATGTGTTGTAGCTTGTAAGCTCTTCAACGACGGAAGCTTCAGTGTCAACCGAGGTAATGTAGGCTGCGGGGAATCTCCAAAGTGCGGCTGGGGTGAATCTGCATATCTCGAGCTCGTTGCTTGCGGCGTCGAGCGGTAAGAAGGGGGCGAATCATCGCTGTCGAGGTCCACAGAAACAGAAAACGACTCGTCATCGACATCCATTGCGAGTGACCTTGATTATGTCAGACCACCGCTCGATTTGGAATGGTCCCCTTACTCGGCAGTTCGGATCAAATGACACTTTTAGTTCGTGTCAGCATGGGTCTATCTTTAGCACTGATTCTTTTTTTGGAGCCTCTATGGCACCCTCGCAGGCTTTAGGAATATCATACCAGCCACGACCGTCGCGCGGCTATTTATGTTTTCCGATCCTGAGATTGTATAAAATCCCCTGTATCAGTCGCCCTTCTTCTCACTGCCCATCTCTTCCGCAATGAGCTCAGACATTATCACTCCTCAATTGGACCCCAAGTTCTACACACTGGCAGAAAACGAAGCTGCGTTCTTTAAAGCTCAAACTGGAATCGAGGATGAAGCCACCCTTAAGAACCACATCTTCACAATCCAGGAGGGAAGCGTACAAGGTGGGCTCATATTCGATGAATAACAATTCCATAATACTGATGCGTTACAGGTGCACCCTTATCCGTGCATTCGCCGTTTCGCCTTTGCAAAGTAAGCAGTCCTCGAGTCCACCGTGTTAATTCTGTTTGACTTGAAGCACCTAGGTTGAAGATTTCGAGGCAACCGTGCTATCAACAGCTCTTGAACCTCGGAAAAGATCGCAAGGGAGCGGTCTATGCCGACATTGGATGTTGCTGTTCGTAGATCTCTCATGTAACATCTGCCCCGCCTTGATTGTATAACGTTCACATAGTTGGAAATGACCCCAGAAAGGCAGTCGCAGATGGCTTTCCCGTAGAGCAAGTCATAGCCTCCGATTTACACCCTGGTATGAATTTTCTACCGTTCCATTCGTCCCGCACAACTTAAATACATGGAACAGAGTTTTGGGAACTCGGACATAGGCTCTTCAAGAGCACGGCCGAAACTTTCCCTGCACGCTTCATCCCTGCAGACATCTTTCAGTTAAAAGGCCTTACTAAGGAAGACGCCCCTTCCTCCATCCCGGAACTTTTCCAAGTACAGTCTCTAGCTGAGCTGCGAGGAAACATTTCCGCCATTCATACATCGTCATTCTTCCATCTCTTTGATGAAGAAGGACAGTTCGAAATAGCAAAGATCATGGCGGCGCTACTGTCATCTGAGCCCGGGTCCATGATATTTGGATTACACGGTGGTCGGCAGGAGAAAGGTTTGCGCACCGAAGTCGGCCTCAATAGTGGCCGTCGAAGCCCCATGTTTTGCCACTCACCTGAGAGTTGGAAATCGCTCTGGGATGGTGAAATATACCCCAAGGGTACTGTTCGTGTTGATGCTTTCTTGCATGAACATGACCATCCTGAAATGATCGATTCTGGCGCCAAATCATACCTCCTCGTTTGGTGCATAACGGTTTTGTGAACCAGATCCGCTGGATTTGTATAATACTGTACTAGCCAAAAGGAAATTCGATCTTATGAAGTTGGCAACGCCCGAGACGATGGCCCCATGGTTTCTGACTTTTGACGGCCAGTGAATTGCGCTCTATGACTCCGGAAGGTTTGGTTTCACCCTCAAATATTAAACTTTGCGAAATGCCGGTAAAGCTCTGACATTGAGATCTTGATGCTACGCGAACGCTTCTTACTAAGACGTCGGGTAAGGAATCTCATAGACCCTTTTTCATCTGAGGGCTTCTTTACTAGGTGCTTATTCAGAAGAGTTACCTGCGGCACGCAGGTAACGTCAATCCCATAGATAACAATACTGTGAGTATCAAGCGGCGCGAGTAGTGGAAACCGCGTCTTCGGAGCGAAATTCGCTGCCAACGTTGAAGAGCAGAGGCCGGAGCAACCGAAGGATAAAGTCGCTGACTAAGCGACTACAACTACCGTGATTTGAAGACTTTTGCCTCTCGCTCGCAACCAGCGTAGCTGATCCTCCATGAGTTTGCTGGCTTCCGGATCTCGAAATCAAAGTATCCCCGCAGATTATTTTCTTTGTCTCCCTTTTCGGTGCTTCCACTTTACTAAGGCGGTCGTCGTTTTGAATTGTGGACTAACTTCTCAATCAAAAGCAATCAAAGCGCAGTGCTCGGCACTTACTATCTTCCACCCGCGACGATGCTATTTCTATTTTCTCTACCACGGTCCTTTCTATTTTTCCCTTGCCTTGCCTTGCCGTCCGACTCTCATTCTAGATGGAACTGTCCCGGTGTTTTTATTGCTGAATAGGACCCTTTGTCCAAGTCGTTCTCTTATCGTTCGTCTCTTCTGTGATGTCTCGTCCACATCCCCTTGACGCCACATTATATGCGCTGACAGAGGACGAAGTTGCGTTCTTCAAATCCCAAACTGGGATAGAAGATGACGCTGCGCTCAAGAGCCACATCGTTTCCGTGCAGGAGGAAGCTTACAAGGTCGAGGGTTTAATTCCTGTCTAACATCAGTGTACAGAAACAAAATATCTAGATATGCCCTTATCCATGCATTCGTCGATTCGCATTCACGAAGTGAGTTATCCATGACCAGCTCTATGTGGTTTTCTTACGGTATTTGCTAGGATGTACATTTCGACATATCCGTGCTACGACGACTTCCTGAAACTTGGAAAAGAGCGCAAAGGAGCTATCTACGCTGACATTGGATGTTGTTGTGAGCAGTCTTCTTGTAGTACGCCTTGATCTTCGATCTCAATGTCTGCATAGTTGGCAATGATCCTAGAAAGGCAGTCATGGATGGCTATCCCGTCGAGCAGGTGCTAGCCTCTGACTTGCGTCCTGGTACGTTTCTACCTAAAATAGAATCCTGATATGCATTCTAAAAATATACCACAGAATTTTGGGACCTTGGACACAAGCTGTTCAAGAGCACGCCTGATACTTTCCCGGCACGTTTCATCCCTGCGGACATCTTCCAACTGAAAGATTTGCCGAAGAAAGAAGCAGGCTCTGTCCCTGAACTTTCCCAGGTGCAATCCATAGGCGAACTCCGAGGAAGTATCTCTGCCATCCACGCCTCGGCTCTCTTTCATCTCTTTGACGAAGAAGGGCAATTTGAGCTTGCGAAGATTATGGCTGCTTTGCTGTCGTCTGAGCCCGGATCCATGATATTTGGATCACATGGCGGTCGACCTGAGAAAGGTATCCGCTTCGAGGTCGCTCCCGGATGTGATAATAACTTATTTTGTCACTCACCCGAGAGTTGGCGATCTTTATGGGATGGCGAAATATTCCCCAGAGGTACTGTTCGTGTTGACGTATCATTGCTGGAAACGGAACGCCGAGATATGATAACAATCGATGCTGGTGTCAAGCAATACCTTCTCGTTTGGTGTATAACGGTTCTGTAAAATAGGATTCCTCAATTTGTACCAGAAGGTAATATTGTCTATGGCAATGTAGCATATGCAAGTGATAGTCTTACATACGTTTCTTATTGAGGCCTGCCAATCGTTTCGACCAAGGTTGTGCGGAAGCGTTGCGTTGTTTTACTCTGGTATGGAAGGTATGGTCCGGACACCTCAACGAGATGATGGGCGATGCCACCTCGTTAAGTGAAACCCTTACCGGCGAGGCAACGTCGTGACACCGGATGTTATGCATCTCAAGTACCGTTGATGATCAATATTGGCAGTAATGGTAGTCAAATATTATGCAAAGAGTAAGATGCATAGACAGATAATGGGTCTGTTGGGATTTGGCAATCCGGCATCATGCCGAATTCACTTATTAAGGAAGAAGGAAGAGGAAAAGTGTGGAAAGTTCTAGTAAAAGTACATTTAGTATAAAAGTAGGTACTGTAGCGTAGATCCTCATGCCTTTGCAGAGCTCAGCCAAGCGCAATACTATTGGCTTGCTACCGCGCATGTGACACTGGGAACGAACCGATACCCCGTTTTCCAACAGGGTCGAGGTCCCAGGCTCTGCCGTACTATTTTTAAGTTCAGTCGAAGGTTAATCTGATCATTTTCCCACGGTACGTCCTTGAACTAATGGCAGTGACCGGCATTTACCGCAGTCCACAAAATAGCGTAATCTATCATCGGCTATGTGGCCAGGCAATCATGTAATCTGTTGGTCCGCAGTCGTCCACATTAGCAGAGCTTCGGACGACAGAGGTAACGCCTTGTGAGGAACCCAGTAGTGACGTATACCAAATTTCCGTCCTTATTCTTCACTCCTTTACTAACAATATTGCCGAGGTTGATACCGCTGAATTGACCTGAAGGCCTATTATTAGCCCCCCTGCGATTGATTGTGCCTAGCTACTTTCCCCAGCAGCAGAGAACTGCCTAGAACTGGCTACAAGGTTGCTATTTCTGATATCTCCTCTTGCATGCTTCTTTCTATTCTTTGCTCCACTACCGGTCGAACCCAATGATTTAACTTAATATTTGGCACTTCTTACGTTGACCATCTAAGAGTCCCATTGTCATGAACTCTGCCACAATGGGCTCCGGCTATCGTCCATTGGACCCCTCACTCTACTACGTGCTAGTTGACGACGAGGTTGCAATTCATCAAATCTCAAACTGGGATAGAGGATGACGAGGAACTGAAGAGACATATACTCGCTATACAGGAGGAAGCGTACAAGGTAAGTGTTTTGTTCAATGCCCCAAGCCAACTTAGCCAAATGCAATAAAATGACGGTAAACAGTTAGAACCTTATCCATGCATTCGGCGGTTTGGATTTGCAAAGTAGGTAATCTTTGAATGCTGGATCAGTTCCCTTTTGACTTGCAGTGTATAGATGGAACATCTCGAGACACCCGTGTTATCAACAGTTCTTGAAACTCGGCCAAGAGCGGAAGGGAGCTATTTACGCCGACATCGGATGTTGTTGTTAGTAACCCCATTCTTGTACTTTCCCCCTTCCTCAGATTTACGACATGCACACAGTGGGTAGTGACGCTAGAAAAGCAGTTGCGGATGGTTATCCCGTAGAGCAAGTTATAACTTCTGACTTGCATCCTGGTATGTCACTGCCGTTAACTCTGATTTCGTCGCTTCTGAATATACCACATTAGAGTTCTGGGATCTGGGACATAAATTCTTCAGGAGCACTCCGAAAACCTTCCCAGCGCGTTTCATCTCTGCAGACATCTTCCAACTGAAAGATTTGGCATACGAAGCCGTACGCACTCCCCCAATCGATCTCTCCACAGTCCAACTTTTATCGGAGCTCAGAGGAAATATTTCTGCCCTTCATGCATCGGCCTTTTTTCATCTCTTTGATGAAGAAGGACAGTTCGAACTCGCCAAAATTATGGCGTCTCTACTGTCGTCCGCTCCGGGGTCTATGATATTTGGATCTCATGGTAGTCGACCGGAGAAAGGTATTCGAACAGAGGTCGCTTCGAATAAGGGTTGGAGCAGCGACATGTTTTGTCACTCACCTGAAAGCTGGCGATCACTCTGGGATGGAGGTGTATTTCCCAAAGGCGCTGTTCGTGTCGACGTATCTTTGCTTGAGACGGAACGCCCCGATATGGAGGCTATAAAGATAGATCCGAGCGTCAAGTTATATCTTCTCGTATGGTGCATAACGGTTCTGTAGATGAGTCTCTTGATGGACTTATAGAATGTTTTCTGACCCAGACTCGTTGGCGCACAATCCATGACGACTCTGTTTCGGCTAGTGTCGTGCGATAACCCTAATCTCCTGTTCCCCGACTATGTTGATCCCCAAAGCTCTTCTGTCTATTTTTTGCCTTATTGACGGTGGAATCCGCGGCGCGTGATCAAATTCCAGTGTCAACAGTTGTTTCTCCACAGAATCTGTCCAACGGCCCAACGATAACTTAGTCTTGTAGACCCCTCATTTTGCGCCCTGTTCAACGACTAGGGATAGTGGGCGATGGCAAACTGAAGGATCACTGTTCCTTATTCCATCCGATCCGATCCCAAAGTCCCGGTCGCCTCTACCCACCAATTTTGCATACTTATACCAAAATAACTACATTCCGGATGGATGAGTCTTCTCTTTTCATTTTCTCAGGATCGTGGAGCCTGCCTGTCCCACGTTGATACATTTCCCCCCTTGTCCGAGGGCGAAGTTCGTCCTTACCCCACGATGAGTTCTAATCATACCTTCCTGGACCCGTCTCTCTACACCCTAGCCGAGGATGAAGCCGCATTTATTAAATCTCAGACTGGAATATACGACGGACGACGAGCTAAAAAGCCTCATATTCGCTATCCGGGAAGAGGCATGCACAGTGGATGGGTATTCATCCTAGCATTTCGTGCTAGTGTAACGGCGATGCAGATTTACCCTTTTTCGAGCATTCACCAATTCGAGTTTGCTCAGTGGGTAATGCTTACCTAGACGGGTCCTATTACTTCGCTTATCTAGCAAACGTCAAGACCCAAAATTTCCAAACTGCCGTGCTACCAACAGTTCTTGAACCTCGGAAGAGGTTGTAAGGGAATATACGCTGATATTGGATGTTGCCGTCAGTGACCGCCTCGTTGCACGTCTATATTACTTTATACTGATAGTCATACTTAGTTGGTGCTGACCCCAGAAAGGCGGTCATGGATGGCTATCCCATAGATCAAATTGTTGCCTCGGATTTGCGCCCCGGTATGAAGATCCTAGCCCAAGTTCAGCTCAACACCGTAATCTCATACGCACGATAGAGTTTTGGGAACTCGGTCACAAGTTCTTCAAGAGCACTCCTGAAACCTTCCCAGCACGTTTTATCCCTGTAGACATCTTCGACCTGACAGGTCTATCAAAGACAGAAGGAGGCCCTATCCCCGATATCTCCAAAGTGCAGTCCCTGGCCGAGCTCAGAGGAAACATTTCCGCTATCCACGCCTCAGCTCTCTTCCACTTTTTCAACTATGAAGAACAGTTCGAACTCGGTAAAATTATGGCATCTCTGTTGTCATTCGCTCCAGGCTTCATGATCTTTGGGGCACATGTTAGTCGACCTGAAGGACAGATCTACCTCGAGGTTGCCCTGGACAACGATGATAGATATGGTATCTTCTTCCACTCACCAGAGAGTTAGAAATCGCTCTGGGATGGTGTAATATTTCCCAAGGGCACACTGCGCGTTGATGCATCATTGCATGAAATGGGTGTCAAGCCCGCTAATGTGACGATTTTGACCGGCAAGTCTAGTAACGAGACTTACTACCACCTCATCTAGTGTATAACAGTTTTTGTAAATTAGGTCTCTTGATTTGGTAGGATATCTGGTACAGTGGTCCTATATACGTAGTACGAAACTTGATGACAATCCATAACGAAGAACTTAGTAGCAGGACGCAACAACTTAATGTTCCGTTTCTTCCCAGGTTCTGCCAACTGTTTTGACCAGGTCCTTCTCGGTGACCTGTTTGCCGCTGGAGAAATAGCCTGAGGCGATCTTGGCGTCGATCTCAACGCGTGAGTCGGGAGGGATCAAGTGGTCTAAATACATAACGCGTCAGCAGACCATACCTGACTTCACTGTATGCTGTTCTTTACGTACCAGGAATGTCATATCGCTTGAGAATGGGAATACCGCTGTTCACGATGGCATCATATTTCCTACGCGATACAAAGCTGTTAGTGCCAAAAGGTCGAACGTGCGTACATAGAACGCACATGTCACTCATCGAAACCATGTTGTCAATCTTCTTGATTCCAAGCCAGTGGAGAACGTCGGGCATCAACGCCTGGAATCGCATATCCTTGACACCGGCAATGAGTTCAGTAGACTTGAAGTACTTGTCCGCGGAATCGCCACCACGCTTTCGGAGGTTGTAGACGAGATACTTCGTCACTTCTCCAAGAGCACGGCCCTCCTTCCGGAAGTATACAACAACACCGACGCCACCTTGTTGTGCGGTGCGAACACACTCTTCGATGGCGTAGATGAGGTATGGCTTACACGTGCAGATATCTGAGCCGAACACGTCGGATCCATTGCATTCATCGTGAACACGGAGAGTGAGAACCTTACTCTCGTTAGACATGAATGCAGGGTCTCCAAAGATGTACACGGTCATGCCGCCGATGGGAGGGAGGAAAACCTTAATATCGGGCCGAGTGATGAGTTCAGGGTACATTCCGCCGGTTTCTTCAAACAACGCGCGACGGAGAAGACTTTCGGATCTACTAGTGGTGTCAGACAACGTAATACGGCGTGAAGAGACAGTACGAACATTTGGAAGCGCTCCGCGACACCAGGTAGGAACCAAACAGGCTCCACCGCGGCCTTACTCACTTTCATTTCCACGCCGGGATCAGCATCGCAAACTTTGCCCGTCTCGTCCAGTAATGGCCGGCTTTTGAGGAGAACCTTGCCGTCTAGTTCAAGGGTTCCCTTCCTTACGCTATCGTCAATCTCACTCAACTTCATGTGAGCCTTGGTGATGGCGATACTGGGCCTCGCATCCAGACCGAGTTCCTCCATCTCCTTCTTGAATATGGATGGAACGAGATGGCCCCATGGATCGAAGGAGACGATCTTCTTAGGATCGGCCCAGGAAGGCTGTGGGGGAATAGAAACCGGGGGATCGGTAAGGTTGTAGTCGGGTTTGTGGGTCAAAGATAGACTACCCATTGCAACGGAGAGGGCACGATAGATAGAGTAGGATCCGGAATGAGCACCGAGGGCATTGCGCTGCTTGATCGACGACGGGAGACGCGAACATATGACCGGGCCACGTGTAGTAGGGTCCGCGGCACCCCAGACAAGAGGGTGAGGCGCGATGCCATGCTGATCCGGGTAGGCTGAAACACGTTGTTAGACAAGTATTCAGACAACAATACGTATACTCGCTTGTAAGGTTAACTCGGCCTGGATACAACAATTTCTCGCGTTCCTTGTCGGTCGTCATACGCGATGAAGTAGGGCTCGAGGACAACGGGCTCTTGGAGGCCAGGTCGCTAATCGAGGGCGATGTGGACACGCCAGGTATTGGAATACTACGGCGCTCAGGAGTTGATGGCTTCAAAGTTCCATCTGTAACCGCATCCAACTGGTTCACGACGTAATACTCAATGTCTGGAAAGAAAACGAAGACACGTCGAGAAAGAGATATATACCTTTGCTTGCAGCATCTGCTGGGATACCTGGAGCGCCTGCAACTGGGCCAGTATCTGCGTCAATATTGCTTCAGAGGCTGGCATAGTTTCCTTCGTTGTATTCGCTCGAATGACCCCTGGAGATGGAAGAGAGAAAGGAAAAGGAAAACACCAATCATACAACGTGCCTTTATACGTCTTGCTTATCAATTTCGATATCGGTCCGAAATCCGAGGAATTGCCTATTATCGGCCGCGCCTTTGCCGCGGTTGAATGTAGCCAAAAATTCTTGAAATTGGAGCATTTCTAGAGATAGCGTCTGACTTGGATATATCCACGAGCAGGAGCAAGAGCAGGCCCACCTTTTTCCACCTCTTTTCAAAGACTGTCTTCAAAGGCTTCGGTGTCCGTACAAAATCCATGAAAGACAGACGTCCGCGCACTTAGAACACAACATAAATCTTGGAGACGCGTAGACACCGCGGACGACATTCGGGATAAACATGGAACACACGTGCCTCCTTATCGTGCAATGAACGCCGGGCGCAAAATTAGTCGTGATGAGACCAAAGCGCTTTGCACGTTGCTGCCTCCGGCGCGAAGTAAGTGCAACGTGCCATTGTCGCCAGCACTAGATTGGTCGTCATCTGCTTTTGTTCTATAAATGATCAATTATTGGTTTAGTCCCCATAGTATTATCGAGAGGGGCCGAAAAAACCGGCGAACGAGCTTGACGTGGCTGCCAAAGGGAAGGAAGAAGTGAACAGCCGCTTTGCTTAAACGATTTGGCAGACACAAGGCGCTTAGTCACCGCCTCTGATGAGCAGTGGCCAAATTCCCGAAGGGAAATTTTTTGAAACTTTTATGCTGATTTGCTGAAACTGGCAGTAGATTCAGTGAAAAAATATACAGATGAGATACCCGCACCAACGTCTGCCCAATTGAGGGAGAAGCCCATTCATCCAGAAAGCAAAATAATGCCTAATACAATGTTAAGTCAAATTTTGGGTCTAGCGGGGTCCCCGGCCCGTCCGGAGCGTTGGAATCTCGTCCGAGTTAGCATATTTAGGCCTAAAATCGGCCATTTTGCCGGACACACCTTGCTGGGAGCTTCCCGGAGCCTACTTAACAGAGCATCTAACGAGGCTACGGCCCGCTGATTGGTCGTGGCCAAATTGGATGTGGATGACATTCTGTATCCTTCTGTATCTCACGCTACGCGTATTTTTATTGAAATTCCTCTTGCCAATCTAGAATGCGACGAAACAAAGAAAGGCCAACAAGGAGAACCTTCCTAGGCGAGCTAGAGTCAATATTAACACCGGAGGATGAGAGAATTTCACTATTCCCAATAGCCCCATGGGAGAAATCACTGACAGAATACGGAAACAGATTTCAGACCTCATTACCAGTCAGCGGTGAATCAAAAGAGGACGCTGCGAGAAAACATTGAGATTACATAAGGAGGTTCTCCTTCGACAACACCCATCTACTGTTATACTCAGACGGCTCCCTACTCGAATTAAACGGCAAACGACAGACAGGAGCGAGCTGGGTAGCGATGATTCAGGGAAAAGTGGTCGCATCACAGAGCATAGGGACAGGACCCCATGCTGAGGTGTATGACTCAGAGCTTATAGGCTTAGCGTGGGCCGCACGAAATGTACAACGATTGCGTGCAGCCCACCCAAGCGTACGTCACATTCATTTCTTTGCCGATAACTCCTCTGCAGTTGACTCCATTATACGTCCCAAACGGGGACCAGGTCAACAGCATGCAACAGTGTTTTTCAAGATAGCCATGGAGCTCTTGGAAGAGGACGAAGAAACATCGCTGGAGGTAGCATGGGCACCCGGCCACCAGGACATACCTGGAAACGAAAAAGCGGACGCTTTGGCGAAGGAGGCATGTACAATGTTCGACATGGGACAGCGCACATATGCAAACGCAAGGAGAAGGATGCGAGAACGAGTACAGAAGAAATGGGTACAGGAGTGGGAAAGGACAAGCCCTACTGGCCGCTTTGGACTCGCAAACCGACTCAAACCACAGCTAAAACCAACCCAGAGGTTCAAGGAGACACCACGCGAGGTGTTCGGAAGGCTCATACAGTGTAGAACAGGGCACGCCCACATGGGCGAGTTCTACGAACTGTTTAACATCCCAGAGGCGACGGACTGCGAATGCGGCGAGCGACTACAAACGCGAGATCACATCATACGATCCTGCCCATGATACAATGACCATCGACAGATCCTACGCGAAGGATCACAGAATCTAGTGATGTGCGACCTTTTGGGCACGACAGAGGGCATCGAAGCGGTCACAAGGTTCCTAGCAGAGTCTGGAGCCTTTACAAAGACCGGAACTCAAAGGCGAGAGGTGGGAATGCCGCTCTGGGAAGATGAACCAGAGCCGCATGAAGAAGAGGATGATGGATAGAACACTACATCGCAGCGCTACCGGGCCCCCCCCATTGTTTCTTTTCCTTTACTCTTTTTCTATTTGTATTTATTCCCTATCTCTTTTCCCTAGACAATGATTTTCGCAACGAAGAATAGACACCTAAAACACACGAAGCTACATAGAATTTTACCCGAGAGTTTTACATACCATAGAGTTGACAAGTAGATTAGTATTACAACGAGTAGCGGTACAGTCATACATAGCAGTAGAGTACTGTACCCCCGCATCTTCGCCCACTACGAGGCGTGTTGCGGGTTACCAATCCAGACCTTCATCATCATCCTCTTGCCAATCGTCTTATCTTATCAAAAGAATGCGTTTGGCAAGAGCAAAAAAAAATCGGTCAACCCCAAGTTTGGTGCCTGACTTTGCACATTAGAGGCGGTGACTAGGCGCCTTGCACCATACATGACTCTGCACTGACGGACGGAAGACATCCGTTGATAGGATAGACTTCAGTCTGCCTTCCACCAATCATAGGATTTTGCATTAAAGCCATTGAAGGCCGACGGGGAAAAAGGACACTTCCTGCAAAAAAATGAACCAGATTCTGTGGTATCTTTTATTCTACCGAGACGATGAGAGGAGAAAAATGGAAACGTGTCGGCCCGGAATACCGTTCCGAAAAAGCGGACCGCAGTCGGAATTTATCAAGGTAAGTGGCCTATGCAAACCCATCAATTTACAAGCTTAAGACCGTAATACACCAAACGAGAAATAGAAATTCGTGCTGAAACTATCCGCTACAGTTTCCTTCAGAAAAGCCTCAACCTAACAGCACCCTTGGAGAATACATTCCATCCCAGGATGCCTTCTAACTATCGGGCGAGCACTCTGTTGGTGCCAAAGGTTTCGCCATGTAGATCCTTGGTGGGATTACCTCCACGAGAACCGAAAATCATCGATCCAGAAGTAGAAGACAACAGAACCGCCGTTATCTTCGTGAGCTCAAACTGCTGTTGTCCATGAAAGAGGTGGAAAAAGGATCACTTCCTGAAAAGTTTCGGCTAAGGATTGGACCTTGGAGAGCTCGGTTGGAGGCTATGGGTTGCTTGACCAAAACCTTCAGCTCGAATACGTCCGCAGGTATGGATCGCGCCGAAAAGCTCTCTGGTGTGCTCTTGAAGAGCTTGTGTCCAAGATCCCAAAATTCTGGTACGCGTTAAAATGAGATGAGAGTCGCATCGTTGTCCAGCCATACCTGGATACAAATCTGTGGCTATGGATACCCATCGACGACCACTTTTCGGACATTATTTCTAACTGTGACCAGATCAGACGTCGAACATAGAAGAGCAAACGACTGACAGCAGCACCCGATATCGGCATAGTTAGCTCCCTGGCGCTCTTTTCCAGTCTTCAAGAACTGTTGGTAAGATGGATGCCTTGAGATCTTCAGTCTTCGTGGGGTCGGCAACTGAGCTGAGTGCAGATATGAACATCGCATCCCAGAACAGCAAAATTGCGAACTACAGGGTAAATCTGTGGAGTGATGCGTTAGAAGACAGAATAGCTCATTAATACCGCCACGCGCCTTGTACTCTTCCCCTTGAGCGGCTAAAATGCGGTTCTTCAACTCGACATCATCTTGAATTCCGGTTTCCGCCTTGAAAAATGCAGTTTCGTCTTCGGTCAGGTGTAAAGAGAGGAATCTAGAGGGGAAAGGCACTGATTCAGACATGGCCGAGACGATGAAGGAAAGTTTCATTCTTACTGGCTTATACGTGGCCGCCTCCTGGAATACCTTGTCAGTCATGGAACTGGAGAAATAAAACAGAAGTGGCTCCAGCCGCTGGTTCGGTCCGGTAGCCGAACCAACTGTTGTGACTTGACCACTGACCACCACCGCGACAGTGCGTTGTCGAAAACTCATCGAATCAGCACTTTTCCTTGCCTTGCATACCTTCAGAAATATTATGCTGGGACTCCAATCCACTGCACACTCGCATACTCTGCTTCCTCACTGAAGAGCACCGGCTGCGGTCTGGTTCGATCGAGGTTTTGTCGAACGTCGTACAGGGGGCACTAAATGGACTGAACTGCTCTAGCTCTATGGATGTAACACCACTCTCGCTCGAATCTCGGACCTGTGTTTTCCATAGATCAACCAGAATCACCCAGCCGACGGCATTCCGTTGTGAAACGCGCACAAGGATAAGCACAGCATCATTGACGGCTACACAGTCTGTGTCATGTCATAATGAACAGCATTCTAATGACAGACTACGGTGGAGCTGCCACTTGACGTTGTTACTATTCTTGACTTGTTGCTTTCATCTTGACATTGGGCTTGAGGGAAAATAGTAGATGAGTCTTGTAAAGTGCCCATAATCCCCATTTTGACGTGTTATCTGGCTGGTTTATAGGGGATTATTGGTACCGCCTGAAACGACAAACCTGTCATAGGCTGAAGCGTCTTCTTCGGGTTGCTGGAATAATAAGCCCATCTGTGATACCCCGTCTTCATCGCTCGACGAGCAGGCATCTCCCCTCCGTCACTATCTTGTTCAATACTTTGCGCGAGTTGCAACGCCCTGTCATCAAAGATTGAACAAGTACTAGAAATAGAAACCGCTTCCGGAAGAGATCGGTGTTAATCGAGTTCATCATGGGGTACGTGCTGTATTCTCTTCTAGAATTTTCTCATAGACGCCCCATTTCTGGGGTAAACTCTCCCCCATCTTATATGACCGTGCTGCAAGTTTTCGTCTCTATATGACTTGCAAACGCTGGTGTCCCTCTCAGATAGCCAGGAATCACCAACGTAGTAATGATCACCAAAACTTTCGTGCCTTATTCCTGTTGGTTCTGAAGCAAGATCTGATCAAATTTCTCGCCATGACAGAACAAGCTCAAGTTTGCAGGTGCGCTGAGATCTCGCCAGGACGGGTCTCCTGATTTTTCCAGGGTATGATTTCCCTAATTCAACAGAACATATATCTGAGAAGCTCGTAGTTCGTATAACCATTTTTTCTATGATACAGGGCATTCTCCGGCAATAGCGCCCTTCGAGCCGCATCTCTCTTGCGAGTTGCATCAGTGAAACTATCAATGTACACAATGTCTCATTAAATCGCAGAATACACTCGGTACGTAAGGATCCCGTTTTAACTTGACATCCATGATTATCTTTGCATCAGCTAATGAGCGTGTCCAGTAAATGTACTGTTATAAAGAGAGGGTTGGTATGTATTGTTTATATAACCCACTTCCCCGATACTCTTGCTTTCCTCATGGAGACTCGGGCAGATATTCCACCAGATCTCACCGACGAAGACAAAGCTTTCTTGTTTCAAACTCTCGACGTTGAGCTGAATTCAGGAATTTTCTACGCGCTGTTGTATGGTGGGCAACATCGTTTAGCGTCTCGACATGTAAGCGTTGACTAATGACAGATCTACAGGCGTATACACCGGTATTCTTGCTGTTACGTTGTGGAATATTTGTGAGCGAGGACTATCTCAACTATGGTATCCAAACTGACGCGAGTGGTACGACACAGTCATCAATAAAATTCGGCCGGTCCGACGAACCTTGGTCGTCATAATTATTCTCCTGCACGCTCTCATTACTATCAATTTTGCTGCCGATTGGTCATGTACACGCTCCGCATTCATCGAAAACGGGCAAAGTTTTTGGACCGTATATTTGAATCTTAATGTAACCGAAGCTTCCTATTGGGAGATGGATATTCCAGCCTTAATGAGTACCATTCTTACAGACTCATATATAGTATGTGTCATTTGGCTGGTGATATTCCACATCATCTCACCATCTTTTCGACTCTAGATTTAGTGCTGCTGGGTGGTTTGGGGACGGCGCTGGCTTATTGTTCTGCTTCCAATCATTTGCCTAATTACTGCAACTGGTAAAGTGTCCAATCTCGTTTGCTCTTTTCATATCTCCAACTTTATGTGCAGTGTCGAAAGTCCTTCAAGTATATTTAGTAAACTCCAATGCTTATATGTTGTACGAAGTATTCCTGATGCTCTACATATCCTTTGTCCTGGCAACGACATTGTGGTGCACGCTACTCATCATTTTTCGCATTTTGACTGTTACTGGAGTTGGACGCGGAACAGGCGGCCGACTGAGTGTTTATCGCCGCTTTATTGGAGTGCTAGTGGAATCCTCCGCTTTTTATTCAATAGTTCTGATTCTATACTTGGCTTTATTCATTCGCAATGATTTTGGGTTTTATTACCTTGATGCGATAGCTAGCATTGCGAAGGTCCGTTCACTATCTTAGACTTCCTTATCATTTACTGAACATCTTGGGTAGGGAGTTGCACCCATGCTCCTTGTGGGCAGAGCAGCGGCAGGTCAACGCGCCCAACCGAAGAACATGATGAAACTTCGGTGGTGTCTACCATTCGTTTCCAGACGTCTGCGCAATCTTCTCACCCTTCGCAACCTTCTACTTCAAGCTATCAGGAATCCACTATGCAGAGCACAGTCCCTGAAGTGGACCTTGAAGCTCAACTGGAGCAGTCGGATGAGTTCGCCGTATCCGTTGTAAATACGCAATAATGGTCATGACGAACAACTGAGCGTCGGGGTTCAGAGACTCGTGGAATGTCTGTTCTTTGTCGCTGTAGCCCTTTTGATTATCCTTCTTCGCCTCGTCTATTTTTCGATCCCTTATACAGTATATACATACCTCTATATAATACCACTTTAGCCTTTGTCGCGTTGGTCGTCTAAACTAGCTCAACACGCATCTCGGCTGTGGCGGTGATTTCAATTTTGGAGGCACGCGATTTTCGGATTCACCTGGCCAGTCGGCTCCTTTTTCTTCCATTCGTCAACCTGTCAAACTCAGACCACACTCTACAGCGGCAGGACGCTCATATCCCCATCCACCTGGCCCAACACCCCGTGGAAGAATGGACCAGCAGAGCAAGGACTTGGCAGAGTGAAGGTCATGCGTAGTTGGAGAGACAGTACAGTATGAATCATTTCATACCACGAACACTGGGCGACGGTCGTGCCACCCAGCATTCTTCTGGTCCGCACCATCAGTACGTCCAACTTGCCTTTCCATGCTTAACTTCCCGTCTGAATTTTGACTAGTATTTAATATCATCGAAACCCAAGCAGATTTCATGACGAGTTTGCTCATGCGCCTTGGCTCAAGAGTCAAGATCTACGTATCCTTTGCCATTGCCAGTCCTTTGTCGCACCATGCTCATTATGTACCATTCATCTCGGGAGAAAGGGTTCGGAGGACGGGCTGTCGTTGTACCATACTACCAGCGGTGCTGAGGAGTTAAGCATTAAACAACTTGATTGGAGCGACCAAGCTGGGAATGATGTCGGAGCCTACAGTAGGCAGTACGTGCATAGTTTCAGAAGCGCCTTCAGACTTATCGGCTGTCTCTATGAGGTGAACTGTGTTTTGTAGGGTTTTATTCCTAACGCGACCCGATTTGAATCAGGACAAGCGTTAGCACCAATCACCAGTAGTCATCAGCAAAAATGCAGAACGATTACAAATACATGCGAGAGGCTTGTAATCGCAATAATCACTTGTAGTATGTATAATCAGTTATAATTGATTATCGTCGACGTGTACATTTTATAACCGTGTTGTACCCATATTATAATTGGAATATAATTTCTACAAGAATGGTGGTTCTCATATGACCTGATAGAATTATCATGATTGTATGTGAATACAACTTTCATATCAGGCCTCCGTAAGAGCCAACTAAGTGAACGATATGACCATTACTCAAGCAATTAAATGGATCATATCATTCATTCAGCTAGCGAAGCGTACAATGCAAAGCACGAAAGGATAAATTTATTGCAGCATAAGGTACACAAAATGACATCTAGTATGTATTTAATGTCCCCGAGAGGTGCACAAACAAGCCATACGATCCTCCAGTCTTTCGCGGCGCACCATTCCTTCGATGGAAAGCCCACCTATCAAGCACCCAGTCAGTATGAGCATACTCAGATATAAATGTACGTACTCATTACCCTCCCTCAGCAGGTTCTTGCGAGCGTCAGCGGCTATAGATTTATCAATGCACTTGATAATGGCGTCGTCACGGCAGAGGTATTAATGAGCGAGTGGCTGCAGCGTCAAAACAAATCATTGCATCGAAAGTAGCCGGCAGTCTTGACTCACCTTGACTGCGGGAATGTCCTCCATCCCTAAACAGATATCGCAAAGGCACCAACGAGTCCTAGAACATAGAAATAATCTTGAAGCAAAGTCTACAAGGAACTCACACCTGTACACAGGATTGTCGCACAGCTGCCATAGCTGGGGGTGGAGAGAATGTCAATGTGGTCGAGTTCTGAGGCAAATAGAGAAGTGTAGTCAGTAACAATAGAAGAGATAAATCTATGGTCCACATACTCGAAGAAATATTCAACCGCAACACCGTTCTCCCTGGCCATGAGCTAGAAGTGAATGAATAGAGGCACCTAGGACAGAAAGAACACCATCAGAAGGACTTGAATTGATTGGAGAATTATCACAGACTTTTTCGTGGAGTATCAATGAAGAACTGAGAATGATGGTGATGGAAAGAACGAGAGAAAGGGAGTCGGAATTTGCATCAACAAAAGGTCAACATCACGTGCAATGACGCGATCTGGGAGCGCGGAACCTGGAACGGCGGAGTTTGAAAGGACTTTGATTATTTTATGGCCCAGTCTGCACTTTCCTGCCGCCATTCGATGATACTATGCTGTAGTTGCTTTCTGTCTGCTTGTACTAGCGATTCATTGTAATTCTGGCCAAGACCTATGTACTAGTAAAACATCTTTCACATTGACATAATGCAATGCTTGCAACACTATCAAACCAATTTGTTCCCTACTAATAAATGCGGCACAAGGAAGGATGAACTTGAAGTATTACTGGAAATAAGCTGATGCACATTTACAATACCATGGTAAGAGTGTTGCAATTTGGTTGCAATCGGGCTGTATGCAGTTGTAAGATCCACAAGCGTCGCAGTGGATTATAATACAATTACAAATTGATGCGATTATGATATTGATTGTCAGCCGAATATCGGCACTGATAAGATATTCCAAGAATAGTAATGATTGCAACCGTTGGGGGTTTTTGCTGATGTACATGCGTCACAACAATAAACACTTGGCCATTGAATAGCTTGTTCTAATAGCCTAGAGGTGGTTATTTGAACCACATATGCCGGGCTTCTCAAAAGTGAAGCATTCAATAAAGAGAGACAGAGTCATTCACAGCATCTGCCCACGTGACGTTGACTATGGCTATTCAGACAAACGTTCCAACCAATATTATCGATGGCCATAGTTAAACTATCATAATCATTGGTATGTCAACGTAGAATCCAGCCTGACGAATTTCCTTACAACACTGATCCCAAAAAAGACTGCTGTGCTCTAACAACCCTTTCATGAGGCTTCGACCTGTAACCCATATGCCGCCTTGATGATATTCGCCGCCCTCTCCGCCACAGCCTACACCGGAGCAGACATATGTGCCACCGGTAAGCCCCAGTTAGCACCCTCTGGTGACATGCTTGCCATACTGACTGGGCGGAAAAATGACACCGCATTTTCACAAATGAATTCCTCAATCTCTTCGTCGGTGGTCGCGTTATTAATGAGTGAGCCAAGGATGTAACCCCTCCCACACGGAATTGTCGGGCAGCCTTGATGGATTCCCGTACGATGAGGATATCGACTGGGGCAGCGAGGACAGGTTGACTAGAGGTTCAGAGAAGGGTCAGAGGAGTTAATGAATACTGAACATCTTGAGGTAGGCGATACAGATGCCATTGGGATGTCGATGTAGTTGCCGTTTTCTCTGACACTGGATGATCCATATACTATAGAAGGATTAGAAGACGTATATAAACCTGTGGGATGAGCCATACCTAGAATATGAACTCATAATGTGCAATCAAGGGACCTGACGAAGAATTGGAATAGTTCTCAAACACAGTTGAGTTGTCTGGGAGACGAAGCCAAGCAGTATGATTCTCCGACGTGTTTGTAAGTTAGCCCTGCCTTGTTCTCAGTCCATTCCGCTATCCATTTGTTCAGGAGAGTTTCGTTTCTGATGACGGTGTCGTATGTGTCGGTTGAGTTCATGATCAAGGTTGTGCTGACTCTGATGTGGTCTGTAAGGTTCTTTCCTACTGATGGAAGTGACAACATGGTAGTTATACCGAGAGGTTCGAGAGGTTCTAGATCACTGATTCCTGGTTGAACAAGGATGGTCAGACATAACAGATCCAGCGTCATACAGAACAGTGGTATAACAAGAGTGGGATCCACCACAGGATCGTTTTCACCCCCAGCCTCGAGTAATAACATGTCAGCTGTGAGCTCCACCAGGACCACTTATAGCCATTCCACCTGTCAGTATGCCACATATAGTAGAACTGTGACCATCCTGAGGCTATACCATCCATTTTGTGCACAAATGCCCTGTAGCATCAGGGAATGGGCTTGTACACAAATCCCTGTAACTACAGGGAGCAGGATTTGTACACAGCTTAGGGAATGGCTTGTAGCACAAGTGCTCAGCTTGTGCACAGCCACACCAGAGTTGTCAGGCTTAGATTTCTCATGCTTTGCTACACCCTATGCTCCGCCCCTCCTGCTCGTCGTTGCCCACTTTGCACTCTATTTTTCCCCTTTTGTATTGAGGCTGTATTGTCCATTTATTTAATGCGTGTATGAACTAGTGAAAAAAGAACGTTTCGAATGGATTTCCATAATTTGCTGGATAACCCCTAAACTGACTGCAGCAAGCAATGGATTGCAATTGTACAGCCATGAAGTTCTTCCATCCCTCTAAAATCAAATATATTGATGTCTATTGGCATTTGTATATCATGTATAGCTTAGTTATCCATACATTCTAGCTGATTCATAGATAAATATAAATTATGGTGTCAAATGCAAGTACTCTGCATCCTTTATCCCATAGTACACATTCAAATGAGAATGCAGAGTCAATAAAACTATGGATTTCATCTATTCTGAGTAGTATATATCTGAAAATTGTTATCAACCAACTTCAATCGACTTAGATCAAACTAGGATCACCACTCGCACTTCAGTGGTTGATACTCTAGTAAGTCAAAGGTGATATATGGAGTCGATCGAGGGCAGATAGACGTGAAACAGGGAGTTCGATGTTGGGTAGGTTAAACCTTAGCCGAAGCTGGGGTTTAGGCCAGCGGAGGCTACTACTTAAATACACTTGGGTATGGTATAAATAGTACTGTGAGAACCATCTGGTGATGATTGTATATGATAGTAAGCATGATGAGTCAGAGAAAATGAAAAGAAATGAATAAATCGTAACATTACCCCCCTCTTAAGACTTGTTCGTCCCGAATGAGTCCTCTGACTCCCATTCGTCGTCGTCTGAGGTCAATTGTTTGGACTCAGAGTAGAAAGATGGTATATTGTCGTCATCTTCCCCATCTGAATCCCAATTTTTGTGGATATGTTGAAGGTTTTGGAGATTGATTTCTTCCTCCAAGTTCTCCTCTTCTTGTGTTGGTAAGAAGTGAAGCTTACTGATCTCGTTCTCCTCCTGTTGCCGTGGTGCTCGTGAACGTGAGTCACCTCCTTTTGCCTTGATCAGTGTGTCAATCCAGTCATTTAACTTGTATTGCACTTCTGGTTTCTTGGGGACGTCAATGGCTGTGATTTTTTCTGTGGGTGTAGAATTTTTAGAAGAGGGATAAGAGTCTTGTTGGGTATCTGAATGTCTTGGGTTTGAACATTCAGAGGAGTATGTGGTTTGAATGTCTGTGAGACAAGGGGTGTCTGGCTCGTGATATTTCGCCATAATGTTTGTGGGTATTTTGTTATCAATTCCCACTGTCCTCCCTTTGTTGTCAATCTCCCATCGAATTCTTTGGAGGCGGGATTCATACTCGTTTACCAGTTCTTCTGCATTGGCCATGTTCGATCGTTTTACCCAAGAGTTTTCCTCCATCGGGTAGCCTTTCCACTTTACTAAGTATTCGGTGATGGTGTGACGAGTTCATCTGCGACCGACTACTTTGTCTCGTTGCTCCATGATTTCCTCAATCTCGTATTCTTCCTCGTCATCAATTAGCTCTGGGGGTGGCCTTTCGGGTTGCGGCTGATTAGGGAATTTGGGAGCATGATATGGGGTCAAAAGGGATTCATTGAATCGGTTATGAATCCTCCATGCAACCGGAAGTTTGAGTTCGTAGGCAGAGGCTCCCTTTTTGGCCGTAATGGTGAAAGGCCCTACACGTCAATCCCCAAGTTTTTTGGTGGGTTGAGGGAGGTTCAGGTTGGTGGAGTCCAACCACACCTTGTTGCCTACTTGGTATTCGACCACTTTGTCCTTGTGTTTATCGTAGGCCATTTTCATAGATTCCGCCACTTGCTCCAACGACTCTTTTGCTTTCTCCTGTATCTCTTGAATACCTTGAACCAGTTTTGAGGCAGCTGGGATGATGTTGGGTCATTGGGTTGTTTTGATGACTTGCCCGTCTCTCCCAAAGACCACTTTGTATGGAGAGAAACCCGTTGCTGAGTGTTCTCGATTGTTGTGAGTGAAAGTGGCTAGCGATAACCACTCGCTCCAATCATCTTGTCGATAGTTCACAAACATCTTGAGATATTTTTCGATTTCTTGGTTAACCCATTCCATCTGCCCATCCGTTTGAGGATGGTAGGCAGTGGAAGGGTTTCCCGTGACATGGATAAGGGCGTAAAACTCCTTCATGAATTTGGACACAAAAACGGCCCCTCTGTCTGAGATGATCTTTTCCGGCATCACTCCATATGGCACGTAAATGTGGTCTCATAGGATCTTGGCGAAGCCGAGGGAAGTGAGTGCCTCAGTGCATGCAATCGGGATTATTGTTTTTGAAAATCTATTGACTATGACGAGGATGGAATCGTATCCCTTTGAGGTAGGGAGTTTGGTGATCATATCGACGGAAATGTGAGTCCATGGTCTCGTCGGTGTTTCATTCGGATGAAGGGGAGCCCTCTTTGGTCGACGGTCTGCCTTAGTTCATTGACAAACTTCGCATCCCTTCACATAGGCCTCCACCTCCCGATGCATTCGAGGCCACCAGTAGTCTCGTAGGACAAGTTCTTTGGTTTTCTCAATGCCGGGGTGTCCAGCCGTTACATGGTCATGTCAAAGGGCTATGATCTCCCCCTGTAGTCGATGATCTTTAGGGATATAAATACGTCCATCGTACCAAAGTAATTCCTGTTCTCGGATGATCCCCTTTTCATGATTAAGGGAATCCGAGATGCCTTGGTCCCACTTCCACGCATCGTGGGTGGCCAGTTTGATCTTTTCGTGGAGTTCCTCCAGAGTGGGCATTACCAGTGCTCGGAAATGCTCTGCCTTCAGGACTGTCATGTCCCAATTGTCCTCCTTCCCTTGATCGTGATCTGCTCGTCTGGACAATAAGTCCGCTTTGTGGTGTAATGTGAATTGATACTCTGCTAGCTCTGTCACCCACTGCGCTTGTCGTCGATTGAGCTTTTGAGGTTTACGGAAGTACTGGAGATTGGAGTGATCAGTCCAGATTTCAAAGTCTTCCCAGGCCCCCAAGAGGTACTGGCGCCATTCCTCCAGGGCGATCATGATGGCGAGAAGTTCCTTGTCGTAAATCTCATAATTGCGTTTGGTAATGGATAGGGCTTTCGAGAGGAAGGCCACAGGTCTCCACTTTTCATTTTGCCATTGGGACAGTACTGCTCCGATGGCCCCCTCGCTGGAGTCGGCTTCCACTCGAAACTTTCCCCCATCGAGTGGTATAGCCAATACCACATCTTCACGGAACAATTCCTTCAATTTATCGAACGCTTTCTGTTGGGCCTCTCCCCACCTCCACTCAACCTTCCCAGTGAGCGACGTTAACGGTTTAACGTGCTTGCTATAATCGTGTATGAACCTGCAGTAGAAATTGCAAAATCCAAGGAAGGATTGCAATTCTTGCTTCTTCCGGGGTACGGGCCAGTCTAGTAGTCCAGCGATTTTTACCAGGTCCATTCAAATCTTTCCTTCGCTAATGATCACTCCCAAGTATTCCATTTCTTCCACTTCAAATTCGCACTTTTCAGCCTTGAGGAAGAGGTTATTTTCCCGGAGTCTTTCCAACACCTTTCGCACGATGCATTTATGCTCGGCTTTGGTTTTCGAGGCAATTAGGATGTCATCCAGGTAAACAGACACCTCTCCTGCGGTGATGAGGTCTTTAAAGATGTCGTTCATCATCCATTGGAATGTAGCCAGGGAATTTGTGAGCCCAAAGAACATTACCAGGGGCTCGTAGAGTCCGTGATTGGTACGAAATGTGGCTTTCCACTCATCCCCCTGCTTGATTTGAACGTTGTTGTAGCCCCACCTCACGTCTAATTTGGTGAAGTATTTAGCTTTTTTCAGCCTGTCCATTAATTCCCCAATCAGCGGTAGAGGATACCGATTTTTAATGGTCATCTTGTTCAGTTTTTGATAATCCTGAACTGGGTGAAGCTTTCCATCCTTTTTCTTGACAAAGAAGAAAGGCGACACCATAGGGGATTTCGAGGGCTGAATGCGACCGGTGGACAAGTTTTCGTCAAGAAACTTATCCAACTCCTCCTGCTCCGTGGGATTAAGGGGGTAGACTTTACAGTCCAGATTAGCATTAGCATTAGGAATCAGCTCAATAGTGTGATCCCAGGGTTTACGCGGAGGGAGTTCATCGAAACTTTCTTTATCAAACACGTCTTTGAAGTCTCGATACTCGGTGGGCACTATTTCTTCGAAGGATTTGACCGTCTTCTTTGCGTGGGCCTGGGTGGCTAGTTCATTAGCTTTAGTCCCCATAGCCCATACGTGGAAGGCCTGTTCAAAGTCGATTACTAAGATGGTATCCCCTTCTTCATACTCATCCCAGTGCACCGACAGGTCCATGTCCGGGAGATGGAATGGGATTTTTCGACAGGTGCAGCGGGCCAAAGTGATGGCCCCGGTATCCCAGTCGATAAGCGGGTTGTGCCTTTGTAGCCAATCATGCCCTAGAAATAGGGGCGTGGTGCCTAGGTCCACTATGGCCAGTTCGATTAGTTCCATGTGGTCGCCGATCCGTAGTCGTGCCTCGGCATACTCTGTAATATCACTGCCCTTGTTCCTAGTGCCATCGGCATTATAAACCGGAATGGGTCAGGCCACCTTTTTGAGATTAAGGGCATGATCCCGAGCCCAGGTGCGGTCTATAGAGCTACCGGTGGCCCTGCTGTCTACTAGTGCTTTCATGGCGTGCACTTCTCACATGTCCAACGTCTTGAGTTGCACGTTAATTGATACATTTCGCCCCTTCCTTCCTCGTATGTACATGGGAGGCTTCTTTAGATCCTCCATCCATTCCCATCTCTCCCTTGACTCTTTTGCGGTCTCTGGCTGTTCCTTAAGCGAGTCGCATAGCTCAATGGTGATCTCGCTCACCTGATGGGGGTGCACCCAGTTCCGGAGGGCGGCAAAGGCGGCAGAGTCATTAGCAGCTAGGCATAGGGCTCGGCAGGTCCAGTGTACCCCAAAGGGTTCATAATACATGTCCAAAATAGCTCGTTTGGCTTTGGGCACCAACTCGGGCTCAGGGATCGTGCAAGACCTCTCCTTGGGTGGTGTGATCAGGGTATCAGACTGTAAGTGGGCTTCTTCATCTTCCACTTCTTCTAACGAAACAGGGGGCTTCTTGCCTCTCGGTGGCATTTGGTCACCAGGCCAAAAAGGGCCTCTCGGTGGCACTTGGTCACCTTCCGTCGAGTTGGTAGGGGAGGGCATGCTGCCCTTTGTTTGGCCCTGGCCATGGGTGTTTGTGCTCGGCATTGTAACCCCTATGGCTAATCCATACTTATCCTCCTTCCTAACCCCGGTGGTACTCTTGGTAACCCTATGTGGATGCACACATGTTGGCTCCCCAAGGGGGTCGGCACCGTTTGCGGGTGAGGCCACTACTGAGTGTAGGTGGTCCCCTTGGTTCACAGCCTCAGCTGCTTTTCCACCGCTGACTGGAGGAACAACGAGTGAAGGCCCACCAGTCGGGGTCATCGGCCAATTCTCCCAGCTGGGGCAACCGCAGCCATGTCTGGTGCTAGTCTGGACTTGACCTGAGGCACTCGCTGGGTACTCCAGAACTTCCCCCATGCGGTCAAGCGGGGGTTCCAGAGGTCAGACAGCCCCTAGGGGTTCATTGCTGGACACAGGCAGTGTAGAGCAGCGGAAATCCCCTCCTACGCTGTTGGCACTTTGCGATTCTTCTTCCTTAGTTTCTTTGATGGTTAACGCAGCAAAAAAGTTGGTGTATTGTTCATACGGAGTACCTACATATGTAGCATAAGTCCGACTAGTATTACAGGAGCACGCACCAGATGAAACTAAGTCCTTGGCCGATGTCGTCAAATCGCTTATTTCGATGCCAGCTCATCTTTTGACGACTTATCATCTTTGACCTCCTCGATCTTTGTATCCTTTCCATTCTCTTCTTTCTCTGCCTCTGCGAGTAACTGGCATAGTCGTTGAGTGGGGATCTTTTTGCAGGGGGGGAGTTTGACGGGAAGCCATTTGGATTTGTCCGTTGGACATTTATGGCTCCGGCTCCACCCGGTATTCCCACACTTGAAGCACCGCTGATCGCTCTGCAGCTTGTCGATTTCCATTGGCTGACCTGCCCCTCCGTAAGTCGTTCCCGTGGCGTCCTTCTTGTCGCCACTCGAACCCTTCTGTGATGATTGATTTTGATTGCCTTGACCCGAACCACCGCTTTGGTTCTGGGAGGACTTATTGCCCAACCCCTGGGCGAGATTATATCGATAGTTGGCGTCGATCCTTAAGATGCGTGCTTTCCACTCTGCATAGGTTGTGGGGCGTTCATTGTCCCCATGCATAACCATATTTCAAACCGTTGGCCATATGGCGGCCTCCACAGTTTTGAACATCTGCTTTTCGTCTCCGAACTCTTCGCACTTGTGGGCCAATCATTTGAACTTTGCGAAGAACTCCATGGCTGACTTGAAGTCCGATTGGCGGATCTTCTTCCATTCTTGTTTCCAGATGGTCAGCTCGGCCACCTCGTGGAATTGAATGGTTAAGTCATGGGAGAATTCTTGCCACGTGGGAAATCTCCAGTGCCCCCGTGGGTCTCTGTAGCGATAGTATTGGTTGCCCCACCACTCCTGTGCCTTTCCTCGTAGGTATCCTTGGGTGAATGTAATGCGGTAGGGGTTCTGCCCCTGGTCGTTCATGGTGTAATACATAGGGAACACCTGAAAGTACATCTCGCAGTGGTGGAGGAAGCGGTTAATGTCTGAGGACACCCTGGTGAAATACTCAGGCTGAGTGATCAGCTTGGGTTTCACGTTGTTCCAGGGGTTGTTTACCGCTCCAGGAGCTAACTGCCAGGGGGGGATAGGGTCTGGTGGCAAGGGTGGTACAGGGGGTACCGGTGGGTTTGGTGGTCACGGTAGGAACTGAAGGCAGGGTTTGTCCCCTGGTGGAGGGTATCCTCCAGGGTAGTCCAGCGGGAGGGGTAGCGGAGGCCCTTTTGGGGGTTGTGGTGGTACCGTTGAGCCCTTCCCCTTGTCGGGATTCGATGGTCCCGTCCCTGCGTCTGCCCACTCATCATCTTTATCATCGCCACCTCCTCCTGCCATAAACTTCATTGTCTTGAGGGGGTGTGGCATTGGAGCTGGCCGTCGGTATGCCACGCAACCTTGCTTGGGGTAATCGGGATGGCAGATATTCCAGACTATTGCAGCCCAGTGCCATGTGTCCACTTCCATGATGTTCTTCATTAAATACTCATCCCTGTCGAGTCGAGCATTAAGGTAATCTTCTCCTGCTTCTGTAAGCAGCCACTGAGGGTCCGTCACCATGTCCTCGGCCATTAGCTCATAGAGATTGTCCCAGGTGAGGAGGTTCAGGACTGAGGGTACTACTGTTATCGATTCAGTGAGCACCCTCTGAATGTCCCTCATCACCTCCTTCAGGATCGTGCTGAGAGGCGGCCTGTTCATCATTCCACCAGGTGACCTCCTCGGGGCTCCACTGCCTACTTCCTCGGGTCCTCCATGGGCTGGGGTGTTCCCTTCTCTGCCTCTGCCTCTGACAGTACCCTCTTCTCCACTTGGATAAGGCGGAGCAGTCCTCATCGAGGACTTCAAAGAGGAAATCCTCCCTAATCTCCTCGTGTCGCTCGAGGTCGTCTCCGGCCCTATGGGACTCCTTGCAAAGTTGCTGCTCTGCGACCCCAATTCTTCGGCAGGCCTCGTCATCTGTGGTGTCTGGCTCGATAGGTAAGGTAAAGGATAGGTCCCGAACGGCCCACCTCTCGGCATTTCGGGTACGTGTGCTTGCCACTCTTCCTCAGTCCACGATGGCCACTCCTTCTGGGGTGAGCCGGGCAGCTCGAAGGTCGAAGTTGGACTGGACAAGCGTGTTGTACTCGTCGGTCCAGGGTCTCTGATTGATGGGCTGGGGGACTGCGAAGGCCCGTGGTGCGACTGATGGTGTGAAAGCGGGAACACTGGGGAGTTGGTCGGAGGAGGAATCTCCTCCAAACCAATGGAGTACCCTTCTTCCTTCCTCGGTGTCGCCTGGGTACTCTGTGAAATCGATTTCTTCTCCTGCGTTGGGGGTAGTTCTCTCTTTGTATAAATTGGGGTGAGCGTCTGGGGAGTACGCCTCGATGGCATCCCAGATATGCTCTTCTGTTTCGGCAGGGAGGGTAATGGTCCTCTGGATGGGGGTGTTCTCGGGCCCTGTGGCGGTGGTTGATATGCCGGCCACAGGAGCCTCTTCCCCGGTGAAGACCCAGCTGGTGGCAGGGTGCCAGGTGATGGGGATTCCTCACGATTCTCTACTCATGCCTGGCATAATTCGACTGTCATAGGGGTCTGTTCCAGCTGGATGGGCGGTAGTCACAGTGGAGGCCCCAAGACCGAGCCCTCCGTCGCTTTCTTCATAGCTGCCTCTGCCGAGGTATCCTCCCTCACGGTCAATCCTCCTGACTCCGGAATCGTCCTCATCGCCCTCGTTCTCTGTGTAGAGGCCGTCAAGGATGTTTTGGAGGTGGATTCTTTCGAGGTCTGTGAGGTCGTCCCCTTCATACTCAGTATTGTCATCGCTTTCTTCACCCGAGCCCATATCCCCTCCTTCTTCTCCTCCAATGGAAAGGAGGTCGATGATTCCTGGGGGAGATACATGGACATCTGCGAGTAGGTTGACACCTCATACATCTGTGATGTCGACGGAGGCTGCTCTTGGGGTTGGGGAAGATTCCCCGGAATCTGAGGATTCTCCTCTGGGTGTGATGGGTCATCCATTGTGAAGGGTTGGTTGCACCGGGATGTGCAGGTATGGAATGGTCAGATATGGAATCGGGAGGTGCGAGATGTAGTGGAATGGAAGCCTTGCCCTTCGAGCACGGGTGCAACACCTATAGACTGCTCTGATGGCTAGTGCTAGGAGTGCCCCTGCAAGTAATCCAAACACTACTGCAACAGTTGGTAGCAGTTCAGCAAGTGGCATACAAGCTGTTGAACGACAAGGATGGTAAGTGTGATGAGTATGGCGATGATCAGGCTGAGGTCGGTCTTGTAGTTGGAACCGGTCATCAACGAGAAGTCGCCAATCGAAGGGAATTCGGGTGCCAAGGAGCTAGTCACTGCTAGCAGCAATACTGCTAGGATTGCGAACAGCCGGACGGTGTAGAGGTATAATAGCAGGTTTTTCAAACTCTTAGGTAGCCGGTGTAGGCTACTAGGAGTAGAGCTGCTAGGATCAGAGCCACGATATAAATCCAGATGATAACCACCAAAAGAACGGTAGTCAAGATCGGGAAGGTTGGGTCGAGTAGTACAAAGGGCACTATCCAAACCAACACTGCAGCAAGAAGTAGGATTGGGAAAATGTTGGGCAGCGTGTCATGACGCTAGGCAACGTGTGTCGAGCTTCGGCTAAATGTTATCAACCAACTTCAATCGACTTAGATCGAACTAGGATCACCACTCGCACTTCGGTGGTTGATACTCTAGTAAGTCAAAGGCGATATATGGAGTCAATTGAGGGCAGATAGATGCGAAACAGGGAGTTCGATGTTGGGTAGGTTAAACCTTAGCCGAAGCTGGGGTTTAGGCCAGCGGAGGCTACTACTTAAATACACTTGGGTATGGTATAAATAGTACTGTGAGAACCGTCCGGTGATGATTGTATATGATAGTAAGCATGATGAGTCAGAGAAAATGAAAAGAAATGAATAAATCATAACAAAAATGTACCTGCCCTGACACCGTGATACAATTTTATTTTGGTCAGACGAAAGTGCACTGAGGGTGAATTTCTAACAGTTCTTCTAAGCAATGAAGTGAGTGACGATGTTTCTATGAGAAGATCACTGTGGATCAGACACTTTGTTTGGATAGTATACTACATAATCTTTCATATGCAGCCCATCATATTCTTTTCTACGGTGTATAGAACAGCATACAATGAATATATGCAAGCAAATGAACCAAAATGCGGTTTTTCAACCGTAAAATGAATATTAATCAAGGCTGGGATTTATTTAATATATAGGAAAGTATAGAACTATACTGTATAAAACAATATCATTACATTCCGATGATTCTCGGGCCTTTGGGATGCAGGAATGGAGCAGAGGATGCATCCCTGGTATTCATTCCACTCACTCAATCGCTCCAGTCCATGAAACCGCAGAGTGATCGAGTGGCTGTGCCACTTCTTTTTCCACTTCTTTCTCTCAATATGCAGGATGACAATGGCAGTGGCAGTCAGGGAGGTAACACCAATGGCATGAGGGGGAAGGCCTTTAGCATGAAGCACAGTCACGAAAAATGGTGGCCAAGGGATGGAGGGGGAGACAAGCTGCCTAAGGACTCTAGCATGTCAAAGGCAACAGCGGGCTCGACTGCTCACATAATCATGCACCAGGTGGTCACAAGAGGCATCACAAGATGCTGACTCACCACAGCAAGGGTGTATAGTACCATTCCCTGACCTGTGCACACAAATGGCTCCCCTGTAGTTACAGGGATTTGTGTACAACATGGACTGGAAAGGTTGGCATCCTGAATCGAAGCTCGCATCATCCTAGAAAGACACTCTATCCCAGAGTGCCTTCCAAATCTCAGCCGAGTAATAAAACATCAACACTGTATGGGTGCCAAAGGTCTCGACATGTACGCCCTTACAAGATTACCTCTATGAGAACTGAAAATCATCGACCCAGGAGTAGAGGACAACAGGCCTGCCATGATCTCAGTGAGCTCAAGCTCCTGTTGTTCATCAAAGAGGTAGAAGAGAGATGCACATGAATAGCAGAGATATTCCCAGAAAGTTCGGTGGAAGATTGGACTTTTGAGAGCTTGGGGTTGGAGACTATGGGTTGCTTGACCAAATCCTTCAGCTCGAATATGTCCGCAGGTATGAATAGTGCCAGAATGCTTTCTGGAATGCTCTTGAAGAGCTTGTGTCCAAGATCCCAGAATTCTGATACGCATCAGAATGAGATGATAATCACATCGTTGTTAAGCTGTACCTGGATACAAATCTGTGGCTATGGCTTGCTGAACAGGATATCCATCGACGACCGCCTTTTGAACATTATTTCCAACTGTGGCTAGACCAGACGTCGAACGTATAAAAGAGCAAACAACTGACAGCAGCTCCTGATATTGGCATGGTTAACTCCCTGGTGCTCCTTTCCAATGTTTAAGAACTGTTGGTAAGATGGATGCCTTGAGATCTCCTGTCTGCATGTAGTCAGCAACTGAGGTGATCACAAATGTAAACAACGCACCTCAGAAAGGTAAAATGGCGAATGCAAGGATAAGGATAAAGCTGCGAAGTGAAACATTAGAAGACAAGATAGCTCATTAATATCGCCACGCGCCTTGTGTTCTTCCATGAATAGCTAAAGTGTAATTCTTCAACTTGGCATCATCTGAATTCTCATTTCTGCCTTGAATGCAGCTTCATCTTCAGTCGAGGTGTAAAGAGAGGAATCAAGAGGGGGAGAAACTGGTTCAGACATGGCCAAGATGATGAAGGAAGGTTTCATGCTTACTGGATTATACATAGTCGTTTCCTGGAATAACTTGCCAGTCATGGAACTGGAGAAATAAAACAGAAGAGCACAAGAGTGTGGGTCCAGATAGTCTGGCCCGGTAGCCAAACCAACTGTTGCGACTTGGCCACTGACCACCATCACTACAGGCAGGTGTAGTGGTCGAAAACTCATTGAATCGGCAGTACTTTTTCCTTGCCTTGAATACCTTCACTAACATTATTCTGGGATTCCAATCCAGTGCACATTCACAACTCTGCCTTCTTGCTGAAGAACACCTGCCAGTGTGGCCACAGTCTGGTTCGATCCAGGTTTTGTCGAACCTCATACAGCGAGCACTAAGTGGACTGAAATACTCTAGCTCTATGGATGCACCACCAATCTTCCTCGAACAGCGGACCTGTGCTGTCCAAAAATCAACCGGAGTCATCCCACCGACGGTATCCCACCATGAAATGCACTTCAAGAGATATACACAGCGCTGGTAGTACCTACACTGTCCGTATCACCTCCTAATGAGCAACAAGCCAATGATAACCTGCAGTGGAGCCACCATTGCATTGGCACCATTCTTGACTTTTGGCTTTCATCTTGGGTTTGGGCTTTGTTCCATGATGTATTATATCTATCAGCCGGCCTTAAGTTCCTATAGTTTTGGTGGTTACGAACAGCTGGTTTTACTCCCAGACTTCAGGTGAAATCAGTGCTATAAAAGCTGTGAGGCCAAGGAGGGACAAATGATAGATGAGTCTTGTAAAATGCCATTGGCCTGGTGTTACGATTTATTCATTTTTCTTCGTTTTACTCAGCAGGATTATGCATATGCGATCCCTACGGATCATTTCCCACAGTACTATTTATAGCATACCCAACGTGTATTTAAGTAGAGCCTCAGCTGGCCTAAACCCCAGCTTTGGCTAAGGTTTAATCTACCCAACTCAAACTCCGTTCTTTGTGACTACGTGCCCTCATTCAACTTTGACCTCGCCTTTGACTTGCTAGAGTTTCATCCACCGAAGTGCGAGTGGTGATCCTAGCACGATCTAAGTCAACGATTAGTTGGTTGATAACATTTAGCCGAAGCTCGTCATACGTTGCCCAGCACCACGTCAGCAGACGAACGCTGCCCAACATTTATCCCATAATCATCCTTATCGCCGCAGCGTACTGGCTGCTACCCCTCCTATTACCAGATCCCGTCCTCACCGTCGTCCTGATAGTCCTCTGGATTAGTACGGTGACCCAGACTATCGTTCCGGCTCCACTACTAGCAGCATTGCTCGTAGCCGCCTACATTGGTCTTCTTCGAATCTGAACCCTTAGCTCATTCTCCTCCGACTCGATCCGTTACTAGTGGTGACAACTACTAGCACAGACGAGTCCTCTTCGAATCTGAACCCTTGTCTCATTCTCCTCCGAATCGCTCAGTTACTAGTGGTGACACTATTAGCACTGACGAGTACCCTCGAAACCAGCGATCGCCAATTAATGATCGAGTCCGAATACGAGACCGACCTTAATTTGATCATCGCCGTTATCGCCACCACCCTTCTAGTTGCCCTAACCCTTTTATGGGGCGCTCTGTACGTTGGACACACCCTAAACTGAGCCACCGAACGGATGCCCTGGTCCGACGCCATTCCCGCCGTCTTCGCGACTTTTATACTCTTTTTCTTGTCCATTATTTTGTACCGACTACACCGCTGTTTTCGACAGCAGAGGAGAGTACAAGCTCAGCTACCATTCCACTACGTCCCCAGCACTCCTGCATACCCTCCACCGGTGATAGGCATTCCCACGGCATCCCAGCAGACGATACAAGATGTCGAATCCAACGTCTCCGAGGCACCTGGAGAATCCCTTTACGGATCATCGCGATCCAGCTCACAATACTCAGGGTCGAGCACCGACTCCTACAGAAGCACTACCGCCGAGTCAGTTGACTCCATCGACATCACCGATACCCGGGGCATATTCCTCAACCGAGGAGACTCGCCCCTTCCGGGCCTCTTCGACCAGTCTCCAGTCCAAGGCGAGTCAGGCTCCGACGGAAGGGGAGGACAAGACACCAGGTCTCTGGTCGCGGGCGAAGAAAGCCCTGACACCGAATACGAAGGGGATGAGCTCACAGACCTCGAGAGGATCCGACTCAAAGACCTCCTCAGTGACCTCTACCCGAACGAGGAGGAAGATGCAACCAATACCGGAGACGACTGGAGCGGCAGGTCAGGAACACGTTGGACAGACGCAGACTGGGGAAGTGAGAGAAGGAGATACGAGAGAGGCCGTCAGGGCGACAACTATGACAGCGATTCCGGGGAGCTTGCCCTTGGGGCCTCCGCCGCGACTACCACCAGTACAGATGGAGCAAGATCCGTTCTTTCTTGGCGGATGGATCGAGGGCCTCCAGTCGCCTGGCACCCAAGCACCAGCTGGGTCTATGCCGAGCCAGGGGAAGAAGCTCCTGTGGCTGGAGTCCCGACCTCGAGGGGCCTCCCTGTCTCCATCTGCGCAGAGGCCTCAGCGCCCCCTCCCGCTGTCACCAGATCTGAACCGACGGATCAGCAGTTCTGGGAGGAGTTCCCAGACTATGATCCCAAGGAACTTGGGGCAATTGCTGGCGCCGGAGACCTCACCCCAGTCCCCACTTTTACACCATCAGTCACGGGTCGAGCATTTGCCAACCCCGTCCCTAGCAACCAGCGTCCATGGACGCTTCTCTACCACACGCTCGTCGAGTCGCTCGACATCCCTCGAAATGCCCAGCAGTCCCCAGAGATTGAGGCCCGAATGGACCAAGCACGAGCGGCAGACACACGCACTCGACGTGCTGAAATCGCCACCCTCATCGGACCCGATAGTTTCTATGACCTCCCCGTCGAACCCGACGCCACCCACGCCGAGATCGAAAATAGGCAGCGAGCTGCCGCCCTCCGATACTCTGGACTTGCCAAGCGAGCTAGGACTGACCTCAAGGCCCGACGAAGAGCCTGGCAGGCCTACGAGTCAGAGATCAGCGATCCCGACTCCGACATCGGGAGATGGAGGCGGAATAAGGAGATCGACAGACTCGCCAGAGAGGGGAAGGAGGCCGAGGATGCCGAGTCGCCCGCCAAACAGTTCCCTCGAGGAGGAAGTGATGAAAGCGGTCCGGACGGTTTTAATCGACCCGGCGGCTCCACTTCCAACAATCTTTAATATTTTGCCATGGCATGGACTGTACGAAATCATGATGGAAGACATGGAGCGAGATTCCCAGTGGCTCCTCACGGAGGCTGGAGAAGACTACTGACAGGCAAAGTACATGGGGGATGTCTACCTCATGAAAAACATCCTGGAGGTAGAGACATGGCACCGAGCTGCCCTCGTATGGAATCAAGTGCACCCTGACGCCACTAAACCAGGGTGCGAGGCATACAAAAGGCCACAACCAATGCCCCATCCTCTAGAAACGGAGGAGTTCTGGGCAGAAGCAGGGCCAGAGGACCCGGATGACCCTTGGGACGACCCAGGTGCAGGACCGTCCAACAAGGGGAAAGGTCCCGAGGTTCCAAGGTCCCCTCTGCCGCAACCGCCCTCCAGGTACCCAGGAGATTACCCGCCTCCCACGGATAACCCGCACCTCTGATCCCTGTTGAGGCCGCCCAAACCACCCATCCCACCGACCGTACCTCCTCCTCCGGACCCCATTCCTCCCTGGCAACTCGCCCTGGGTGCGGCTAACAACCCATGGAACGACGTGAAGCCCAAGTTAATCACCCAGCCGGAATACTTCACCGGAGAATCTTCGGACATCACGCGTTTCCTCCACCATTGTGAAATGTACTTCCAGGTATTCCCTATGTATTACACGATGAACGAACAGGGGCAGAACCCCTATCGTATCATGTTCGCCCAGGGATACCTACGAGGAGAAGCGAAACAATGGTGGAACGACCAGTATTATCGGTACTGGACTCCGCAAGGGCAGTGGCGGTTCCCCATGTGGGGAGAATTTTCGAATGACCTAACAGTACAGTTCCAGGAGGTCGCAGAGTTAACCATATGGAAGGCAGAGTGGAAGAAAGTCTGACAATCCAACTTCAAATCCGCGGTAGAATTCTTCGTGAAGTTTGAGCGATTGGCTCACAAATGCAAGGAGTTCGGAGATGAAAAGCAGATGTTCGAGACGGTTGAAGCGGCGATTAGGCCAATGGTGCGAAAAACGGTTATGCATGGGGACAATGAGCACCCCACAACCTACGCACAATGGAAAGCATGGGTCTTGAGGATCAACGCCAACTATCGATATGACGTTGCCCAGGGCCTAGGCAGTAAGACCTCCCCAAACCAAGGAGGTTCGGGTCGAGGCAACCAAAATACATCGAAGGGAAGCGGCTCTGGGGGTGATAAGAAGGATGCCACAGGGACCACTTACGGAGGAGCGGGACAGCCAATGGAAATCGACAAGCTGCAGTCTGACAAGCGATGCTTCAAGTGCGGAAATACTGGGTGGAGCCGGGACCATAAATGTCCAACGGACAAATCAAAATGGCTCCCCATTAAACTCCCACCATGCAAAAAGCCCAACATTCAACGCCTACGCCAATTACTCGCTGAAGCAGAGAAGGAGGAACTCGGGAAGGACACAAAGGTCGAGGAAGTAAAGGAGGAAAGGTCGTCAAAAGACGAGCCGACGTCGAAATAAGCGATTCGACGGCGTCGGCTAAGGACTTAGTTTCTTCTGGTGCGTGCTCATGTACTACTACCCGGACTTATACTACGTATGTAGGTACTCCGTACGAACAATATACCAATTTTTTCGCCGCGTTGACTATAGAAGACACTAAGGAAGAAGAATCGCAAAATGCCAATGGTGTAGGAGGGGATTTCCGCCGCTCGACACGATCTGCATCGGGCAATGAACCCTTAGGGGCCGGTCCACCTCAGACACCCCCGCTTGACCGAATGGGGAAAAGTCTGGAGAACCCAGCGAGTGCCCCAGGTCAAGACAAGATGGATGCCAGACGTGGTGGTTGTCGCTCCAGCAGGGAGAACCGGCCGACGACTCCGACGGAGGGGCCTTCCCCACAGGTTGTTCCTCCTGTCAGCGGCGGCAAAGCAGCTGAGGCAGGGAACCAAGGGGACCACCTACATTCAGTAGTGGCCTCATCCACAAACGATGCCGACCCCCTTGGCGAGCCAATACGTGTGCGACTGCCTAGGGTTTCCAGGAGTACCGCTGAGGTTAGGAATGAGGGTAAGCCCAGGATCACGGTGGAGGTTACAACGCCGAGCACAAGCGCCCTTGGCCAGGGCTGAACATGGGGCAGCGAGCCCTCCTCCACCAACTCGACGGAAGGTGACCAAATGCCGCCGAGGGGCCTTATCGACCGGCCCGGTGACCAACTGCCACCTCAAGGCAAGAGACCCCGTGTTTCCTTGGAAGAAGTGGAGGACAAAGAAGACCACCTACGATCCGATATTCCGGTTACGCGGTCAAAAGGAAGATCTTCCACGACCCCCGGTCTCGACCTAATGCCTGCGGTCAAGAAGGCAGTTCTAGACATGTACTACAAACCCTTCAGAACGCACTGGACCCGTAGGGCATTATGACTCGCTAAGGACGAATCAGCCGCCTTCGCCACTCTCAATAGATGGATACATCCACGAAGGAAGGGAGAAGTGACGGTTGAACTATGGGAGGCGCTCAAGGAGAAACCGGAAACGGCTCAGGAGGCCAGAGATAGGTGGGAATGGATGGAAGATCTCAAAAAGCCACCAATGTACATACGAGGTAGAAAGGGACGAAATGTATCCATCAATGTGCAGCTGGAAACCCTGGACACGCAAGAGATGCACACCTTGAAAGCGTTAGTCGACAGCAGAGCAACCAGCAGTTCCATAGACCGCACCTGGGCCTGGGAGCACGCCCTCAATCTCAAAAAGGTGGCCCGCCCTGTCCCGGTTTACAATGCCGACGGCACCAGGAATAAAGGAGGGGACATCACCGAATATGCCGAGGTATGGCTGCGGATAGGGGACCATGTGGAATGGATCGAACTAGCCATAGTCGACCTGGGCACCACTCCCCTCTTCCTAGGGCATGACTGGCTCCAGAGACACAATCCATTGATCGACTGGAATACCGGGGCCATTACCTTAGCCTGCTGTCAATACCAAAAAGTTCCCTTCTCCTTACCTGACACGGATCCTTCTTCGCGGTGGGAAGAGTATGAAGAAGGAGATACCATCTTAGTCATCGACTTTGAAGAAGCCTTTCACGTGCGAGCCATGGGAACGAAGGCCAATGAGTTGGCCGCCCAGGCCCATGCCAAGAAGGCTACCAAATCATTCGAAGAGATTGTGCCCGAAGAGTATCGCGATTTTCAAGACGTCTTCGCTAAAGAGAATTTCGACGAATTACTGCCGCGAAAACCTTGGGACCATGCTATTGAACTCGTACCTAATGCCAACGCTAATCTAGACTGCAAGGTATATCCCCTTAACCCTACGGAACAAGAGGAGCTGGACAAATTCCTTGACGAGAACCTTTCAACGGGCCGAATCCAAGCATCCAAATCCCCCATGGCTTCCCCCTTTTTCTTCGTCAAAAAGAAAGACGGGAAGCTTTGCCTGGTACAAGACTACCGAAAACTTAATGAGATGACCATCAAAAATCGGTACCCACTACCGCTCATTGGGGAGCTAATGGACAGGCTGAAGAAGGCCAAATATTTCACTAAGCTGGATGTACGTTGGGGGTATAATAACGTCAGAATTAAACAAGGGGATGAGTGGAAGGCGGCCTTCAGAACCAACTGGGGTCTCTACGAGCCTCTGGTAATGTTTTTCAGGCTCACCAATTCACCAGCCACGTTCCAATGGATGATGAATGATATCTTCAAGGACCTCATAACCACCGGAGAAGTATCCGTCTATCTGGATGACATTCTCATCGCCTCTTGGACCAAAGAGGAGCATAAACGCATCGTGCGCAAGGTGCTAAAGATCCTTCGCAACAATAAGCTGTTTTTGAAGGCCGAGAAGTGCGAGTTTGAGGTGGAAGAGACCGAGTACTTGGGGGTACTCATCAGCGAAGGGAGAATTCGAATGGATCCGGTGAAAATTGCGGGTCTACTAGACTGGCCGGTGCTGTCCAAGAAGCAGGAGCTGCAGTCATTTCTGGGATTTTGCAATTTCTACCGACACTTTATTCGTGACTATAGCAAGCACATTAAGCCCCTCACCACCCTCACCGGGAAGGTCGAGTGGAGATGGGGAAAGGCCCAACAGGAGGCATTTGATAAGCTGAAAGAATTATTCCACGAGGATGTGGTGTTAACCATCCTGCTTGACAAAGGAAAATTCCGAGTGGAGGCAGACTCCAGTGAAGGCGCCGTAGGGGCAGTACTCTCTCAATGGCAGAAAGAGAAATGGCGACCAGTGGCTTTCCTTTCCAAGGCCCTATCTGTCACCGAACGCAACTACGAAATCTATGACAAGGAACTCCTCGCTATCATGATTGCACTAGAGGAGTGGCGACAATACCTCATGGGAGCGTGAGAGGACTTTGAGATTTGGACGGATCACTCCAATCTCCAGTACTTTCGAAAGCCCCAGAAGCTTAACCGGCGACAAGCCCGTTGGGTGACCGAGCTGGCCGAATATCAATTCACCCTACATCATAAGCCCAGGCCCAAAATCGTAAAGCGGACTTACTATCCAGGCAGGTGGACCATGATCAGGGGAAAGAAGATAATAAAGATATTACGGTCCTAAAACCAGCTCACTTCCGAGCCCTGGTTATGCCCACCAAGGAGGAACTGCATGAGAAGATCAAGCTGGCCACACACGATCCCCGTAAATGGGATCGAGGCATCTCTGACTCTCTCAACCATGAAAAGGGAGTCTCCCGGGATCAGGGGTTATTATGGTATGACGGACGCATCTATATCCCCATGGACAGACGATTACGAGGAGAGATCATAGCCCTCCGACACGACCATGTCACCACAGGACATCCCGGAGTAGAGAAGACCAGAGAGCTCATCCTACGAGACTACTGGTGGCCTCGAATGTGTCGGGAAGTGGACTCATATGTGAAAGGCTGTGAAGTGTGCCAATGAACAAAGGTGAACCGTCAGCCCAAGAAGGCACCCCTTCACCCGAATGAAGTACCCACAAAACCGTGGACTCACATTTCCGTCGATATGATCACCAAACTCCCCACGTCTAAAGGGTTCGACTCCATTCTAGTCATTGTGGACAGGTTTTCTAAAACGATAATCCCCGTCGCCTGCACTGAGGAGCTCACCTCTTTGGGCTTTGCCAAAATTCTTAGGGATCATGTCTATGTACCCTATGGAGTGATACCCGAAAAGATTATCTCAGATCGAGGGGTCATATTCATTTCCAAGTTCATAAAGGAATTCTACAAGCTGATACAGGTGGAGGGGAATCCTTCCATGGCCTATCATCCACAGACGGACGGCCAGACGGAGCGAGTCAACCAGGAGATCGAGAAGTACCTCAAAATGTTTGTCAATTATCGACAAGACGACTGGAGCGATTGGTTGCCACTCGCCACGTTCACACACAACAATCGCAAACACTCAGCTACCGGATTTTCCCCCTACAAGGTGGTCTTCGGAAGGGATGGGCAATTCATCAAGATGGCCCAACGTCCCGATGTAGTCCCTGCCGCTTCGAAACTGGTCCAAGGAATTCAGAAGGTACAAGAGAAAGCAAAGGAGTCTTTGGAGAGAGCAGCTGAGTCCATGAAAAGGGCCTACGACAAGCATAAAGGCAACGCCGTCGACTATCAAGTTGGTAGCAAGGTGTGGTTGGATTCCACCCACCTGAACCTACCCCGACCTACCAAGAAACTCGGAGATTGAAGGGTAGGCCCTTTCATCATCGTTGCCAAAAAGGGCGCTTCCGCCTACGAGCTCAAGCTTCCAGTGGGCTGGAAAATTCATAACCACTTCAACGAGTCACTCCTAACTCCATATCACGCTCCTGAATTCCCCAATCAACCCCATCCAGAAAGACCACCTCCTGAGTTGATCAATGACGAAGAAGAATATGAAATTGAGGAGATCGTGCAACGAGACTGAGTTATCGGGCAGGGAAGAACCCGTCGAACTATAACTGAATACCTGGTGAAATGGAAAGGATACCCGTCAGAAGAGAACTCTTGGGTAAAACGTTCGGATATGGCCAATGCAGAGGAGCTTGTAAATGACTATGAGACGCGGATACAGAAGATCCTATGGGAAGTCAACGACAAAGGAAAAACAGTTGGGAGGGACGACAAGATACCCCCCAACAACTCGTCCAAATATCACGAACCCGACATGCCCTGTGTCATGGATATAGAAACTGTGTTCTCTTCCCAATGCTCGGCACCCGCTCACTCGGAAGAACTCAATGCAGTAGGGGAGGCAGACGCATCTGATGCAGGAAGAGCGAACGGACCTATTTTGGTCACCTCCTCCTTTCTTCGGTTGGTGGTCGAAATTGCGCATTCAATGGACAGAGCCTTACAAAGGGAAAACCACCAATACTCTAGGGATCACCCCAGTGAAAGGGGGATACCCACACCGCCTCGTCCACGTCGAGAATTTGACCCACTGGATGATGAAGGGTCCGACGTTGACTTACTCCAGCAAGTCACTGAAAATTGGAACACGGATGAAGAGAACAACAACAACACGGACGATATACCGTCATTTTATTCCGCATCTCACGCTTCGGACGACGAGGAGTGGGAGTCCAATAACTCATTCGGGACGAACGAGTCTTAGAGAGGGGGTAATGTTACGATTTATTCATTTTTCTTTGTTTTACTCAGCAGGATTACGCATATGCGATCCCTACGGATCATTTCCCACAGTACTATTTATAGCATACCCAACGTGTATTTAAGTAGAGCCTCAGCTGGCCTAAACCCCAGCTTTGGCTAAGGTTTAATCTACCCAACTCAAACTCCGTTCTTTGTGACTACGTGCCCTCATTCAACTTTGACCTCGCCTTTGACTTGCTAGAGTTTCATCCACCGAAGTGTGAGTGGTGATCCTAGCATGATCTAAGTCGACGATTAGTTGGTTGATAACACCTGGACCATAATTGCCATTTTGACACGTCATCTAGTCTGCCTCTAGGGAATTATTAGTACTTATCACTTACAACGACAAATTTCCTGCTTCACCTCAATGATGTTGCAGGTGGTCATGGTGCGCTCTCCCAGGTTTTATGGTCGCTGGAATAATGAGCCCATCCATGAAGACTTGTCTTTGTCATTGATCAGCAAGCAGGCATCTTTTCCGGTCGTTCGAGGTGCCAGGACACTTTTCTGTGTATCTTGATTTGACTGCTTCCCGCTAAGGGGTCGCCCCATATCAACATTGGTCTCCATATAGATGTCTGCTTCTTATGACTCAGTAGTCTATTCTCTCAGCATGGAACTGCATACCACCGCTAATTTTGCTTGTCCCAGTGTCCAAGTGTTGATTAATGAAGAAATATTGATGCAAATAAAGATGGGCTGGCTCTGAGACATTGTACAATGTGCTGTGTTCAAAGATTTACTGAGTGCTGGGAAGAAATCTGCCCCTGGACAAGAAATTCATCAAGCTCATCATGGAGTATGTGCTGTATTCCCTTTCCCCACTTTTCTGATAAATGTACCCATTCAGGGTAAACTTTCTCCCATCATATGTGACCTTGCTCCAGGATATCATCTCTGTATAACTAGCGAGAGTCGGTACTCTTGCCAAATCTTTTTCCGGGATCTGTCAGAGTGTAATGGTCGTGAGTAATATCAAAGTTCCTTGAAACATTTCTGTCAAGTTCACAGCAATCTCCAGGTTCATGACATGAAGGATCAAGTCCAAGTCCACATCTGTGCTGAGATTGCATTGGATGGTTGCCTTGATTCTCTTCTGAGACGCAGCTTCTTACCTGATTCAACAGAACATATATCTGAGAAGCTCACAGTTTGCATCACCAGTTTCCTTACTGCATAGGACCTTTCCTGGCAATATTGTACCTCGAGTTGCAGCTCTGTTCTGAGATGTGTTCAAACTGTCGAAGTACATGATTGCTCATTAAGTGGCCTCAGTTCTTGCGCCAACATCGCCTCGTTGTTGATCCCTTATACGCCGTCGACCTTGCAGTTATGATAAAGTCTTGGAAAACTTCTAAGGAGTTCAAAGGAAAATTTCTCGTTTTGATGTTGTCATAGAACTGAAGATGATAGTAATCATCTTTTCCAGCCCTTGATGGGCTTCTAGTGCCATCTATATGCTTTAAAAATGGGAGCATGGTATGTTATTCTCATCAGCCACCTACTTCGTTACTTTTGCTCCCCCCATGGTGATTCAGGTCGATATTTCATCAGATCTTACCAATGATGACAAAATCTACATGTTTCAATTTCTCGACACTAATCTGAACTCCAGAATCCTCTACACGCTATTGCATGGTGGGTAACGATGTTTAGTACCTTGACACACAGGTGTTAACTGAAAACAGGCATCTACACTGGCATTCTTGCTGTTACCCTGTGGAATATATGTGAGCTAGGAGCATCTCCACTATGACATCTAGCTGAAGTAACTTGCAGTCATTAACAAGTCCTGGCCAATTCGACGGGCTATGGTCGCCATTATCATGCTTCTCTATACTCTGATTACTATCAATTTTGGTGCCAGTTGGTCACTTACACACTCTGCATTCATCAATGATGGACACAGTTTTTGGACCGTATATCTGAATCTTGTTGGTGCAACATAAGCAATCTACTGGGAAATGAGCATCACAGCCTCCAGTAGTACCATTCTCGCAGACATATATATGGTGTGTGCAATCCCACCAGAGATTGCCTACATCAGCTTACCGTTGTTTCGATTCTAGATTTGGTGCTGCTGGATGGTTTGGGGACGATGCTGGCTTGTTATTCTCCTTCCAATGTTTTCCCTGGCTTCCGCAATCGGTATGGCATCTGGTCTCATCTACTCTTTCTATTACGATTTCGTGCTCTATCTTATCTTATCGGCTCTTTCGTAATCCTGCTATGCTAACTCTCCGGACTTGATCGCATCCTACCATGTGGGTTCAGTGTGTTCACCGCACCGTTGCAGACACTTGTAGTATATTTAGCACAACCCAAACTGTATTTAAGTAGCTCGACTGCAGGTCTTAAACCTCAGTCTCGAACTAAAGTTTATTCACCCAATAACTTAGTCTGAACTCACTCTCGCTCCACTAAGCGATAGCTCCCTTAATGCAAACCTGCAGACAACACAAAGCGCCTGACCGAAGTGCGAGTCATGCTTAGTTGTTTGATCTTGTTTGTGAAATCGGTCGCTAACAATTAGTTCGAGACTTTCTTACTCTTCATCAACAACCACGTTGACGAACAGTAACGAATGAACCCCATCGAACAGTACCTCACCGACCTCTTTGGACTCCAAGGCTTTATTGCCATAGCCTATCTCGCATTCCTATATGGATATGAACACCGACGAAACCAGGAGCCAGTCTCCGAAGAAACTATCCCTGTCAAAACCCCCAACAAGGAGGTTAGACGATAGGACACACCCCCTCCCGAATACGTTGATGACAGGCCAGAGCCAATCATCCACTTCATATTCATCACCAACAACGAGTGGATCACAGAAGACTCCGACTCAGACTCCGACTCCAAAATGGAAGGATGGCTCACACAAAGAGGCCCAGTCGTTGAAGAAGAAGAGGAGCGGGGAATCTACGAACAAGGGATGGACCAGCGTGTTCTCTCTCCCATTACCGAAGAAGAAAGTGAAGGGGAAAGCGAAGGAAGTAACCCCTGGGACGCTCCTTCCCCCACTTCAACTGAAAACTCAGCTGCCAACCCTGGATATGATTCAGACGGACAGTGCCTCTATCAAAGAGGGCTTAGATATCATTTGGGAGAAAGAAGAATGACTGAAGATGGAACTGGAAGCGGTTCAGATGAGGAAGGCAGCGATACAGAGGAAGACCACAGCAGCAGCGAGCTCCCAAGCCCGCGCAACGACTGGTCCCCTCCAAGGCTGGACTCCAGAGGAGAAACGTGGGGCTACTACTATGCCCGCGATGACTCCTCAGATGACGAAGGAAGCTACCTCCAACTCATCACGCGTCCCAACACCCCAATCATCCTCAATGATAGGGCCAGGGAAGCAACTACCGAGCTTGACCAATGCGAGCCCATGTACGATGCCGACACCAGCTGCGATGTATGCCGACAAGTACAGGACCATGCCGATGCCTGGCTCATGTACGAAGGCATCGAACCCCCTTCCTCAGTCGTCCCCTATGCCATCTACCCGCTCACACCCGAGCATCCACTCGCGGCCCCCATCCCCTACATTGCACCCTGGGTATGGGACTGACCCCGAAGACCCGACTTTGACCAGGTCATTCTCAGGGTCAACGAGTGGGCCTGTATCATCAGAAATTGGAACCGAATCGTTACAGGAAGCCAAGAGCCTTTCGAGCGAGTCTGACCAATCGGACTTAGAAGAAGGAGAAATTTACGAGAACCCTGGAACTGCGCCACCCTCGATTTGGAGCAGCTACACCGGGCAGGGGAGTATGGAGACGAAGATGTCATCCCGGAATTCGTGGAAGGATCTAGCTCGGGAACCTACTGAGGTCGAGATAATCAATATGACGTATTTGGAAATGCTACATTGGACGGAAAAGAAGTTGCCACGAGAAATCTCGTGGAACGGGTCGCCTCAGGGCAGGTATTTCCAGAAGGAGAAGGATTCACCAATCAGAAGCCATGTGCTTTATCGGGAAACAATCTTCCATATGAATATTCTGTGGAACCGAATACATCCGGACGACTACGTAGAACCAGGGGAATGGTACGTGGTACCAGAACCCTCAGAAACATCCAGCGGAGAAACGGTGGATCTAAGCCACCTCTCCATCCTCAAACGAACCAGGTATATCGACCCAAGCAGGCTATTTGCCGCAGCAGGAACGCCAGGAAGCGGAAACGCAGCAGCACCGGTACCAGTACCTGTAGTCCCAGTGCCTGCACTGCAAGGACCCCTATCCCCACATCACAACCCTGCGCTACGATCACTACCATGACCCGCAGCCATTCCTATTCCCACGGACCCCATACAACCACCGAACATGCCACCACCGTTCATAGTCAGTGTGGCCAACACGAACCCATGGGGACAGGTGAAACCGCAACTTGCGGAACCCCCTGAGAAGTTCAAAGGGGAATCAAGTGACATGGACCGATTTCTTAACCAATGCGAAGACTACTTCCAGGTGTTTCCACAACAATTCACCATGAACGCACATGGACAGAGCCCAAACAGGGTTGTATTCTGCACGTTCCGACTCGCGGAAAAGGCCTTACATTGGTGGAATCACGCCAGGGACGAATACTATGATGAAACATGTGAATACCTGCGATACCCAACCTGGCAGACGTTCAGACAAATTATAGAAGATCAGTTCCGGACTGATGCAGAAGTAGAACTCAAGTTACAAGAGTTCAAACGTATACGACAAAACACCTACAAATCCGCAAAAGAGTTCTTCCGGGACTTCGAACGACTAGCCAAGGAATCCGGAAAGCGCCACAATGAGGAATATATGATCGAAATCCTCAAACCGGCCATTCGGAAAAATGTGAAAACCGCCATACATGCTATGGGGACTGCACTCCCACGTACATATGTGGAGTGGAAGTTCCGAGTCGAACAAATGGACTACAATTACCGAGTCGGACTAGCAGAAGAGGCGGGCAGAAGCCAAAATGCACAGGGTCAGCAAAACAAAGGAAAAACGGGGAACTCGGGAAATTCCCAAGGTGATAAGAAGACAGGCACAGGAACCACATACGGAGGACAGGGACAGCCGATGGAAATAGACCGACTGCGGAAGGAAGGGCGATGCTTCCGCTGCGGTCACAAGGGACATCGGAAGCAAGACAACAAATGCCCCAAGGACGAAAGCACGTGGTTGGTCAAGCACCAGCCAAAGTTCTCCAGAGCCCAGATCCGCACAATGTACCAGCAAGTACTGAAGGATGAAGAAGGAGAAGCCTCCACATCGAAGATCGAGGAGGTAAAAGACGAGCCGGCAGCATAAGCGACAAATGCGCGCCGGCTAAGGACTTAATTTCATCTAGTGGTGCGTCACAGAACCCCGCAGGTCGGACTAACGTACTGCATGTAGTAACTCAAGGCAATGAACACATTTTCACGCATTCACAAATGAAATTACTCAGTCGCATAAAAAGAACGGTGTACAGGGGATTACCACCATGCTCGAAGAAGAACCCCACTCAAGATCCTTGGCCACCGGTGCGAAAGCACAAGCGGCTGGCGCTGCGAAAGGCAGCGGGATACTCGGGATCAACCTCACTCCGTCGGGGGCAGATGACGGCACGGGGAACAGAGGAAGAGCGGCCGAGCCCAAGGCGAGCAGTGAAGAACCCCACTCGGGGGCAGAATGTACGCGCCAGCCACAAGTGACTGGCTGCCCCCATCATAGAACGGAGCCGCAAGAGGGAACGCGAATCCCCAGCAACAAAACCACTGCCCCACAAAGAACAGTCCAGACGAACGGGGACCCCATCCTTTCACTTCCTATAACGGTGCGTCTTCCACCTTCATCGCTAACATATAATGGCACTGGGGGCTCGTGTTCCCCGGTGGGTGGGTCAGTGGGACCATTATGTGCACCCCCTATTTGTAATAAAAAGACCGTTTCTCTCGAAGAAGTGCCCGATGAGGAAGATGATTACAGTTATCAACAAAGCCTCAAGGCACGAGGGGAAGACCCGGTGGAACACACCGAGGAGTACCCGGAAGACTACAAGGTAATGGAACTAGAAGAGGAATATTACAATGACAAATGGGACAAAGGATGGCTCAAACCCCACAGCGCCGAGTGGGTGAGACGGAAGATGAGACAAGAAAAGACCATGGAAGGAAGGCTCACCACGCTTCGCATGTGGGTACACCCAAGATGCCTAATAGAGGTAGACGAGGACCTGGTACTGGACCTCATCGGTTCCTCCCAAGAGACCTACAAGCAGCGGGAGCAATGTTTGCAAAACATGGAGGATCTACACATACCACCACAGTATATTCGAGGAGGAAGAGGAAGAAGCATCAATATCTGGGTACAAATCGAAACCCTGGACACAAGCCAAGTACGAGCCATAGATGCCTTGGTAGATAGCGGGTGCACTGGGAGCTGCATAAACTGATCATTCGTACAAGAACATCAGCTTAACATGGTAAAACTCGCTAAAGCCCAAGCGGTCTACAACGCCGATGGCAGCCGAAACAAAGGAGGAGACATAGAGGAGGTAGTAGAACTCCGAATGACGATCGGAGACCATCACGAGAAAATCGATCTTGCCATCATAGACCTAGGAAACGTACCCATGTTCCTAGGACACGATTGGCTTAAACGACACAACCCAATCATTGACTGGAAAACAGGGGCCGTATCCTTGGTACGCTGCTCATGCCGAAAGGTACCCTTCCTTCTCCCAGATGAAGATCCAGAACAAAACTGGGGAACGGAAGTGGAAGAAGGAGACACCATTCTGGTCATTGATTTCGAAGAAGCGTTCCACGTTCGCGCCATGGGGAGCAAGGCAAACGAATTAGCCACCCAAGCTAATCGGTCAAAGGAAGCAAAAACGTTTGAGGAGATAGTACCGGAACCCTATCGGAAATATCAAGACGTATTCGCAAAAGAAAACTTTGATGCGTTACCACCATGAAAGCCATGGGACCATGCCATCGAACTCATTCCCAATGCCAATGCAAGCCTGGACTGTAAGGTCTACCCCCTTAACCTGGCAGAACAAGAGGAACTGGATAAGTTCCTTGATGAAAATCTAGAATCAGGAAGGATCAGACCTTCGAAATCTCCTATGGCATCACCATTCTTTTTCGTCAAAAAGAAGGATGGAAAGCTCCGACCGGTACAAGACTACCGCAAACTGAACGAGATGACCATCAAAAACCGTTATCCCCTCCCACTCATCGGGGAGCTAATGGACCAACTCAAAGATGCCAAATACTTCACCAAACTGGACGTAAGATGGGGATACAATAATGTACGAATCAAGGGAGGAGATGAGTGGAAGGCAGCGTTCAGAACAAACAGAGGACTTTTCGAGCCCATGGTTATGTTCTTTGGACTCACCAACTCACCAGCCACCTTCCAATGGATGATGAACGACTTGTTCAAGGAGCAGATCGCATGTGGGGACATCACAGTGTACTTAGATGACATCCTGATCTGCACCAAGGACAAGGACAGACATCACAAGGTCGTACGAGAAGTCCTGGCCATTCTCCGAGCCAACAACCTTTTCCTAAAAGCGGAAAAATGCGAATTCAAGGTGCTAGAAACCGAGTACCTTGGGGTAATCATCAGCCAAGGATCCATTCGCATGGACCCTGTAAAAGTCAAAGGAATAACCGAGTGGCCCCAACCTACCAAGAAACAGGAACTACAATCGTTCCTGGGGTTCACCAACTTTTACCGAAGATTCATCCGTGACTATAGCAAACATGTACGCCCCTTGACTCAACTCACGGGGAAGATGGAATGGACATGGGGGGCAGCCCAGGAGAACGCATTTCAGGAGATCAAACGGAAATTGGCAGAAGAGGTGGTATTAGCCATACCCACTCGTACAGGAAAATACCGAGTGGAAGCAGACACAAGCGAAGGAGCTATAGGAGCGGTCCTTTCCCAAGAGCAAGAAGGGAAGTGGCGACCAGTGGCATTTCTATCGAAGGCCCTGACCGTCACGGAACGAAATTACGAGATATATGACAAGGAGCTTTTAGCAATCATGCTGGCTCTGGAAGACTGGAGACATTACCTCATGGGAGCCTCTCAAGACTTCGAGGTATGGACGGATCACCAAAACCTACAGTATTTCTGAAAGCCTCAAAAGCTCAATCATCGCCAGGCCAGATGGGTAACAGAGTTAGCGGAGTATCACTTCACGCTACATCACAAACCGGGTACAGCAAACAAGAAAGCAGACTTATTATCCCGAAGAGCAGACCATGACCAGGGAGGAAACGACAACGACGAGATGATCCTCCTTAAACCAGAAATGTTCCGGGCCCTCATCATGCCCGAAGAAGAAGAGATACACAGGAGAATACGAGCAGCGTTATGGGATGTAACCAGGTGGGACAAGGGAATAGAAGCGTCCCTGCACCATCCACGAGGGATCACCCAAAAGGAGGGCCTAATGTACTACAATGAGCGATTATATGTTCCCCGAGACGCCAAACTACGAGGTGAACTCATCGCCATCCACCACGATCACATCACGGCTGGACACCCGGGCATTGAAAAAACAAAGGAACTCGTCCAACGAAATTACTGGTGGCCCAAGCTGAAACAAGAAGTGGAAAGATACGTGAAGGGATGCGAAGCTTGCCAACGAACCAAAACAAGCACCCAAAGGAAAAGAGCACCCCTACACCCCCATGCCATGCCAACACGACCATGGGAACATATTACCATGGACATGATCGGTGAACTACCAGATTCAAACGGTTACAACGCCATTCTCATGATCGTGGACCGATTTTCGAAGGAAGTTATTCCCATACCATGCTCTACTGAGTTAACTTCAGCTGGATGGGCCAAGATTCTCAGAGACAATGTGTGGGCTAAACACGGAATGCCACAAAAGGTGATCTCAGACAGGGGACCTCAATTCGTATCCAAGTTCATGAAGGAACTCTACAAAATGCTGCATATTCAGGGAAACCCCTCCACCGCCTATCACCCTCAGACGGATGGACAAACCGAAAGGGCAAACCAAGAAATTGAAAAGTACCTCCGGATCTTCATAAACCATTGGCAGAACGATTGGAGCGATTGGTTACCGCTCACTGCATTCCAACACAACAATCGCAAGCACTCCGCGACCGGATATTCCCCATTTGAAATAAATCATGGCCAAAAACCGCATCTCGCTCCACTTACAATTAAAGAAGGAACCAATCCAGCTGCCCAGGATTTCATCACAGAAATCCAAAAAATACACGAACAAACGGCAAAGGCTCTGGACAAAGCAGCGGAAACCATGAAATGACAATATGACAAACACCAACTACCAGCGATACAATACCAACCAGGAGACGAGGTCTGGTTGGACTCAACCAACCTTCACCTGCCTAGACCAATGAAAAAGCTCGGAGACAAGTGCGTAGGACTCTTTGAGGTGATTTCCAAAAAGGGTGCCTCCACCTACGAGCTTAAATTACTGGCTGGTTGGAAAATCCATAACCGCTTCAACAAGAATCTCCTAACCCCGTATCACCCGCCGGAGTTCCCAATCCAAATACAGCCTATGGCACCACCGCCGGATCTCGTGGACGGACAAGAACTATATGAGGTAGAGGAGATCGTTGATCGATGGGAGCGAACGATAAGAAGAGGAAGAAAACGTCACACCAAAATCGAATACCTCATAAAGTGGAAGGGATACCCCAGGGAAGAGAACTCTTGGGTAGACGAGCAAGAGTTGGACAATGCAAGGGAGGCAATTGAGGACTTCGAACAAGTCTCATTCATAACTCGACCACCCGCAGATTGGTGGGAAGACAACGACGAAACCGACTCATGGTCAGAAACAGAGTCGGTGACCGAATCCGAAGTCGACCACCCTTTGGTTCAGGCAATACAAGAATATCTGATAAAGCCAAACGCACCGTCCCTGGTAGGAGCCTATCTTCCAAAACCAAATAACACTGCAGTCGGGACGACTGCCTTAACAGGGGGGTAATATTACGATTTCGTGCTCTATCTTATCTTATTGGCTCTTTCGTAATCCTGCTATGCTAACTCTCCGGACTTGATCGCATCCTACCATGTGGGTTCAGTGTGTTCACCGCACCATTGCAGACACTTGTAGTATATTTAGCATGACCCAAACTGTATTTAAGTAGCTCGACTGCAGGTCTTAAACCTCAGTCTCGAACTAAAGTTTATTCACCCAATAACTTAGTCTGAACTCACTCTCGCTCCACTAAGCGATAGCTCCCTTAACGCAAACCTGTGGACAACACAAAGCGCCTGACCGAAGTGCGAGTCACGCTTAGTTGTTTGATCTTGTTTGTGAAATCGGTCGCTAACACTTTCCATGCTTATAGTAATACCCAACTTTTCATGTAGCATCAAAGATCATAACAGTGTATTGCGACTACTTTGATGCACCTGTGGGCGTATTTTATATACTCTATATATCATCCATTCTGGCGATGACATTAACATGCACCTTGCTTATCATTTACTGCATTATAACTATCACTGGGGTTCGCCGTGGAGTTGAGGGTCGACTCAAAGTTTACCACCATTTTGTTGAATTACTAGTGGAATCTTCGGCTCTCTATTCAGTAACTCTGATCCTATTTTTGGCGTTCACCATTCGCAACCACCTAGGACAATATTACCTTGATGTTGCAGCCAGCATCGCGAAGGTGTGTTTACATTCTTAGACTCCGTTAACATTTACCAAACACCTTGTGTAGGGAATTTCACCCACACTCCTTGTTGGTTGGGTAGTGGCAGGACACATGTGCCCTCATGAAGAACGTGATGAAACTTCCATGGTGTCCACTATTCATTTCCAGATGTCTTTGCAATATTTGCAACCTTTCACTTCAAGCTTTCAGGAATCCACCATGCAAAGCGCAGCCCTTGAAATGGACATTGAAGCCCAGATGGAGAATTAGAATGACCTCACTGTATCAGTTATAAATGCAATAGTAGTAACCAGTGGGGTGAGGTGCGACACATCCACATGGCAGGTCCGAGTCCTATGTTTTTTTTTGTAATCTGTTGTTCATATCAGAAATAAGCATCCGATCATATAATAGCCTGCCTATGTATGAACATATCATGATCTTTTCCCATCTTGTCTCATGTCACGTTGACGTTGTCAAGCAGTCCTTCTTGCAATGCCTATCTTCCCAGTATCCTTAAACCATTTCTATGGGTCCACATGCTGAAGCGTTGTGAGCCTGTTAAGCACTAACTCGAACCTTCGCCAAGGCTGATCTCTATCCTATCACTCGCGTTCGGTGATTCAGTGTTAGAGAGGTGTTGGTAGATTGCGAGAAGTTAGGCATCACTTTATAGCGAAAGCAAGGAGCTTGTAAGAGTTAGGAGTGTATAACCTTAGCTGAAGCTGGGGTCTAAGGCCACAGTGTAGGCTAGCTTAAATACATGTTAGACTCGTACTAAAAATAAGATCTACAAGGGTGTGTGCAACGAGAAGTGCGTCTTTCAACGAATGAGGAGGGAGGACACTAAAAGAAGTAGGCTCCCGACGAATGAGAGTAAAGAGTGCATATCACCTGCATCTGCGTGGGACTCCATCTGAATAGGCTGCATCCCATAGACCACCCTCAACTGGTGGTCGACTCTTGTCCAACTACTAAGAAGCATGATGGCGCATGTGGGTCGCTGGTCATCTAGGAGGTGGCAGCGTGAATTGGGGTGATGGCAGCCAGGTAACCGGGTAAAGAGTGTGCCGGCGGAATATCATGGGTCTGAGAGATAAGATAGGCAGGTCCGGGGTTCCAATGGATAAGGACAAGATAAGATAAGGAAAATAGGGGTAAAACCGTAATAATACCCCCCGACTAAGACTGTCATCCCGACAGTCCTTTAGACGTACTCACTCCCCAAAGCCGAGAGAGTTAGTAGATTCCATATCCCATTCGTAGTCCTTGTTTTGTTCCCAAGCAGACATGCCCCGTTCTTCTAAGAGGAAGCTGGGGTCGGTCTGAGTCGTTAGAGGAGACATGGAGCGCTTGTTTTCAAAGACGTCTTCATCCATGTCCGATGAATAAAAGCCCTGCTCGTTGAAGGATAATGGATCGGTATGATTCCTGCTGGGGGTTGGAAAGAAAGTTGAGCTCTCGGTTGGAGGGCCAGGAGATGATGTGGTTATATATCCCCCTTCACTTTCCAAGTGTCACAAATCGTGATCCCATACACGGTTTTCCTTGTTCTCGTATTCTTTGACGAGTTCTTCAGCATTGGCAAGATTGCTCCTCTTGACCCAAGTAGCCTCTTCCACTGGGTATCCTTTCCATTTGACCAAATATTCTGTTATGGTCCTCTGGCTGTGTCCTCAACCGACGATGCGGTCGTGGTCCTGAAGTAGTTCCTCTACTTCATATTCTTCCTCACCTTCCACGAGTTCCGGTGATGAGGCTGGCTGTGGGCACCTGTGGAATAGTGAGCAGGCTAAAGGGCAAACCTCAAAAACCCACACACACACTCACACAACTACACAAACTACAATCACCCTTGTAAGTTCTAGGGGGAGCAATTATTTCTAATGCGATCCAACTATACTTCAATATCTCAAAGAGTTTCTCTTATTCTCAGCGCTCTTAGCGAAGCTAAGCTTTCTCTAATGACTTCCTAAGTCTAGGAACTTTTTACAGGAAGGTCATTCACTGGCATGACGCAACCTTCAAGGCAGATTTGAGTTATAATACACAAGGGACACTGATCCCAACAGAAACAGAGGCAATACACGCCGAAACTTTAGTGAGCTCACTAAAAGAACACCACAGGCAAGCACTGACTTATCCTGCTCGCTACACAACTGTATGCAGGGGTTCTCCAACTAACTCCAGCAGGTTATCTCGACTCAAGAACACTTCAGAAGCGCTCGGAAAACAGATTCAGAAACGGAACTTTGACAGAACTGACATGGAACAGACTGAAACAGAACAGAACAGAACAGAACTCAGATTTCCACTTCAACACATTCTCCGAACAGACTTATCACACTTAACAGAACAGAAACAGCGTCACTGATTCGTATTCACTCTGACTAAGTTCTCAAAAGTCTTATCAAAAGGGTATCTCGTATTTCTCTGAGTGAGCTTGCTAATTCTATGCACAGCTCGAAGTCACAAACTGATCCTTTGTTACAGTACCACCTTCAACACGTGCACAGGAACTCGGGGGCTCGAAACTTGCCTCTACCTACTGTAACCAGTCTACTTATACTACAGGGGAATTAGAATTACAAACGTCGCGCAGTACCCAGACTCCTACATGCATAGCACGTTGCCACCGCCACCTTACTGAGCATCCAAGTCAGACTTCCCAGTTTTAGTCTCATTTCTATAGTGAGCTCGCTAAACGCATGCCAAGAGGTGCTCTCCTGACACCTGCAGGCTTGTTCTCTAGCGACCGACAGGTCTAGGTGCATGGAACTATCAGTTCTGGCATATGTCGTTCAGGACTTCTTTCTTGGATTCACAGAGGCTTCTCGTAGACACAGCAACAAGTGAGTCTTCGAACAATGGGACTCAGAACAATGGAACGTGGGCTCACGGACTTCGGCCGAAGCCCATTGCCCAAGCTCGTGCCAGTGATATCTGTCAGCTCGCTTAAGGATTTCCCCGGATTTTCAGGTATGGCACGTCACAGTTAGCAAGCGTGCTAAGTGTTCTCAGTGTCAGTGCAATCTTCAAGGTTTTATCTAGCTCCTGCGAGTGTGCTTGTAAGTTAGAGCCTAAGGCATTGGGTATAGGGTTTGGCCTTCTCATCACGCATGCCTGTCAGGTACAGTGCTGTGACTAAGTCCTGTTTAGAATCCCGTTGCTTCTTATGCCATAAGTTATACTCCAGGTCATTGCACCATGTAGCATTAGTGTCGACATGTAGTTTTAGTCTGCTCGCTCACTATCTCTTAGTATGCATGTAAAACACTCTAGATTGCAAAATTACACGTGTAAATAGGCTGCAGTCGCAACACCAGCTCGGGTGGCAAAGGTTTTTCCTGGTTGGAAAACTCTGGGGGGACATACAGAGTTAGGTATCGTTCATTGAATTTATTGTGGATCTTCCATCCTGGCAGTAGCTTTAGCTCGTATGCAGAGGGCCCCTTTTTGGAAACTACTTCAAAGGGGCCAACACATTTGTCACCTAGCTTTTTTGCCGGTCGGGGGAGGTGAAGGTTGGTTGAGTCCAACCAGACTTTATCTCCTAGTTGGTACTCCTGCGCAGGGCGAGTGTGTTTGTCGTAAGCCTTTCTCATAACTTCGGCAGCTTTATTCAAAGAGTCTTCTGCTTGTTTGTGTACTCTTTGGAGGCTTTCGACGAAGTCAGTTACCGATGGTGTTTCCGACAGCCTCACCGTGGTTGGGCGAATTTCCCCATCTCGTCTGTAGACTACTTTGATGGGAGAAAAGCCCGTTGTGGAGTGTTGGTGGTTGTTGTGAGCGAATGCTGCCCATTGCAGCCATTCACTCCAGTCATCCTGCTTGTGGTTAACAAAGACTCAAAGGTATTTTTCGAGTTCTTGGTTAACCCGCTCCGTTTGTCCATCCGTCTGAGGGTGATAGGCCATTGACGGATTTCCTTGAATATTCATCATTGCGTATAGCTCAGTGATGAACCTTGAGATGAATTGTGGGCCTCGATCAGAGATGACTTTGGAGGGGGTGACTCCAAATCGACAAATAATTTCATCATGTAGGATTTTGGCCCACCCGCTTGATGAGAGTTCCTTCGTGCATGGAATTAGCACGATGTATTTCAAGAATCGGTCTACGATGACTAGTACTGCATTGTAGCCCTTGGATTCTGGAAACCCAGTAATGATGTCGACTGAGATATGCTCCCAGGGTCGGGATGGTACAGCGTTAGGATGTAGCAGAGCTGCTTTCCGCTGCATGTCAGTCTTTGTCCTTTGACATGCCTTGCATCCTCTGATGTAAGTTTCTATGTCCCTCTGCATCTTGGGCCACCAGTAGTCCCTTAAGACTAATTCTCTGGTTTTTTTGATGCCCAGGTGTCCTGCAGAGACATGATCATGGTGATGGGAGATAAGTTCTCCCTGTAGGGTGTGGTCATGGGGGACGTAAATACGTCCATCATAAAATAGAAGGTGGTCTTTTTCAATGACCCCCTTCTCGTGGTTGAGGCTCAAAGCGATCCCTCGGTCCCACCATTGGTGATCGCTTGTTGCTCTCTGAATTTTGTTATGGATTTCTTCCTCCATCGGCATTATCAAGGCCTGGAAGAATTCTGGCTTCAAGAGAACAATATCATTATTGTTCTTCTTGCACTGGTCATGGTCGGCCTTCCTATTAGACACTCCTGGTTTGTGGTTGAGTGTGAAGTGGTACTCTGCTAGTTCAGTAACCCACCGCACCTGTCTGCGGTTGAGTTTCTGAGGCTTGCAGAAATATTGCAGATTGGAGTGATCCATCCAGATTTCGAAATCTTGACAGGCACCCATGAGATAATGTCGCCACTCTTCTAAGGCGATCATTATTGCTAGCAATTCCTTGTCGTAAATCTCGTAGTTCCGTTCTGTCGCAGAAAGGGATTTCGAGAGGAATGCAATCGGGCGCCATTTTCCTTCCTGTTCCTGTGATAGGACAGCCCCGATTGCCCCTTCACTGGAGTCCGCCTCCAAGCGAAACTTGTTATAGTCATTTGGCATTGCCAAAACGACTCCTGTTGCGAATTGATGTTTGAGTTCCTCAAACGCTTCTTGTTGCTCCTTTCCCCATGTCCAGGGGTTCTTCCCTGTGAGTTTCATCATTGGTTTGACGATTGCACTATAGTGCCAGATAAATCGTCGGTAGAAATTGGTGAATCCTAGGAAGGATTGTAGTTCCTGTTTTTTGGAGGGTGTTGGCCAGTCCATGATACCAGCGATTTTTACTGGATCCATTTTAATGGATCCTTCACT